CAAGTGTCATTTCAAATCTACGAAGACAATCCAAAGAAAGACGAACAAATATATACAGAATTCACTGCAATGTCATGGTATTATTTGCAAAGAATGTTAAATCAGAAAGTCGAACTTCCTTTAGCAAATATTTACAGTCGATATGCAAGAGATGAACCATATTTATTTAAAGATGTTTTCGACCCAGCTGCTATTATAGTTCATGCTTCATTTTCTGGTGCACAAAACTCTTTTTTATGCTTGGCAAATGACTTTTACGAAAAACCTACAAAGCTATATGAACCACCGAGTGGAAGTATTTCAGACTTTCAAGTATGGTTTACTACAGATGGAAGAAAGAGAATAATTCCATTATACCACGCGTTTTACTTAGAACTTAGTTTCATATACAACTACTATCGAACGGTAAAAATATAATTTTTAATACGGTTGAGGTGTTGGATTTGGTTGCCAACTAGACTGTGGTGCAGGTTCAGGCTGTTGTATAACAGGAGCTTGTTCTTCTGGTTCAGGGTCTTTAGGTATAATACCAACGAACTGACCTACTCTTTTACCAATATTTTTGACTCCGTTCCAAATTCCTCTTCCGACAGATTTTATTCCATTCCATATACCTCTTCCAACATTTCGAAAGAAGTTTCCTATTCTTCCAAAGAAACCCATTTTACTATATGTAAAAATCTAATGTCCACCTAGTCTCTTACGTTTCCTGTTGAGTTCCATAGCATTCTTTAACTGGAGCTCATACATTCTATTTCTCCTCTGGTAGAAAACATATTCTGGGTCAACTCCTGTGTTCGCGTCATCTGCATAGAGTTGTTTATATCCCACTTCAGGTTTGTATAAAACTCTTTCCATCTCATATTTGCATACCATGGTGGCAAACCTAACGCAGCGTCATTTGACATGGCAGTTTGCATTTGTACATCTGTTGGCACTTGACCATAGTTTGCCATTGCAGTTTGTATTCTAACTTCATTTGGAATATTCTCTGGGTTTGGTTGTCCAGGTTGCTGTGCATTCGCTAAGTTCTGTGCGTCCATTTAATATTAGATAAAAATATCTCTTACGAGTACATATACTGGACATTTGCAGGCATTGGTTCATCTTCATATTCTCTATATCTTTCTGCCACGTCAAATAAGTAAATGACACAATGGAAAAAACCTAAAACAAGTAGTCCTATTTCAAACCACATTTAGTTACCAATAAAATTTCTTTGTTGTGACACTTTTTCCGGTTTATAGGACCTCTCTCATATTCTATCTTGTCATATATAAACTCATAGTCATGTATGTCCTCTAACCATCTCATGACACTTTCCAAACCACTTTTATCGGATGTAAAGTAAAAGCATGGATGGTTATGTAAAACGTCTAAAGTTTCTAAAGAGTCTCTCAAAGTCCAGTCTACTTGGTATTGAAAATCCCATGTGTTATAGAACGGCGGGTCCACTATAAAGAAAACTTTTCCTTGTCTTTATATTTTCATACAACTCTGTCCAATGACATCTCACAAACTCTATACCCTCAATATATTTTTCTATGTTCTCTTTGAAAACATTTGTATAGTTAAGATATAAAACTTTTGACATAAGTGTTTCAATGTCATGAACTCTTATAGAACCACTATATAATAGTCTAGCAGATATACTATCCCAGTCAATATACTCTGCCTTTTTCAAAACCTCTCTGACAGTATTTTTCTTATCTAATGGTATACGTTCCATCTTACCTATAGGTATCTTTTCTTTTAACTCTTTCAATATTTTGTTAGTGTCTGGAATATGTTTGAGACGGTCCATATAGTTGTCGAAGTCATTGCATATAATCTTTGAGTCAGGAAATATTGTATGGCACAAATGAGATATATAGAAACTTCCACCGAACAAGTCTACAAATGTTAGACCATTCGGTAGTTTCTTAAGTTCTCTCAATAGAATATCTTTACATCTACTCTTATTTCCAAAGAAGGGTAACGGTGGTTTTGTAAAATTCATTTTATATATATAATAAAAATGTTTTTTCCTGAAAAGTGACAGATGTTTTATTGTGACTTCTTCGTAAAGACTTTGTTGAGATTTCTTCGTAAAGACTTTGTTGAGATTTCTTCGTAAATGAGTGTAAATGACCCAAAAATATATTTTAGGTGAAGAGGTGAGATTTCACCTCTTTTTTCACCTCTTTTTTCACCTCTTGAATTTTCATGAATTTCTTCGTAAAGACTTTGTTAAGACTTCTTCATCTAATTTCTCATGAACTTTCTTGTCTATGTTTTGTCAAGATTTCATCGTAAAGACTTTGTTGAGATTTCTTCGTAAAGACTTTGTTGAGATTTCTTCGTAAATGACCCTAGTAGTATATTTTTGGTGTAAATTTCATGAAAATTCAAGAGGGTGAAAAATTAGGTGAAAAAACAGGTGAAATCTCACCTCTTCACCTAAATTATATTTTTGGGTCATTTACACTCATTTACGAAGAAGTCTTGACAAAACATTTACGAAGAAGTCTTGACAAAACATTTACGAAGAAGTCTTGACAAAACATTTACGAAGAAGTCTTGACAAAACATTTACGAAGAAGTCTTGACAAAACATTTACGAAGAAGTCTTGACAAAACATTTACGAAGAAGTCTTGACAAAACATTTACGAAGAAGTCTTGACAAAGTCTTTACGATGAAATCTTGACAAAGTCTTTACGAAGAAGTCTTGACAAAGTCTTTACGATGAAATCTTGACAAAGTCTTTACGATGAAATTCATGAAAATTCAAGAGGTGAAAAATGAGGTGAAAAAACAGGTGAAATCTCACCTCTTCACCTAAAATATATTTTTGTCTGATTTACGCTCATTACGATGAAATCTTGACAAAACATTTACGAAGAAGAAGTCTTGACAAAACATTTACGAAGAAATCTTGACAAAGTCTTTACGATGAAATCTTGACAAAGTCTTTACGATGAAATCTTGACAAAGTCTTTACGAAGAAATCTTGACAAAGTCTTTACGAAGAAATCTGACAAACCATGAAAACATATATAATTTGTGAAAAGCTCCTGGAAGACCCGTATATAAGAACTTCATTTATGTGGGCTAGAAGGGGCGCAGCCCCTGGAAGCCCACCCCAAGAAAAAAAAGCTTCATTTATACTCATTCATCCTCAGGGCTAGAAGGCACGAAGTGCCTGGGAGCCCCACTTCCTTTTTTTTTTTTTTTTTTTTTTTTTATATTTTGCGCGAGAAGTGAGTTGTGGTAACTTTCGTGGATATCCATCGTTCATTTTATGGTAAAAATTCTCAATTTGTGGGAAAAGTTCTCAATTTTGTGGTAATTTTTATGTACCACAACTCAATTTGTGGTCACTTCATCTTACCACGTGGTAAGTTTTTATAAAACTCTTTATTTACCATTGATTTCTGATTTAATATCAATATCTTGAATAATCAAGCATATCTATCGCTTTAAATTTTATTCTCTCATTCCAAAAAAAATTCAAAAATCAAAAAATGAAAAAAATATTTAGAATTTTTTCCGTCAAAAATAAAAAATCTTCCCACTGAGTGGTTTCCATGGAAAGTTACCACTGGGTCCCACAGGGATTGGCCTAAGTATTTCTTAATAGAATGTGAAATAAAGTAAAATTAACTCTATTCAAAATGGAAAAAAATCCAAAAAAAATTTGAAAAAAAGAATTTCATGATAAAAAGCATAAATTTTGCATCAGAAAATTAAATTCAGGTATTTTTTTGAAATAGAAAGAGTCCTAAAATTAGTTAAAAATCATTTTTTATTCAAAAGAAACGCTATTTTTAAGGAATTGAAAAGAATTTTATTTAATAATATTTTATTTATAGAATTTGCATATATCATATGCATAGACATATTGAATTGTAAACATGAGAACACTAATTACATTAACTTGTCGTTCAAATTATTGCATCGAGAAAAAAGTGCTATAAATTTACTCAATTAGTTTACAAACGTAAATATTTGGCATAAACTTTACGTTTGTAAACTAATTTGGTAAACTCGTAGTTCAAATTATTGCATCGAGAAAAAAAGTGCTATAAATTTACTCAATTAGTTTACAAACGTAAATATTTGGCATAAACTTTACGTTTGTTAAACAATTTGATTAAATTTAGTAAATTTTAGTTCGAATGCAAGTTTTCTCGGTAAATCATTTTTTAGATCTCAAATGAGATGTATGATCATATGAGTCACATATGATTTAATCCGAATATGTGTGAGAATTGAGTTTAAAACGAAGTTTATTTTTTGGACTATATTTCGCCATTTTAAAATGTGTAATAATGATATAATTCGCATGAAATTGAAAAATATTGACTGGATGTGTAATGGTTTTATAATTGCAATGTTGATTTGATCGAATTTAAATGAATATATAACGCGATGAAATTTCGAATTGCTCAAATGTCTGTAATTCATATATGGTGCACATATTAATATTACATTTCGTTGATATTTACCACATAAACCTTTAAATATTAAGTCATTTTAAAGTTATATGCGATTTAGTTCCAAAATGCACGTTTAGAAAAAGACGATAACGATTAAATTACAAAATCGATAACGATAACGATTAAATTACAAAATCGATAACGACCCTTTTCAGACAATTGGTACTATCAAATTTATGCGTTCCAAAGAACTACATTTAATACCTTTCATACTCACTTATTATGGGAATATTCTTAAATGTTATTTTCGATATTAAAGTTCACTAGCAATTGCTTGTTACTGTTATTTAGTAAGTAGATACATTTTAAATAGAAGGAGTTATATATGTAATGATGTCTAATGTTAAATTTCTTAAAATTTGATATCAAAGAGAGTCTCAACAGTGGAATCATTAAGCTTACTAACACAGCACCAAAATACACTATTTTTCAGTGGAATCTTGCAAATTATTTTGCTGGAATTGCCAATTTTCAAAATCAGAATGGATTCATTCAATATATTGGCACTTTTTAGCTCGTTATGGAAGGGATTGAATTAGCGTCCACTAACGAACCCTCAATGATAGGACCGGAAATTATATCTCTTTCAACAGCCTCACTTGAAGTACAAGTGAGTACGGAGGTTAGTCTTTCAGATCCTCTATTTCCATTTTCACAATCATTTCAAGCACGATCCAGAAAGGAAAAAGAGCAATTATTCTTAAAAGCATTCGAAGACCAAGTTAATTTCATAAGAACAAAGGAACTTCGCTCAGAAAATTCTTTGGGAAAATCTCCTATTACACAAGAAGCTATAGATAATTTAACTACTTCACGTCAAAAGTTTTATGATCAAGCTGATACAAAAAACAATAGAATAGCTATCACAAAAACAACGACTGAATCTTCTACAAACCCAGCTCCAAGAGTTCAAGTAACAACAACTCCAACATTCGATCCATTACTTAACACAAACTATGAATCGCAGTACAGTTTAATGGATAGATTTAAAGACGTTATTAGTAAAATTTTAATCGAAAAGAGAGCAAAAACACGCGCTCAAAAGGTTTTACAACGTATACTTGTTGCACCAAGTACACCACAGAATACACAATCCACTGCAAACTTCTCAACATTTACAGCAGAATCTTTGTTGACTGTTAATGTTAAATGCGTTAAACAACCGTTGAAGTTTACCAATCCATCAGATCCTGTTTCAATTGAACCACCAGAATGCATCATTGAACCTAACAAAATTGAAAAATCAATTCAACCATACAAACCAGGACTTGTTGAGCGTTTCCAGCTTACACAATTCCCACGTACAGAATGTTCTGCTTTTACACCTATCCCTATCCCACCTCCACAGTCATTTCCTGGAGTTCAAGAAGAACAACCAGTCAAAGAGCGAAAAGAACCAATTATTCCCGAGAATTCCCTCTCGAATCCACTTCCTAACAAAGATATCATGCCTGTTACACCATTGCCAATTGCTACAAACTATTCGCGCGATATCAGATTTTTCAACTTCGATCCAATTTTCGATTTGCGAGCAAAACCTGCAGAATTACCACCTCTACCTAATGAAATTGGCCAGGCTTCAATTTTGGCCATGCCTTTAAAGAATTACGAGCCAATGTTTATCGGATACAAGGATAAAACCGATGTTGCGCCATTTACTTTCACTGGATTTTCTAAAATTAAGCTTCCATCTATGAACGGGCCAAACCTGGCAGATATGGCCGAAATGGACCCGGACGATGACATTGATCAGCTTGAAATCAAGCCAAATGTAAGGCCAACAAGCGATTTTATTACAAAACCATTACCAACCAACAATAAGAGCCATGCAATTGCTGAAGGAATAATAAGTAGCCAAGAAAATTGGATAAAGAGGCAAAAAGAAGGCGCTCAAACAGTTTATACAAGTCTTACAAACTTAAACTCACTTATGAGAGATAAGAATCTTGAAATTGTTACACAAGATTTAGCTGAATTTCTTAGATAAAGCGCTTATTTTCTATTATTTCAAATTACTTATTAACATTTTATCTCTTTTTTTGATTTGTCAGTTTCATTGTTTTTAAATTTCATAAACTGTACCTGATTTCTATACTTCCGCTTTTCTAGACACTTTGGGGTAAGTTCCAATTCATAAAAAATGCTCATACAATTGAAAACAACAAATCAAACAGAGTGAAACAAAACTCGTTTTTTCCAATTCAATTAGAAATTTGAAATTCCTTTTTTGCTTATATTTTACATCTTAAATATCCACAAATTAAATATGATTTTGTCACAATTGCCATAAGTTTTCAATAAGATCAATAAGTTTTTCTTTTCTCCATCCATAGTGAAGGAAAATTAAAAAAGGAATCGACGATTTCGATAAAAAGAGGCGCGTAACGATTTTGGCGGTTATATTAATTTTTCTGTCAATTTTGTATACCTTACTTGGTCGAACTAAATTTTTATGTGTCCGGCCATTTAAAAAATTTAAAATAACATGGGGGAGAATGATGATGAAATCGCTTCAAATCCAAATCAGAAACCAAACTTTTGGGACTATCTTAGTCCCAGGGACAAGGAAGAATATCTTTCCCTCAAATCACTCCTTGACGAATCAAGCACAAAGAGAAATAGAGGTCATAGAATGGAAGCATTCGATGGCATACTAGAGGCCATACATCGCTATGCAGAACGCCATGATGATGACGATTGGCGGCGCTTCTTGGTATGCGGCGTATGCTGGATGGATAATATGATCGCTATCAACACAAGGCAATTAAGATTGCTTATTTCCAAGTGTAAATCATCGATAAATGGATCATTTCAGAAGATGGGTTATACAACAAGTCAATCACATACAGAATCAAGAAAATTTTTGTTCGGCAAGATTCCGTTATTGAAAGGTAACTTTAACGAACTGCGCCAATGGACTATCAGATCAAGAGCTCCTCAACCGCAACAAATCGAAGCTTATGCGGTTAGTCATTCATACCAAATTCCACAAGATCCTTCTCAGCCAATACAGATGCAGATATCACTTAATCCTCAGATCGCACAATCAATACGCACAGAAAATCAACCATTACAGCAGAATCTTATCATTCCACAAAATATAATGGAATTGCGGAGTCAACAGCAAAATCAGAACCAGTCTCAGAAGCCTTCAGCTCCTTCCCATCCCGTTCTTCCAATACTTGCTGACCATACTCAGAAATCTTCGCCACTTCAACCGCCGCCAATTTCTGACTTATTGGCTTCAAAATCACCGACGAACGATGGCCCACAGATTGCTGATCTCCTGGCTATTAAGCCACCTTCTCCAAATATACCAGAACAGGATCCTTTGTTAGTTGAAAAGTTTTGCCCTCTTAAGTTCCGTTCCAAATGCACCCAACTCCGGATTTGAAATAGATAAGACTCGTGAATTTGATTCGTTGTTATTTGTTTGACTAAATCTATCCTTCTATCCATGATTCAGCTCCGATTCCTCAAAAATGATTGATTCGGAAGAAGATGTTTTCTTTTATCGATGATTTGTGACCATCTCACAACATATTGACTTATTTAGTTTGGCTCATTTCTATTATTTTTTTTCTTATATTGTTTTTTTTATATAAAATACCATCTGAATAACTTAAAACAGTTTTTAAACTCAAATCATAAAAATATCTATAATTAATATACGATAAAACTCAACAAACATTAAAAAATTATATAAATATCACTATATTAGTTATAATTAATCCATTTTACAGCATACAAACAACAATCTTTTCAACAACACTTCATATCCTTATAAATATATTATCCATTTTCTCTGTTATTCAGAAGATATGAGAAGAATTTCTAAAATCACAAATGATAGATTAGAATCTAAGGAATGAATAGTAAACTAATACTTATAACATTGAAGTATTCATGTTTCAATTCTTCAATGCTCTGTTTAAGTGACGTATTTCTAACTTTTTCTTGATAAAACCGTTTTGACAGAATTACCAAAATCACCGATTTAATTAAAAATAATTGATAAAATACCATACGTATAAATATTTCACGAAAAACGCTTAATATTCCTCGGTGAAGTATAAACCAATATTTTTGAGAATGAGCGAGGAAGTTCCTGCTGATTCGTCGAAAAGAATTATGAGCTTCAATACATCAGCCGAGTTGAAGGAGTTCCTCAATTCAAGTCAAAATGAGCGACGGATGAAGTTTGCTGTCAGAGTATTCTACGTTTTGCAATGGACTACATCTCATCCGGAAGCAGTTCAAGATACAGGCGCAATATGGTGCAAGAATGGTTACTACTTTATATGCAACTCAACTCTCATCGGAGAATTCTTAAATATTAGACCAAATACAATAAATACGAATTTTCGTTCTCATTTATTTACTATAGAGCTCTCACAACCACAGTTGCTACTAGCAGAGTTTCCTATGATCAAAGATACAAGGAACTGGAGAAAGCGTGTAAATCATTCTTTTCCATTCCATTCTGGCTGTACAGAGCTCGACATCATCAGAATACCTTGCAGACCACTAAATGAACAGCCAAAGAACACACAACTAGTACAATATCCCGTTAGAGCACCGAAACTACCGCCAAGAAGAATCATTAAACAAGTTCAGACATTTGAGATGCCAATGACACCGACCATGAAGTACAAATACGAGTTCAAGAACTCCCAGGAGACAAAAGAATACGAAAAAGACATAGAAATCATATTTAATAATATGAAAGGCACAAAAGAGCAAAAAGATGAGATTATCAACAAGGCACAATCATTATGGAAGGAATTTGGTGATGTTCCTAAGTGCCAATCAAATATAATCGTTTCTTATATTCTGAAAAATATTGATTTGGATGTTGGTGAGAAATTGGCACCACATCTCACCAAAATGTTGTCTTCTGATGGCGGATCAGGTAATACAGACATTTCTTTTGCTCAATATCTAAAGTTTTACGCTCAATACGGAGATCCTGCCACAATCATTGAAACTTTGACAGATTTCATTGACTATTCATCTAAGAATTATGTGTTCTATCCATGGTTCCAACCAGATCTCGGAAAAATCAATACAAAAATTAGATTATTAGATGAAGACGGTCCAGACTTCATTGTTCGCTGCTCTGCATCGAAAATCGGAATATTTGTCCTGGAAGTAGTAGAAAATAAGTCATCAGGAGAGATTTCATCCTCAAATATTGATTTTGATCCAATCAAACCTTCATTCTCAATAATTAGTGAATCTCATGGCTTAGTACAGGACAAATCATTGAAATCTTTGCTGTTTGATAGACTTGGTTTGAAATTAAAACAAAATGTTAACTTCGAACCAATAATTATCTCGTCTTACTCACAGCAAACATATTCTTCGCAGCAAGTACCATCTCAACTTTCCTCCCAATCTACTAATTAAAAAAAATACCAAAAAAAGGGAAGTGGGGAAGTAAAAAGTGACAATTTTTTTGATTTTGCCACAATCACTTGATAATAAGATATTCATGATATGTTACTGCTAGAAGTATATTATTTTGTATATTTTTTGTTTTTTTATGCTAATTTAGTTATTTTTATTTGACATTTCCTTTCTTTCTATTAAAATATTCGTTTTTTACGCTTATTTGATCCAAGTCTTTTTGCTTTCTTTTGGAAAACTTTAAATTCGAAAAATAATATATTTATTTTACAAACAAAGATGAATGATTTTTGGTCTTTTGATACATGAGAGACTGCCACACTTTATAATTGCTTGATTCGAATACCAGCGACCAGAATGGAGCGTTACCCGAAAATCTTTGTTGGTATTTTCTGTCTTCTATATAATAAGAGATCGACTGGTTAGCGAACAAATCCTCATTATATCCATTGTTCAGGTATTTGGTCAAGTTTAATTCATAGGCGGGGTTATATCCTTCATTTAATAGCTTATTATAATCAGATAAATAGCTTTGATAGCCAAGGAATGTCACTGGGTTATTAGATGTCTCTGATATGGCTATAATCGATTCAGGAGATATATTTTCTAGTATCCAATCTTTTAATTCTGTTTCTACTTTCGTTTGTGGCGTATAACTGTAAGCCACGACTTTCTGATATAGTATCATCGAAGATGCACTCATAGAAAAGATTGAAATGCTGAATAAACAGAAACAAATAAATTTGAAAAATTTCTTTCTGGGATAAGTCAATAGTTTTGCAAGAAATTGTGATACTAATGGACATGCTACAGAAAACCATCCGCAAGTAAAGTAAAGGAGATTGTCATAATGCTCATATTGCAATTTTATGAAATTAAACATTGCAAATATAGCAATTGATGGTACATATATCCAATACTGCCTTAAATGCATAGGAAGAAATACAAAACTAACGGAATAAACTCCAAATAATAACAAAGTTCGAAGCCAAAAGAAATAAAAGGTGTCTGATTGATAACCCATCCAAAATTTAATCTTCTTGATCTGTCGGCTTGCTATTATATGTTTTACATTCAAGTAAACTTGATGAACTGGAAGAATTAAGGCGAAAAACAAATAAAATGAGATATTAATCAATCCAAGCTTTCTCTTTGGTCTAACAAGTAACAAAATTGCAATATACATAAAGGACCAACCAAAATTTGAGATATATGAATGAGGATTATACAAAATTATGATTGAAGATATGATTCCTGCTAGTGTCATGAGTTCAGGATGCTTGTTTTTGCCTTTGATCAAACAATACATTGACCAAAATACAGATTGCAAAGAATATAACACGTAAGGCTTTTGAATTATCAATTTCGTTACAATGTGGAACCACATGAAGTCATTCTTATACATATAAGCCTCTTCTCTGTTCATTCTTCGATAGTATTCGTAGAAAAATCTGTTTATGAAAACTGTTCCGCCTAAATGAATCAAAAGATATACTGATATAACGGATGCAAGGTGTGATCGAGTAATTTCATACGAAATGTAATAAAATGAAGTCATAATCGAAAATATTAGTAAAAATGCTGGAATATTGCGTCCAAATCTTTGTGGTGCGTATCCTGTTCCATACAGCAACGCTATATGTAAGTCATGAAAATTTTTGCAGACTAATTCTGTGTTACTGATAAAAGGATTTTTAAAATTAAAAGGTTTTTCACGTATGACATTCGTTCCGATTAGAAAAGACTGTATTATTGAATCATGGTATCTAAAATCTTGAAAAACATCAGATCTGAACATAATAATATTATAACACCAGGAAATGGAGAACAATATTGATATAAAAATCGTTGCTGCAAGGATTGTAACAATTTCAACCGGGTGAACTTTAACTATTGTTGGTATTTTTTGAAATCGATTGAAAAAGTTTAAAATTATTGATGCAAACATGAAAATTGAAACTATTATTAGTCCTTGTACATGGTTCATTATCTGATTGTGCGTAATATAAGCGCCTACTAAGCAAAATGCTGTAAATCCAATTGGAATTGAAATTCCTAATCTTGCTAGAACATCAATAGATGGACCAGCAATTATTGTAGTGAGTTCATATCCAAAAAAGATCGAAAATACAATTTCAAGCGACCATAGCATCTAATCAGAAATATTTATAAAATTTTCAAATTATGGAAATCAAACAAGTATTTTAATAACCATCGAATTTCATCAATAAACTCACTTGCCCATAGCTCTTTTTCTCAACAATTGAAATCTGAAAATATCAACAAAGAATAAGGATTTTATCTTTCACCATTTGTTTAACATAGACAATGGCTATCTAAATCATCGAATTTTCTGATATATTACTAAAAATGTAATTGAAATGAGTTTATCAATTCATATGAGGTTATGAAAAGTATCAGTTTAAAGCTATATCAACGAGTGTATTCAATTAGTAAGGAATATACAATAGATCAAAGGAATTGTACATTGAATAATTTACAATTCTTCATATAAGTGAAATATGAATGGTGTTTTTGCAATATACTCCAAACGGTAGTATGTAATGAACAATCCGTGACGTGAAGCATTCCGATAAAAATCACTGATAGAAAATTGAATGAAAACGATGTAAATTATTGTAACAAAATCTGTCACTTTTTATAGATTTTTGTTGTTTTTGATTTGACAATGTGGGGTCTAATGACTCCAAAGAGCCCCATGAGTCCTTATGTTGAAGAGAAAAAGTTCTCACAACTCAAATCTATGAATGTTCCATGGATTACTATTCAAACAAGTTCATATAAATCGGCATCTTCCTCACCTTCAAAAAAGAATTCACCAAGGCAATCCAATTCAGCACCAACAACACCAGAAAGAGTGTTTCAACCATTTCAAGCATCAAAGGTTACATTTAGCCGTGAAGAAATGAAAATGTTGGATCCAGAACCAGAATTTCAAGAAAAATTAAGAATATATAGATCGAATTCTAAACTACTACAACTACAAGACCGAAATCAAGAGCGAGAAAAAGAAATGGCTCTAATTTCTCCCAAAAAACAAGTTGAACCTCCTCCAAAAAAGCAAATAGAGAAGTCAGACTCATTTATATCAGCTAATTTTGATGAAGAGGATAATTTCATTCGCCAAATTTCATCAGAAATGCTTGTACAACCACAAAAACCTCGAAATTTCGAATTAACAGACGACCAATCAATTAAAGATCTACGAAAGAGTGTATGGCGTCATTGCCATGGAATGATAAATACATATGACGCAAAAAAGATCCACGCAGTTAATGGAAACTTAAATCATGCAACGATAGGGAATTCTGTCGATCTACATCTTACAAAAGGACAGAAGAAAGTCAGACGAGCAATAGAAGACCATTCCAGCCTTGAAGATCCAATGAAAGGTTTATCTCATGATGATGTTCTTACAAATGACCAAAAGGCCGAAGAAAGAGAATTAATGAGCTCAATGAAAGATACATACTCTGGAAAAAGACTCAGAAACTACATAGAAGAGAATGGAGAAAGACCTCCCAGATTTCTTGAAGATATGGAATTTACAAAGAATGCAATTGTTTCTAGACCAAAACATAAAGTGTCCTCTAGATTTAAACCGGCAAAAAGACCAAAACAACAGATCGATTCAAATCATGGAACTTTTCAATAGTTTGCTTACTACTATTTATTGTATGATACAAAAGTAACAATGATTCCACTCAAATTTGAAAGAAAATGAAAAAATTAGGAATATTTTTGATAATTTATTTGATTTTACAAATGTTTGATTGGCTGTTACATCAAGAAACAGCTTTAATTACAGGAAATTATTGTCTTTAAATCTTATTAAAGCAAATCAAATGGAATTTTCCATTTGATATTTGTTATTATATATTTTATACCATGTAATGAATAAATACTATATATTAAAGAAATATCTATTTACCAAGCAACGGGATGCGATATGTTATTAATGATTACAATTTTAAAGTCTAAAAAGTGATAGATGAAGAAGTCTGCTATTGCATAACAATTTCATATACTCTGGATAAGAAAAAAACATATATTTAAATTCAGCAATGTTTTTCTGAGATCTCTTCTTTGCATCAAAATTAAAGTCAATTTACTTATGATATATTTTGAAAATCCTTCTCCAGAGAGCATGCTGAATCTGCGTAGGGAGAATTATTTTCAATAAAATTTCTCATTTAATATGATTTGAATATGAATAATGCACTATACCAATCCGTTCATACAGCCAACTTCTAGATATCCTACTTATTCATACATTGAATGATAATTCTGCATCAATTCAGCCAATAATATGGAATCCAATAGTATTTCAACATCATACTGTCAACATAGCTGGTTTAAATCACAAATCAATAGTTACAGAATTGAAGTATGAATCAAAAATCTCCCAGGAAAACGAGATTTTATCGGTTTTGAATTTTATCTTTTTATGGGTTGCACATCATCCAGCGCAATTCAAGAACCTCCAAAGGCACAACCAAAGCCAGCTCAACCAAAGAAACAAATAAATAGAGATATGCTTGTAGTTTCAAATAAGAAAGGAGAGGAAATTAGAAGGAATACAGGTGATATAGATGGAAATCAATTCCAAGCTGATAACTTAGAAAATTGTCAAATAATAATCAATGATTTTGTAGATTCAATTACAATTGACCAATGTTACAATTGCAAATTTGCTATCTCTGCAGTTAAGGGTTCAATATTTATGCGTGATTGCCAAGAATGCAAAGTAACCATTAATTGCGGTCAGTTTAGATGCAGAAACTGCACCGACTGTGATTTCTTCGTTCATTCTAGGACAAGTCCTGTAATTGAAGCATCAAGTAAGCTTAGAATTGGCTGTGGTACATATTCATATGAAGGAGTACTTGATCATCTTGCAAAAGCTCAAATTGATCCTTATGCAAATTGTTTTGATGATGTCCATGATTTTACACAAAACAAAGGCAACTTTGAGCTTGTTCCTGGCCAAAAACTCAACCTTGATATCGCAGGAGAACCAAAATACATTCCTTTCTTCTGGCCTATGATGCCTGGCATTACACCCGTTACAAAAAGAATCAACGAGTCAAAATACTTTGAACTCGTCCAAATTTCACTTGATGATGGTGTTAAATTGGTCTCATTAAAGAAAGAAGGAAATATCCTTGTTGCTTCATTCGACGGCACTGAAAGTGATGTATCTGCAAAGTTGGCTTCAATATTATAAATATGTTTGTATCTATTTTTAAAGCTTATTTTTGAAAATCTAAATTTTTATTAAATTATTCTTTGATATTTGGATTGGCTGATGTATTTTCCATGAGAAATAAAATGTAAGATTTAATATTTCAAAAATTTTATTTGCACAAAGGAATAATAAATAGAAAAAAAAATAATAAAAAATATTACTGAACTCCGGTTACATTCTTCGGAACTTTCTGTAATGTGGCCGCTTCTGGGTTGAATTCTGGTGTCATACAGAATAAAAGGAATAAGGTCTTAATACGGATACGAAGACCTTCGAGAGAGCTATTACTTCTACCTCTATTAAGAAGATCAGCTTCTCTATCAATTAAAGTAATTAAATCTCTAGTTAACGGACAATCAAATTGAGTAACTGTTTGTTTTAAGATAAGAAGGTTTTCAATTCTCTTATCTGGTGTAACATCGGTAAGTTGAAGTGTTTGGTAAATGTTATAAAGTTCTTTTGCACGAGATGTTGTTGGTGTCTGAACTTTAACTGTTGCACCACTATCGAGCTGCCAAACTTTCTTCTTTGCAAGAGTTTCGAGCTTCTTTAAGTTGTTTTCTTCGGTATTGAGCTTCTTTGCTTTAATCTTCATCTTATCAATCGAATGAAGAAGTTCTGTTTCTTTCTTGAGAAGCTCCTGAAGAAGTCTCTTACGCTCTTCTTCAGTATGATTGCCTTCGTTGATGGCTTGTGTATCTTTCCAGTGCCATGCAGCAAGTTCATCGTATAATTTCTTAAAATCTGCTGCTGTACGTGGATTACGACGGCGGTTAATTTCTTCAAGACGTTTGTCGTTAAGATCCTTCTGAACACGATCAGCTTGGGCTTGCATTTCTTCCTTTTCCTTTTGAAGTTGAACTTTCATTTCAGTAACTTGCTGACGAGCAAAGAAACCACGAGTCACACGCTGAATAGAACGTGCAGCCATATCTCTTTCGTTTAATTCATCTTCGGCTAATTTATATGGTTTCGCTTTAAGTGTTGGATAAGTATCTTTGATGTATTGATTGTAGAAAGGTGTTTGGCATCCGAAATCGCGAGCTGTTTGCGCTGATGATGGAGCTGTAATTTGCGTTTGTGTTGATCTATGGAATTTATCAATAAAACGGTCAAGTCCCTTTTGATGTGGAAGAAGAGCTGTTTGTCCTGCAACATGGTGCAACTCCTGACCAGTCAAACGATTTTTATAACCACCAAGGAATGGCTTATGTTGTGGAACTTGATATTCAATGTCAACATTAACAGTAATTAGACCGGTTTTACCAGCAATGGTAATCTGACGTCTTGGAGTATGCTGAATAAAATCATCAAGAGAGCTTGGAATCTCAAATTTACTGTTGTCCATTCTACTTGTGATTTATAACGTATTATTTTCGTTGACACTTTTTTGTAAATCTTCATTCTTCAAAAAGTGCAGAAAAACAGCATTTCCAGAAAGCGGAGTGATTAAAATAACTCTAAACTAAGTAAATTGAAATATATTTTTGAAATATAAACTAGAAAAAAAGAATAAATAAATTAAATAGGGAGGAATCAAATATAAAAATATAAGTTGTCCTTATTTTATCTTTAATCAGAATTGAATTTACTCAGCGAATGTCTCGAGGAACTTGACAGCCTGGGCGCCGAGTTGCTTGTTGGCCTTCTCGATGGCAGCGGCCTTCTTGTCCTGAGCAGCCTTCTTGGCTTCGTAGTACTTGGCGGATTCGGCCTTGCGCTTCTGTTCGAGGTCAGCAACAACCTTGCCGTACTTCCAGCCCATTGTTGTGGAGAGCTCACCGAGCTTTGTTGTTGGGCGATCAGTGTGGATGGAAACGCAGCGAAGAGCGTATGGGATAACGACGCGCTTGTATGTGACGTACTTAGCTGGAACACCCTCGAAGACCTTGAGATTTTCGAAAGCCTCAGCACCACGGTGTGTCTTGTATGGGAGCATTCCGCGGACAGCACGAGCGAAGATCTCGCGTGGAGCACGCTGGTGGAATGGACCATCACGTGGGTTGGAGTTTGTTGTCTTGTTGAGGAAGCGTTCGTAGGTGTGGACTGTGAACTTATGCTTGCCGTTCAAAACGATTTCTTCGGCACGAACAACGACAATCTTGCGGCCCTTAAGGAGCTGTTTGGCAACAGCAGCAGCAAGACGGCCCTGGATGTGGCCCTTAGCATCAATAACAATTGGGGCTGACATTCTGTAAGAAAGACCATGAGTCACTTTTTTTGGACCAGATTTTTACTCAAATATATATTTTAATATGTTTTTTAATCATACAACTTAGTGTTAATTAATTTCTACTGAGATAGATACCAGAAATTTTAGGATACTCAGAATCAAAAACTTGAAAACAGAAGTTAGATGTAGGGATGCGACGGTTTTACGCCATGACCGTTTAAAAATAGAATAATACGCCATTTTTGGGGCCGAATGGCGGGTACGAAGTACCCGCCATTCGGCCGAATAACAAAACAATACAAAATTTATCGCCGTCCTTTTTTTTCTTTCTTTATCTTTTTTTTTTCTCTCTCTCTCTTTCTTTTCTCTTTCCTCTTTTTACTCCTCTTTCTCTTTTCATCATTAAACGTAGAAAGATATATTAATATTATTTTAAAATTAAAAAAAAAATAAAGAAAGTATAATAAGTAATTATTTAGTTATCGATATATATATGTAAAGTGATAATCTGAGGATAATCTGAGGAGGAGTCTGAGGATTAGACCGAGGAGTAGTTTGAGGAGTTTGATGATAATCTGAGGAGTTTGAGGAGTAGTCTGAGGAGTTTGAGGAGTAGTCTGAGGAGTTTGAGGATAATCTGAGGAGTTGTCTGAGGAGTAGTTTCAGGAGTTGTCTGAGGATAATTTGAGGAGTTTGAGGAGTAGTCTGAGGAGTTTGAGGAGTAGTCTGGGGAGTTTGAGGATAATCTGAGGAGTTTGAGGAGTAGTCTGAGGAGTTTGAGGAGTAGTCTGAGGAGTTTGAGGATAATCTGAGCATAATCTGAGGAGGAGTCTGAGGATTAGACTGAGGAGGAGTCTGAGGATTAGACTGAGGAGTAGTTTGAGGATAATCTGAGGAGGAGTCTGAGGATTAGACTGAGGAGTAGTTTCAGGAGTAGTCTGAGGACTAGTCTCAGGACTAGTCTGATGAGGAGGACTCTAAGGAGTAGTCTGAAGAGTAGTCTCAGGAGGAAGATCTGAGGAGGAGTCTTATGAGGAAGATCTGAGGAAAAAAAAATCTCAGAAAAATTGAATGAGTTTTTATGGCCATGAACCAAATTTGTGAAGTTCCCGTTTAAAAAAAATGCAACCAAGAACACGAATTCCCGAGTTTGCAGAATTAGAAAACTATAAAAATCTGTTTGTGGCTATGCAATCTGTTTTGGCCTGGAATGGAGCATATGGCCAGGTTCTTAGTCGTGAGTTACATCTCCTTTATCCTACTGCAGGTGGATTTCAAAAAATCCAATTAAAATGATATAAAGCTGAGGAGCTCCAGGGTGAAGAGGAATTGATGAAGAAAAGAAGCAGCTGCATAATGGAGTGAGGAAGCATCTTGATGAAGAGAGGAAGCACCTTGATCAAGAGAGGAAGTACTTTGTTGAAGAGAGGAAGCACTTTGTTGAAGAGAGGAAGCACCTTGATGAAGAGAGGAAGCATCTTGATGAAGAGAGGAAGCATCTTGATCAAGAGAGGAAGCTGCATGATGGAGTGAGGAAGCATCTTGATCAAGAGAGGAAGTACTTTGAAGAAGAGAGGAAGCACTTTGATGAAGAGAGGAAGCATCTTGATGAAGAGAGGAAGCACCTTGATCAAGAGAGGAAGCATCTTGATCAAGAGAGGAAGCTGCATGATGGAGTGAGGAAGCATCTTGATCAAGAGAGGAAGCATCTTGATGAAGAGAGGAAGTACTTTGAAGAAGAGAGGAATCACTTTGTTGAAGAGAGGAAGCATCTTGATCAAGAGAGGAAGTACTTTGTTGAAGAGAGGAAGCACCTTGATCAAGAGAGGAAGTACTTTGAAGAAGAGAGGAAGCATCTTGATGAAGAGAGGAAGCACCTTGATCAAGAGAGGAAGTACTTTGTTGAAGAGAGGAAGCACTTTGAAGAAGAGAGGAAGCATCTTGATGAAGAGAGGAAGCACCTTGATCAAGAGAGGAAGTACTTTGTTGAAGAGAGGAAGCATCTTGATGAAGAGAGGAAGCATCTTGATGAAGAGAGGAAGCACCTTGATCAAGAGAGGAAGCATCTTGATCAAGAGAGGAAGCTGCATGATGGAGTGAGGAAGCATCTTGATCAAGAGAGGAAGCATCTTGATGAAGAGAGGAAGTACTTTGAAGAAGAGAGGAATCACTTTGTTGAAGAGAGGAAGCATCTTGATCAAGAGAGGAAGTACTTTGTTGAAGAGAGGAAGCACCTTGATCAAGAGAGGAAGTACTTTGAAGAAGAGAGGAAGCATCTTGATGAAGAGAGGAAGCACCTTGATGAAGAGAGGAAGTACTTTGAAGAAGAGAGGAAGCACTTTGAAGAAGAGAGGAAGCATCTTGATGAAGAGAGGAAGCACCTTGATGAAGAGAGGAAGTACTTTGAAGAAGAGAGGAAGCACTTTGTTGAAGAGAGGAAGCATCTTGATGAAGAGAGGAAGCATCTTGATCAAGAGAGGAAGCACCTTGATCAAGAGAGGAAGTACTTTGTTGAAGAGAGGAAGCATCTTGATGAAGAGAGGAAGCATCTTGATGAAGAGAGGAAGCACCTTGATCAAGAGAGGAAGCATCTTGATCAAGAGAGGAAGCTGCATGATGGAGTGAGGAAGCATCTTGATCAAGAGAGGAAGCATCTTGATGAAGAGAGGAAGTACTTTGAAGAAGAGAGGAAGCACTTTGTTGAAGAGAGGAAGCATCTTGATGAAGAGAGGAAGTACTTTGAAGAAGAGAGGAATCACTTTGTTGAAGAGAGGAAGCATCTTGATCAAGAGAGGAAGCATCTTGATGAAGAGAGGAAGCACCTTGATCAAGAGAGGAAGTACTTTGAAGAAGAGAGGAAGCACTTTGTTGAAGAGAGGAAGCATCTTGATGAAGAGAGGAAGTACTTTGTTGAAGAGAGGAAGCACTTTGTTGAAGAGAGGAAGCATCTTGATGAAGAGAGGAAGCATCTTGATGAAGAGAGGAAGCACTTGATCAAGAGAGGAAGCACTTGATGAAGAGAGGAAGCTGATGAAGAGAGGAAGCATCTTGATCAAGAGAGGAAGCATCTTGATGAAGAGAGGAAGTACTTTGAAGAAGAGAGGAAGTCACTTTGTTGAAGAGAGGAAGCATCTTGATCAAGAGAGGAAGTACTTTGTTGAAGAGAGGAAGCATCTTGATCAAGAGAGGAAGTACTTTGAAGAAGAGAGGAAGCACTTGATGAAGAGAGGAAGCACCTTGATCAAGAGATTTGAAAAGAGAGGAAGTACTTTGATGAAGAGAGGAAGCACTTTGTGAAGAGAGGAAGCATCTTGATGAAGAGAGGAAGCACTTGATCAAGAGAGGAAGCATCTTGATCAAGAGAGGAAGTACTTTGAAGAAGAGAGGAAGCATCTTGATGAAGAGAGGAAGCACTTGATGAAGAGAGGAAGTACTTTGAAGAAGAGAGGAAGCACTTTGATTGAAGAGAGGAAGCATCTTGATGAAGAGAGGAAGCATCTTGATGAAGAGAGGAAGCACCTTGATCAAGAGAGGAAGCACTTGATGAAGAGAGGAAGCATCTTGATCAAGAGAGGAAGCTGATGATGAGAGGAAGCATCTTGATCAAGAGAGGAAGTACTTTGTTGAAGAGAGGAAGCACTTGATCAAGAGAGGAAGTACTTTGAAAAGAGAGGAAGCATCTTGATCAAGAGAGGAAGCACTTTGTTGAAGAGAGGAAGCATCTGATGAAGAGAGGAAGCACTTGATGAAGAGAGGAAGCACTTGATCAAGAGAGGAAGCACTTGAAAGAGAGGAAGCATCTTGATCAAGAGAGGAAGCTCTGATGAAGAGAGGAAGCATCTTGATCAAGAGAGGAAGTACTTTGAAGAAGAGAGGAAGCACTTTGTTGAAGAGAGGAAGCATCTTGATGAAGAGAGGAAGCACTTGATCAAGAGAGGAAGCATCTTGATCAAGAGAGGAAGTACTTTGAAGAAGAGAGGAAGCACTTGATGAAGAGAGGAAGCACTTGATGAAGAGAGGAAGCACTTGATGGAGAGGAAGCATCTTGATCAAGAGAGGAAGTACTTTGAAGAAGAGAGGAAGCATCTTGATGAAGAGAGGAAGCATCTTGATGAAGAGAGGAAGTACTTTGAAGAAGAGAGGAAGCATTTATGAAGAGAGGAAGCATTGATCAAGAGAGGAAGCACTTGATGAAGAGAGGAAGCACTTGATCAAGAGAGGAAGTACTTTGAAGAAGAGAGGAAGCACTTTGATGAAGAGAGGAAGCACTTGAAAGAGAGGAAGTACTTTGAAGAGAGGAAGCACTTGATGAAGAGAGGAAGCACTTGATGAAGAGAGGAAGCATCTTGATGAAGAGAGGAAGCACTTGATCAAGAGAGGAAGCATTTGATGAAGAGAGGAAGCTCTTGATGAAGAGAGGAAGCACTTGATCAAGAGAGGAAGCACTTGATGAAGAGAGGAAGCACTTTGAAGAAGAGAGGAAGTACTTTGTGAAGAGAGGAAGCATCTTGATCAAGAGAGGAAGTACTTTGAAGAGAGGAAGCACTTGATGAAGAGAGGAAGTACTTTGAAGAAGAGAGGAAGCATCTTGATGAAGAGAGGAAGCACTTGATGAAGAGAGGAAGCACCTTGATCAAGAGAGGAAGTACTTTGAAAGAGAGGAAGCACTTTGTTGAAGAGAGGAAGCATCTTGATGAAGAGAGGAAGCACTTGATCAAGAGAGGAAGCTCTTGATGAAGAGAGGAAGCACTTGATGAAGAGAGGAAGCATCTTGATGAAGAGAGGAAGTACTTTGAAGAAGAGGAAGTCACTTTGTTGAAGAGAGGAAGCATCTTGATAAGAGAGGAAGCATTTGATGAAGAGAGGAAGCACCTTGATCAAGAGAGGAAGTACTTTGAAGAAGAGAGGAAGCATCTTGATGAAGAGAGGAAGCACTTGATGAAGAGAGGAAGTACTTTGAAGAAGAGAGGAAGCATTTGAAGAAGAGAGGAAGCACTTGATGAAGAGAGGAAGCACTTGATCAAGAGAGGAAGCACTTTGATGAAGAGAGGAAGCACTTTGAAGAAGAGAGGAAGCACTTGATGAAGAGAGGAAGCACTTGATCAAGAGAGGAAGTACTTTGAAGAGAGGAAGCATCTTGATGAAGAGAGGAAGCACTTGATGAAGAGAGGAAGCACTTGATCAAGAGAGGAAGCACTTGATCAAGAGAGGAAGCTGATGAAGAGAGGAAGCATCTTGATCAAGAGAGGAAGCACTTGATGAAGAGAGGAAGTACTTTGAAGAAGAGAAGCACTTTGTGAAGAGAGGAAGCATCTTGATGAAGAGAGGAAGTACTTTGAAGAGAGGAAGCACTTGATCAAGAGAGGAAGCACTTTGATGAAGAGAGGAAGCATCTTGATAAGAGAGGAAGCACTTGATGAAGAGAGGAAGCACTTTGATGAAGAGAGGAAGCACTTGATGAAGAGAGGAAGCACTTGATGAAGAGAGGAAGCATCTTGATGAAGAGAGGAAGCATTTGATGAAGAGAGGAAGCACTTTGTTGAAGAGAGGAAGCATCTTGATGAAGAGAGGAAGCACTTGATGAAGAGAGGAAGCATCTTGTGAAGAGAGGAAGCACTTGATCAAGAGAGGAAGCACTTGTTGAAGAGAGGAAGCACTTGATGAAGAGAGGAAGCACTTGATGAAGAGAGGAAGCACTTGATGAAGAGAGGAAGCACTTGATCAAGAGAGGAAGCTGATGAAGAGAGGAAGCACTTGATCAAGAGAGGAAGCACTTGATGAAGAGAGGAAGTACTTTGAAGAAGAGAGGAATCTTGATGAAGAGAGGAAGCATCTTGATCAAGAGAGGAAGCACTTTGATGAAGAGAGGAAGCACTTGATCAAGAGAGGAAGTACTTTGAAGAAGAGAGGAAGCACTTGATGAAGAGAGGAAGCACTTGATGAAGAGAGGAAGTACTTTGGAAGAGAGGAAGCACTTGATGAAGAGAGGAAGTACTTTGAAGAAGAGAGGAAGTCACTTTGTTGAAGAGAGGAAGCACTTGTGAAGAGAGGAAGCATCTTGATGAAGAGAGGAAGCACTTGATGAAGAGAGGAAGCACTTGATCAAGAGAGGAAGCTGCATGATGGAGAGGAAGCATCTTGAAAGAGAGGAAGCATCTTGATGAAGAGAGGAAGTACTTTGAAGAAGAGAGGAAGCACTTTGTTGAAGAGAGGAAGTACTTTGATGAAGAGAGGAAGTACTTTGAGAAGAGAGGAAGCACTTGATCAAGAGAGGAAGCATCTTGATAAGAGAGGAAGCATCTTGATGAGAGGAAGCATCTTGATCAAGAGAGGAAGCACTTGAAGAAGAGAGGAAGTATTTGAAGAAGAGAGGAAGCACTTGATGAAGAGAGGAAGCATCTTGATCAAGAGAGGAAGTACTTTGTTGAAGAGAGGAAGCACTTGATCAAGAGAGGAAGTACTTTGAAGAAGAGAGGAAGCATCTTGATGAAGAGAGGAAGCACTTTGATGAAGAGAGGAAGTACTTTGAAGAAGAGGAAGCACTTGAAGAAGAGAGGAAGCATCTTGATGAAGAGAGGAAGCACCTTGATGAAGAGAGGAAGTACTTTGAAGAAAGAGGAAGCATTTGATGAAGAGAGGAAGCATCTTGATGAAGAGAGGAAGCATCTTGATGAAGAGAGGAAGCACTTGATCAAGAGAGGAAGTACTTGTGAAGAGAGGAAGCATCTTGATGAAGAGAGGAAGCACTTGATGAAGAGAGGAAGCACTTGATCAAGAGAGGAAGCATCTTGATCAAGAGAGGAAGCACTTGATGAGGAGGAAGCATCTTGATCAAGAGAGGAAGCATCTTGATGAAGAGAGGAAGTACTTTGAAGAAGAGAGGAAGCACTTTGTGAAGAGAGGAAGCATCTTGATGAAGAGAGGAAGCACTTTGTGAAGAGAGGAAGCATCTTGATGAAGAGAGGAAGCACTTTGATCAAGAGAGGAAGCACTTGATGAAGAGAGGAAGCATCTTGATCAAGAGAGGAAGCTGCATGATGGAGTGAGGAAGCATCTTGATCAAGAGAGGAAGTACTTTGAAGAAGAGAGGAAGCACTTTGATTGAAGAGAGGAAGCATCTTGATGAAGAGAGGAAGCACTTGATCAAGAGAGGAAGTACTTTGTTGAAGAGAGGAAGCATCTTGATGAAGAGAGGAAGCATCTTGATCAAGAGAGGAAGCTGATGATGGAGAGGAAGCATCTTGATCAAGAGAGGAAGTACTTTGAAGAAGAGAGGAAGCACTTGATGAAGAGAGGAAGCATCTTGATGAAGAGAGGAAGTACTTTGAAGAAGAGAGGACACTTTGTTGAAGAGAGGAAGCATCTTGATCAAGAGAGGAAGCACTTGAGAAGAGAGGAAGCACTTGATCAAGAGAGGAAGTACTTTGAAGAAGAGAGGAAGCACTTTGTGAAGAGAGGAAGCATCTTGATGAAGAGAGGAAGTACTTTGTTGAAGAAGAGGACACTTTGTTGAAGAGAGGAAGCATCTTGATGAAGAGAGGACACTTGATCAAGAGAGGAAGCACTTGATCAAGAGAGGAAGCTGATGATGAGTGAGGAAGCATCTTGATGAAGAGAGGAAGCACCTTGATGAAGAGAGGAAGTACTTTGAAGAAGAGAGGAATCACTTTGTTGAAGAGAGGAAGCATCTTGATGAAGAGAGGAAGTACTTTGTTGAAGAGAGGAAGCACTTGATCAAGAGAGGAATACTTTGAAGAGAGGAAGCATCTTGATGAAGAGAGGAAGCACTTGATGAAGAGAGGAAGTACTTGAAGAAGAGAGGAAGCACTTTGTTGAAGAGAGGAAGCATCTTGATCAAGAGAGGAAGCACTTGATGAAGGAGAGGAAGTACTTGAAGAAGAGAGGAATACTTTGTTGAAGAGAGGAAGCATCTTGATGAAGAGAGGAAGCACTTTGATGAAGAGAGGAAGCACTTGATCAAGAGAGGAAGCACTTGATGAAGAGAGGAAGCATCTTGATCAAGAGAGGAAGCTGCATTGATGAGTGAGGAAGCATCTTGATCAAGAGAGGAAGTCTTGTTGAAGAGAGGAAGCATCTTGATCAAAGAGAAGTACTTTGAAGAAGAGAGGAAGCATCTTGATCAAGAGAGGAAGCACTTTGTTGAAGAGAGGAAGCATCTTGATGAAGAGAGGAAGCATCTTGATGAAGAGAGGAAGCACCTTGATCAAGAGAGGAAGCTGCATGATGGAGTGAGGAAGCATCTTGATCAAGAGAGGAAGTACTTTGAAGAAGAGAGGAAGCACTTTGTTGAAGAGAGGAAGCATCTTGATGAAGAGAGGAAGCACCTTGATCAAGAGAGGAAGTACTTTGTTGAAGAGAGGAAGCATCTTGATGAAGAGAGGAAGCATCTTGATCAAGAGAGGAAGCTGCATGATGAAGTGAGGAAGCATCTTGATCAAGAGAGGAAGTACTTTGAAGAAGAGAGGAAGCATCTTGATGAAGAGAGGAAGCATCTTGATGAAGAGAGGAAGTACTTTGAAGAAGAGAGGAATCACTTTGTTGAAGAGAGGAAGCACTTTGTTGAAGAGAGGAAGCATCTTGATGAAGAGAGGAAGCACCTTGATCAAGAGAGGAAGTACTTTGAAGAAGAGAGGAAGCACTTTGTTGAAGAGAGGAAGCATCTTGATGAAGAGAGGAAGTACTTTGTTGAAGAGAGGAAGCACTTTGTTGAAGAGAGGAAGCATCTTGATGAAGAGAGGAAGCATCTTGATGAAGAGAGGAAGCATCTTGATCAAGAGAGGAAGCATCTTGATCAAGAGAGGAAGCTGCAGAGAGAGGAAGCATCTTGATCAAGAGAGGAAGCATCTTGATGAAGAGAGGAAGTACTTTGAAGAAGAGAGGAATCACTTTGTTGAAGAGAGGAAGCATCTTGATGAAGAGAGGAAGTACTTTGTTGAAGAGAGGAAGCACTTTGTTGAAGAGAGGAAGCATCTTGATGAAGAGAGGAAGCATCTTGATGAAGAGAGGAAGCACCTTGATCAAGAGAGGAAGCACCTTGATCAAGAGAGGAAGCATCTTGATCAAGAGAGGAAGCATCTTGATCAAGAGAGGAAGCACCTTGATGAAGAGAGGAAGCTTTCAGAGGATGCATGATGGAGTGAGGAAGCATCTTGATGAAGAGAGGAAGCGTAAGAACCGATAACATTTACAAAATATTAAATTTATTTTGTAAATTTTCCAAAAGCCTTAGTACCAATGTAATATAAATGCTCCAAAAATACCATCCCTCCTTCCAAAAGCGTAAAACCGATAACATTTACAAAATATTAAATTTATTTGTAAATTTTCCAAAAGCCTTAGTACCAATGTAATATAAATGCTCCAAAAATACCATCCCTCCTTCCAAAAGCGTAAGAACCGATAACATTTACAAAATATTAAATTTATTTTGTAAATTTTCCAAAAGCCTTAGTACCAATATAATATAAATGCACTAAAAACCCAACTGCCAATAGCATGTATTCAAAAAATGCAATTCAATACAAATTTGATTGCATTTTTTGAGATGGAAGTGTATCTGAATTCACAATTGTAATCACGAATACACTTCCATCTCATTGATAAGAGGCTAATGTTTTTCTCATTAATAAGGCGCTGTTGGCCTCTATCCATAGCCGAAGTGATATTAACGTATGTTAACGTACAAAGTAAAAACATGTTTTTTCTTTTTAAATCATTTAGTAATTAATAATATTTAGCACTCATAGTAAAAACATTAAATTTGTAAGAATCGTTATGAAGAAAATTGAGAACTTATGATTTTTATTTAAGAAAATGATTAAATAATATATAAATAACCATATAAACAACATTTTAGATTCCTCTGAAAAGAGTATCTCAAATTGGTCTATGACCAATTGAATGGTTCGCCGGTTATTCAAGGTACGGTAAAAATGTAAAATATTTTCAAAGAAAAAATTATATGAATTTTATATTTTAATTCTTAGCATTATACTGAATAAAATAAACATAAATATCAAAATTTGAAATTGAACACGCCAAAAAATTGATAATCCACATTCAATATTGAATTGTAAGTGGCTTAGGAATTAAATTTATTAAGATATATTTATATATAATAAACGATTACTTAAAAAAAAGTATTTCATCACTTATGTAAGTTTCAAAAAAATCACAAAAATAAAAAAATCAAGATTAAATTTTATTTTTAATTTTTGAATTTCTCAAATGGCGAAATTTTTGGGCGAACAAAAAAAATGTACGCCCGGTCAAATGGCGTGTTTAACGCATCCCTAGTTAGATGGATTAAAAGTATATAACTTATCAAGACATATAAAATTATTATTTGAAATGCATTAAAAATTGTAAAATGTTTAGAGATTGCTTTTTTCTTTAATTTCATTGTTTAAACATCAGTACAAATTATTGAATTCAATTTCACCAAATTCACAGTCAGACGCTTGTTGGGAGAAAAACCATTCATCAACTGATGGAGGGGAATATTGAGTACGTTCATTATTTTCTTGCGAAACAGAAATGGTATTCTGTTGCGAGATTCCAGAAGACTGTCCCTCAACTGTTGCACTGCAAAATGGTTGCTGTGTATCAGGAGCCAGATCATTTTTTTGCAAATTAGAAATGATATCATGATTTGGTGGTCCAGAAGACTGTCCTTCATTTGCCTTACTTTCAAATGGCATGGGTGGATCAAGACTTAGATCAATATTTTCCTGTAAATCAGGAAGTAAATCATAATTCGCAATTTCACCATATTGTCCGCCAATTGCTGTAAAATCTTCATCTGGATTAATATCTGGAAATTCAAAATCTTGGTAGTCAGGATTGAGACACTGGTTTGAACTCCCAGCCTTTTGTTCGATATTTGTGGAAATATCAAATTGCATTTGCATGTTAGGTTGAATAAGATCATGTTGATCATTATCAAGTGGTTCAGACATGTTACCCTGATTGTCTTTAGCATAAGTTGCATGGATCATTGACAAAATATTCTTTAACTCGTCATCATTTTTGAATTCATATCGCTCTTTCATAGAAAGTTTATCTCCAAGCATTACAACATATCCTGGCTTGTCTTTATGACGTCTGTATATTATTCTGCTCAGAAATGGTTTGGGTCTTGCCATACTGGGAATGACAATTAAATAATGAAGTGAATGTAAATTGAGTACTTGAATTGATTGAATTGATTCATCCTCAGAAAATTGTTAATATTCAATTATATATTAATTCTTATGGAAAAATAACTAATATCATATTATTATAGTTTAATTAAATTGAGGACCACTGGGAACGATAGAAATCACATTTTATAAAAAGGAAGGATAATAAAGTAGTAGATTAAATAAAAACTTCATTTTGGAAATTGAGTAAATTTATAGCTGAAAAAATGTGAATTTATTCTTCACAAAATTTAATTCCAGAAGTTTTGTCAGATTCACATTTTCATATGTTAATCCAAACAAATAATAGATATTTAAATTTCAGTAACATGGGAAAACTTGATATTACTAATTTAGCCTTAATCCTTATTTTATAATTCGAAATGAAAATAATCTAACGACAATGATTGAATAAATCATGACAATAGTTTCATGCTCATTTGTACCAAATTATTGACTAATCCAATTAATAAATTATAATATTAATCAAAAAAACAAAAAACGATGATCATTAATATAAATATATACCGACCAATGGGAATATTTAAACATGTATAAAATTATTTTTCAAAAATAAATTATTACAAAATGGAAAATTATTAAAAAGATACAATGGAAAAAAAAATAATTAATTTTCGACATTAGTATCAGATACTAAAAATCAACAAGTTCATTATAATACGAAACTTTAATAAGACAACATTTTATAATAATATAAATATAATTTTCTTTTTTTTTTAACATGATGCATCACACAAAAATGCATCACTTTCGAATCTCTCCATGAATCCAACTGCATTTACATTTAAGATCAGACGCTGAATGAGCATCTGATCCTGTGGAATATTCTGATCTTTGAACCTTTCATCAGCGAAGTACGGTAACAAACCTATAGCTGTTTTGACGATGAATTCGGCCTTATCATTTTGCATTTCTTTGAACATATCAAGTACTGCTTGTTCAGGCTGCAACATGTTGTGTTTGATGAACTTGGCAACAGACCACAAAGCTTGACATCTAACAACAGGTGATTTATCAGTTGTCATTGATAAAATGACGTTCAAAACTTCAGGTTCTTTTGCGAAACCGAAAAAAAAGGCGGCAGCTGCTCGATAGTCATCTCTTCTTGATTTGACTAATGGCATGAACTTCGAGATATACTCTGGTATTGTCATCAATCTCGAGGCCCTTTCCAACAACAAGCCTAAGAACAAAGCGGAATAAGGAGCGCATTGCGTTGCTTTTTCAATACATAATGGAATCAAACGTGAAAAAGCGGTTTGGCCTGTAATTGAAATAGACAATGCGAGGCAGAGGAATCCGGCTTTGAGGACACCAGGATCTTTCGTGTTCTGGAAGTTTATTGGGATTTGTGGATCAAATGGAGAAATCTTTTCACTTGCAATGCATTTGGCAACGACAACAAGGCTTGCTGCTGATGGTTTCTCGAGGTTTACGATGATCTTTGGTATGGAGGACCTCGAGCATGTCGAAGCTGCTCCTTCTGTAGAATCAATGAAATTAAGAAGGAGATGAACGGCATCTTGGTGGAATTCCGTTCTGAGGTAGAATGAGAATATCGGTAATGAGTCGGTGGATGGGAATGATGAGAATGACTTCGAGAAGATTTTGAAGACTGTGATCATTGATCTGTCTAAAGGCATCGTAAGGAAGCAGTCTATGGCTGTATCCCACATGCCCCAGAGTGGGTGGCTGGACATGTTCTTCAATTCTGGGTATGTTGAAGGATGGATGTTAAATGAATTTAAAATTCTTTGTGCAAGGACAAATCCGCGCGCAAGAACAAAAACGGATGTGTCAAATGCAAATTTTTCGTATATCGCTGATATTTGGGAGTCGAAGAGTATTGCATCTAAGAATGCATCGAGGAATTTCTTGATAACATCTTTGTTGTTGTTAACTGCTGAATTTTCAAACTCTAAAACATTGCTATGATGCCTACGATGGAACCAGATGGCTGTTTCGAATGGAGTAAGAAGACAGGCCGAAAATAGGTCAAGTGGCGCATCTATACTCAAAGGAAGGGTTTCGCTGGCACCACAAGCGAAAAATGCAAACGCATCCGATTTTGAAGAGAAGAAGCGTGGCAAGCATCCTGCATTTGGAGCATCAATTATGACACATAATGGACATGGGCAGGAATTGAGTAAGTTGATGATTTTAATTGGCTTATAACGCGTCCTATCTTCAGAAAAGAAGTATAATGAGCCATCTTCGGTTGGCGGATGGCAGCCATGGCCGAAATAATGAATTAGAATACGCTGCGGAGGCAAAGAAGTAGCATGCTTACGCAATAACGTAAGTACTGTTTGTGCTGATGGATCTACCGCCATGTCACAATTGCATTGCACGGCGTTATTGTAAATATCTTGAACTCCATTTTTAGATGCGGGCGCATAATAAGTTGGATCGAAGGTTAAGAGTTGGCGTTGGCAAACTGTTCTTGGTTTACGAACTAATCGACGAATTGAAGGATTTCGAAGCCCATCAAATAGACAGAATAGACAAATTGCTGCTTTTGTCTTATTACATGCTTGGGGTAGCTTTCCGATTGAGCTTTGCGGTCTTTGAAACACAATTGGTGTTCTTGACACAATTCTCTTCGTTGCTACCATCGCCGCCATTTTCTTCTAAAATTGAGTTTATTATTTTAAAAATTCAGTGATCGAAAAATTGATAATGAATGATTGAGCGTTCGCTATTAATTAAGAATTTCGACCACACGAAATATTCATGCCACCTCCCCTAAACTATATTTATTTATGAATACGTATTCATTCAATTTTTAAGAGATATTCTGAGTTTTGGCGGAAATATAAATAAAATCATTTCAATCAAAGTTCTCATTTTCGACAGATTTTGTACAACCTCCGAACACATTTTTCTTCAGTTAAATAAGCGCATTGTCAGAATACTTTTGATATTTCCGAAGAGTTTTCATCGTAGCGGTAGAGAAATAAGTTCAAAATTTTGAAAACACACCAATCAAATCTTAGGGCGTAGAATTATGTCTTTTGTGCTGGAACAGAGAAAGTTCAATTCTGATTTTAACCCCTTTTTATCTGTGGAGAAAACAGTCTTACAAATCTATCATAAGGATATTATTTATTAAATTATTTCACAGGAAATACATATGTAATGCCTGTATATAGCTTGATATTAAATACCTAAATGATTTTTTACCCCTGAAAATTATATGATAAAATATTTTACAGCTCAAGTTAATATGGAATAGATCACATGCACACACACAACGAATATTTTCATTAAACATTGGATTTATGTCTGATTCCTTCAAAAGATTTCATCACAAATTACAATCTATATATATTTGAGGTAATAACGCCAAATCATCGCACTAATACATCTGTAAAAGACATATCTAACTAATTTATTCACGTGTAGAGTTGAAAGTAATGATTTCTCATCTCTTGAAGTGAGAAAAAGTGGCAAATTTAGATGAGTTCTGAACCTTGGGCCGGATCAACAGTTGAATCTTGGCTAGAGAATGTTGTTGAATCCTCCAAGGCAGAGTATCCGGAAGAAGTTGTGGAAAATATCACACAATTACTTCTTTCGGATTCATCGGATGTAAATATACGATCAAAATTGTCAAATCTATTAGGACCTTCAGTAAAGACTCCTGTGGATATATTTTTAGATTGGAGAGATCAAATTATCAAATATTTTCATCAGAAATATCAAAATTCAAGTCAAACTAAACAAGAATCGAAACCAATTTTAGCTCCAATTAAGCGCACTAAGCCAATAAAACCAGTCGTAAAAGCAATTTATAAAAATACCGAAACAATCAACATGTCAAGATATGATGTTCAAGCAACTACTCTTGAAAAGCCAAAAATCGATAGAAAACAACTTTCTGATTTACCAGATTGGGTACGACAATGTTTTAACGGCTGTACAGAATTTAATGATATTCAATCCCAAATTTTCGAAACAGGATACAACACGGACGACAATATGCTTGTCTGTGCCCCAACAGGTGCTGGTAAAACAAATGTCGCTATGATTACTATTCTTCATGAAATTAAAAAACATATTATCGAAATTCCGGGAATTCCACCTCACATTGATGATTCTCCCTTCTTAATTGTCTATATTACACCCATGAAAGCACTTGCCATGGAAATCCAAGACAAGCTTAATACCGCATTAAAGCATTTGAAAGTTGTTGTTGAAGAATACACCGGAGATACATCATTATCATCTGCACAAGTAGAGAAATCCCAGATCCTTGTTGCTACACCAGAAAAGTGGGATGTTGCCACAAGAAAAGCCGGAGAAAACGCTCCAAGTATGCGATTGAAACTCCTAATTATTGATGAAATCCATCTTTTAGCCGATGACAGAGGTCCTGTCATTGAATCATTAGTTGCAAGAACTCTTCGACAAGTAGAACAAACGCAGAAGCAAATCAGAATCCTTGGATTGTCCGCGACATTGCCTAATTACACTGATGTCGCAAATTTCATTCGTGTTCCTGATAATGGTTTGTTTTATTTCGGTCCAGAATACAGACCTGTTCCATTGGCAATGACATTAATTGGTGCAAAGAAGACAGATAAATGTCCTGACCAAGACAGCCAGAAACTATACAATGAACTTAAGCAGCCAGGCTACAAAGATGAATCAATACAAGTTGATGTTTTAGGTATCCAAGTTTTGAAAGAAATTTTAGGGAAAGGATCGCAAACAATTGTTTTTGTTCATTCAAGAAACGAAACATCGAAGTATGCACATATAGTAAATAGATATTTAGGTACTTCTGCAACTGATGAATTATTAACACAAGCAGGAAAACGAAATTTAAGTCCACAATTACGAGAAACAATTGCATTGGGAATTGGTATTCATCATGCAGGACTTCCTAGACAAGACAGAGTTTTCGTTGAGCAAATGTTTAGATCTAACATGTTCCAGATACTTATTTGCACATCAACATTGGCATGGGGTGTAAATCTTCCTGCTCATTCTGTTGTCATCAAAGGAACAAAAGTTTATAACACAGAACTCGGAAAAATCGAAGATATCGGTATTTTGGATGTCCACCAGATGTTCGGAAGAGCTGGTCGTCCTCAGTTCGATACATGCGGTGAAGCGTATTTGATTACAGAAGCCAATGTTTTGTCAAGTTACACAAAAACTTTGGTTAACGCTGAACCAATTGATTCCAAATTCATGAACAAACTCGAAGATTGTTTGAACGCCGAAGTATCTTTGGGAACTGTCGCATCAAAAGAAGATGCAATACGTTGGGCAACATATACATTTATGTACCAATTAGAACCAAATTACGAAAGAACTGTTGATTCAATAAGAAGAGCAATTAAAAACCTGACAAAATATGGAATGGTCAGATACTCAAAAACAACTGAAATATTGCATCCAACACATGTTGGTTTGGTTTCTTCTATGCACTACATTCCTTTCGATGCTGTAAGATTTTTGAATGAAAATCTTAAAGGAGAAATGGAAGAAAGTGAATTAATTGACTGCGTTTTCGCTTCAGGAATTTGTGATTCGATCACTGTCAGAAAGAACGAATACAAAGAAATGGAAGTTTATAAGCCAGTCATTCCTTTCGCATCAGCTATTGAAGAAGTATCAGGAAAAGTCAATTTCCTTCTCCAAACATATATAAGTCGAGAACCTTTGAAGACAACAACTCTTCAGTTAGATCAAGGTTGGGTTGCAGATAATATTTCCAGAATTTTCGATGCGATTTTCGAAATTTCTGTTGAAAAAGGTTGGTGTTTCTTAGCCTCATTCTGTTTGGACTTGTGCAAGATGGTACAAAGAAGAATGTGGTGGTGCAGAATGAGAACAGATTGTCCTTTAATCCAAATTATGTCTTTTCCTCGCGATGACCAACTTTTGAAAAGAATTATAAGACAAGGTTTGTCAATTGATGATATCAAACAGATCGATTTCAAAGAGCTCTGCAATCTCTTGAGAGGTGATAATTACGCAGCACAATCTTTGGATTACGCCAAGAAATTCCCTTCTGTAAGAATGAGTTGTTATTATCAACCGATTTCTGACAAATATTTGAATATTGTAATTGATGTCACTTTTCCATTTGAATGGGATTATAACATTTGTTCACAATTCATGAACTATAAGATATTCATTGAAGATGGTGATGAAAATATTTTCTATATTGCAAGTGAGTTTTCCATCGATGAAATTCTTGCAAAAACTGGAATGCAATTGAATTACTGTGTTCCAATTGCTCTTGGTTCGAAATCTTACATCATTTCGATTACTTCATCTGAATATTTAGCAGCAGGTGATAGATGCACATTAAAGATCGAAAGAATCAGCAAATTATATGAACCATACAAGTCAGCATTAGTTCCTTTGATGGCATTACCAATTGCTGCTTTGAATGACATGGAATACATGAAATTCTTTGGTTTCAAGTTCTTCAATGAGATCCAAACACAACTGTTTTACCAAGTTTACCACACAGATGCAAATATTTTGTTGTGCGCACCAAATGGAACAGGCAAATCAGTTATTGGTGAATTGGCCATTTTCAAACAACTTCTTGAAAATGATGATTCAAAGATTTTGTATTTGAATCCTTTACAAATTTCTTTGGATGAAAAAATATCAAATTGGAAAGAAAAACTTCCAGCGAAATTCTGCTGGCTATCAGGTGATTTCTCCAAAGACTGTTCTTTGATACAAAAGCATAGAATCATCGCTGCAAATCCAGAAGATTTTGATAATGTGTCAAAAGTGAAGTCAATGAAAATCTTTTTGTTACGTTTCAAATTAATAATTATTGATGATATCCACATGATGAACACCAACAAAGGTGCTCTTATAGAAGTAATTGTTGATCGAATGCGCAAATATTGCAGGAAATTAAGATTTGTTGTTATTGGAAACACCGTTGCAAATCCAATTGATTTAGCCGTTTATTTCGAAGTTGAATTGAAACAAACATTCAATTTCCCATTGGAAGCACGTCCTGTTGAAATGAAATTCCTTTTAAGAGGATTCCCAGGACGAAACTATTCAGCGAGAATGGCATGGCTGCGATGAACAAACCTCTTTCTGATTCAATTAAATCTTTCTCTGAAGAATTGCCAACAATTATTTTCGTGTCAAGTAAGAAACAGACGAAATTGACAGCAAGTGAACTCATTGACTACGCAAACAACAGAGGAGAACCAGACTATTACAAGACAAAAGAAAGTACAGAAATGTCAGAAAAAGTTGATAACGAGGAATTGAGATATTTCTTGTCATTCGGAATTGGCATTCATCATAATTCATTAACGGATAAAGACAAGAAGATTGTTGAAGGTTTGTTTAGAAGAGGACAATTAAGGCTTCTTATTGCTCCTGTTTCTTTTGCTTGGGGTAAGTTTTTACCTGCAAAATTCGTTGTCATAAAAGGAACAGAATATTTCGATACAAAAACAAACCAATACGTTCCTTATCCAATCCAAGACATGCAGCAGATGATGGCAAGAGCAGGAAGACCTTATTTGGATCAAGAAGGTTTGTTAATGATCTATTGCGAAGAAAGTAGAAAAGAATTCTTGCAGAATTTCGTTTATTCTCCTGTTCCAATTGAATCTTCATTACCTAGTGTATTATTAGAAGTTATCAATGCAGAAGTAAGCAGCAGAAACATCAGATCTTTCAATGGAATGATGTCTTTCTTGCACAGATCTTTTCTTTTCATCAGAGTTAACCAGAATCCGAAATATTACATGAAAAACTTGGATGAAATCGCTAATGAAATCGTTGATAAACTTATCAGATATGAGTGTGTCTCAATCAATCATGAAGGAAAATTAAAACCAACACAATTAGGAAGAATTGCTGCTCTTTATGGTGTTTCTCCTTCAATTGTCCATAATTTCTTTGAGAAAACAAATGACGCAATGTCAATTGATTTGTTACTTAAAAGCATCTGTAATTCAGCAGATTTATCTGAAGTTCCTATCAGATTTGGTGAAGACAAGATATTGAGTGAAATGACACCGAGATATGAATATCACGAACCTTTGACTTCTGCTGCTGCAAAAGCATTTTTCATTTTGAACTATTACTTTTCAAACAGAAGAATGCCGAACCAAGATTTCGAAGCTGACAAAGCCGTGATACTCAAACAGACTCTCAAAATAGCTAAATGTTTCAGCGAAATCTGTTGCGTCAAAGGATTAGCAAATGAAACATTAAACTGTTTGGGAATTGTTCAAATGATTAATTTCGGTTTGTGGAATGATTCAAATCCACTTTTAGTACTGACAAACGAAGCCTTTGACTTCAAATACATTCACGAAGTCATGTTCACGAAACAGAGATTGCCAAAGATCTTGAATGAACTCAGAAACAATTTCTGTCTCTACAAGAAAACACAGATATTGTTGGATAGAACAAGAACTGCAATTAGAATTGAACTTGAAAAAGTGTCAGGAACAACAGGATCCCAAATTTTCAACAAGAATTTGGAGAATCAAAACACAATGCAGGCATTGCATGTGTTAGTTGTTGGCATCAAATCAGGAAAACTCTATTGCCACGACAGAGTTGTCTGCGACAAAGAAAATTTGATCGTAGAAATGCCAAGTATGTCAACAATTCCAAAAAGTGACATCTGGATTTATTTGATTCCAGAAGGAATGGTTGGCATGGATCAAATGGTTCCTTTGGTTGCACTCGATCTCGATCACTTGAGAAGAGTCACAAAGGAGTCACTTCACATTTCTAAACCGCCAGCTCCTGTCAAATTAGGAGCTCCACCACGAAAACCAATTCAACAAAAGAAGAACGATGAAGATATTGATTTCGGAGTTAACGAACTCGAATTCAATGAAGCGAATGTTTTCGAAGAAGTCGTGAAATGGGAAGACAGAGTTTTCGGAAAGAGAAAACAACAAGAAGAACCAGTAATGAGTCAATTCGTTGGAAGAAAACAACAACCACCAGAACAAGCAATGCCTGAATACACATTCGATAAGAATGGAAGAAGGAGAAGAGTTCAACAGGCTGAACCTGTAGGTGATAATTACACAATCGACAGATATGGAAGAAGAAAGAGAGTTCAGAAAGAAGAACCTGTCCAAAGTGGTCCTCATTACAGAAGAAGAGAAGCAATTCCTGATAACATGCTGAAATTCTCAGGATTCGACAGCAGAATGAGACACAAACAACAACCAGAAGAACCTGTTGTGAACAGAGACAGAAGACGAAACAAATTTAAATTTAAGCAAGAACCAGAGATACACAAAGAAGAAGAATCTTTCTACGAAGAAGAAGAAATCTACGTCATGGAAGAAGACAATCAGGAACCTTTGGAACCAGAAGTTGATGACTTAAACATTGCAGCAGAAACTGATGAAAAAGTAGAAGAAAAACAAATTGAAGCTGAACAAGAAAAGAAAGAAGAGGTCATCGAAGAAAAGAAAGAAATGGTTGAAGAAAAGAAAGAAGAAACGGTTGAAGAGCAGAAAGATGTTGTTGAAGAAGAAAAGAAAGCAGATATTAAAGAAATGACAGAAACATTTGAAGAGAAGAAAGAAGCTGCAGAGGAAAAGAAAGCTGAGGCTGTTGAAGAACAGAAACAAGGTGAAACCGTTGAAGAAAATAAAGAAGCTGTTGAAGAAAAGAAAGTTGAGGAAGTTCAGGAAGAAACTAATAAAGAAAATGTTGAAGTCAAGGAAGAGAAGAAACAAAACGAAATTGAGGAAGAAGAGAAAGAAGTAACTCAAGAAAAAGAAACATCAAATAAATCTGATTCCAAAGAAGAAATTCAAGATGAACAAAAAGTTTCTGAAGAGAAAGAAACTGAAGAAATCAAAGAAGAGAAGAAAGAATCAGAAACTAAAGAAGAAATCAAAGTTGAAGAGAAACAGAATGAAGAAGTTAAAGAAGAGAAGCCAGCAGAAATTCTACCTGAAAAAGAAGAACAAGTGGAAGAAGTAAAGACTGAAACTAAACTTCAAGAAATTGTTTCTACAAAAGAAAATGAAACAGAAGAAACTGAATCTAAAGCTGAAAATCAAGCTCCAATTGAAGATAAAGAAGAACCAGTTAAAGCTGAAATTTCTCAAGAAGTTACTATTTCTAAAGAAGAACAAAAAGATTTGGTTGAAGTAACTAATGAAATCAATGAAGAAGAAAAAGTTGAAATTCCTAAAGAAGAAATTGTTTCTAAAGAACCAGAAGAAAAAGTCAATATAATCGAAACACCAGCAGAAGACGTCAAAGATGAAACTTCTAAAGAAGAAACTACTTTGGAAGAAACAAATATTGAGGCTCAAGCAGAAGAAGTCAAAGAAGAAACTCCAGAAGAAAAGATTGAATTAGATGAAGCTCCAGAAGAAATTAATGATGAAACTTCTAAAGAAGAAACTACTTTGGAAGAAACAAATATTGAGGCTCAAGCAGAAGAAGTCAAAGAAGAAACTCCAGAAGAAAAGATTGAATTAGATGAAGCTCCAGAAGAAATTAATGATGAAACTTCTAAAGAAGAAACCAAAGTTGAGATTCAAGAAGAAATTAAAGAAGAAAATCCAGAAGAAGTCAAAGAAATTGAAGAAGTTAAAGAAGAGGAGGAAGAGATTGAGGAAGAGGAAATTGACATTGATTTACTTACATCTTTAGCAAATCAAGTTGCAGGAATGAATGCTTTAGATGAGGATAGTTTGAGTGATTTCCTTGATGATGATGACGAAATCACCAAACCAAAGAAATCAGAAAAATTCGAAACTTATGATGAATTCATTCAGAAACAAAACTTAGAAATTGATTCTGATTTAGAACTTCCTTCGAAACAAATCTATGAAACAAAAATTGATTCTGATGATGAAATTCTTCCTGCAAAGAAAGGACAAAAATTAGAAATTGAAGATGAAATTCAAAAGAAAGAAGAGCTTCCACAACAAGAAATAAAGAAAGAAGAAATCGAATCAGATGATGACATTCTTCCACCACAACCTCCAAAAGAAACAAAGAATGATATTATTCCTCAGACAAACGAAGAAACAATTGAAGAAATTCCACTTCAAACAAAGAATGAACCAAATGAAATTCAAAAGATTGAAGAAGAAAAGAATGAGGTCAAGGAAGAACTTCCATCTAAGACTGAAGTTAAAGAAATTCCACAAACTAAGGAAGAAGAACAAAAGAAAGAATCAAATGAAGAAATGCAAAAGAAGGAGACAGAGTTTGAGTCAGATGATGATTACAACATCGATGATGACGAAAATATTGAAGATATCTATGAAGATGAACAAGTAAAGAAACCAGATGTTGAAGAAGAGAAAAAGAAGGAAGATCAGCCAGTTCTAGAACTCAAAGAAGTTCCTTCAATTCAACAAATTTCTAAAGAACAAAACATTCCTTTAGAAGTAGAAACAATTGATGCAAAACGAAAACAAGAATCAGAATACGAAGAAGAAGAGGAATATTACTACGAGGAAGATGAAGAAGAAGATTACTACGAATATTACGAAGAGGAAGAAGAAATCATTGAAAAAACTCTCAAAAAAGATGTCCAAAAACAAGAAGAAAAAGAAGAAAAAAGTCCGAAACTCAACATCGATAACCTCAAAACAGAAATCACAAAGATAAAAGAGAGTCATCAGAAGACATTAAACATGCAAAATCCAAGAACTTCTACTTTAGTTGTTGTAAACAACGATGATGACAAGAATTTGGTCGAAGAAATTCCTAAAAAGGCAGTTGTTGTCGAGATAAAGAACAAACCACTAGAAATAACTCTTCCTGTTCCTCCAAAGAAAGAAGAACCTCCTGTTAAAATCGATGTTCAAAAACCAAAAGATCAAATTCTTCATCAAAAACCTCTTAAAACTCAATCTAAAAGTGAAGTGGCCAAATCAAAGAAGAAGAGGCAGCAAAGACCAGCTCTCTTGATCAGCCACGATCCGGATGATCCAAACTATGATCCTCTTGAATTCTTGAAGTCTTTGAATTCAAAACTGGCAGCTGACAAGCCGCCAAAAACCGCTTCCAGACGAAAACATGTTGACAAACCAGTAGAAGTTTTAGAGGACGAACTTATACAAAAAGGCAAAGTTAGAGTTCGCAAACAGAAAGTTATCATCAAATTAGGTTCTAAAGCGCAACTTCCTCTTCCAGAAGTTGCAGAGAAATTACATGAAAGAAGGAAGAGAAGAAGCAAATTTGTTACGAGATCAGGACAAAGAATCCAAAGATCAAGGAATGTTTCTCATTCCCAAGATCAATTTGAAGAAGAAATTGAACAAAATGATGAACAAATTGTTAATAATGTTCTTGAAGAAACTAAACAACCAGAAGAAGTTAAACAACAAACAACAAATATTCAAACAGAAGAAAAACAACAGCAGAAACAAAGTAAAAAGAAGAAAGATGATAAATTCGCTGTTTGGAGACCAAACAACCAAGAACAAACTGCTAAAGAACAAGAAGAGAAATCTCCGCCACAAAAGAAGAAGAAAGATAACAAATTCGCTGTTTATAGACCTCAGCAACAGAAAACAGAAGAAACTCCTCAAAAACAAGAAGAAAAAGCTCAAATTTCCGAAGAAAAAACTCAACAGAAATCAGAAGATGTCGATGAATATAATATTTTGATTTCTGAGGCTCAATGGGAAGATGATACTGCAGAAATTTATCTCAGCCACTTCAGAAGACCTTACAGAACAAGGCCAAGAGGTGGAAAACATTGAAATTTATTGTTATTTTAATTTTTTTATTGTTAATATCGTAAAAATTTTATTGTTATTTAGTGTAAATATCATAATGAAATCCTTATCATCCGATTGATGCCAACGATATTAATCATATGAAAATACATAGTTAATTATCAAAATCATTTTTTATTCGTTCTGAAATTATAAATACAATTGTAATGCATCATGGAATTTTTCACACAGACCTTAAAAATTGGTAAGGGTGATTGATTTTTCCATGGGCTTTCAATGTATTTGTATAATTTAAAGTAATATAGAATTCGATTCGTTCTTGCATTGATCCATTTTTTCATATTTACTTCCTTCTGAAATAATCGTAATGGTATTAAACAAGAAAGAAATAGCAATTCATGGAACCTTGCAAAATAATACTATGATGCCAAAAGTTTCTCTAACTCTATAGGGCATGCATAGAAATCAAAAAATTCTCGATCTCTTTGTTAGCTTCTAATCTTGCATAATAAAGAGCTGTATGGCCGTCTCTATCTTTTTCATTGATATTTGCTCCCTTTGAAATTAGAATTTTTAATGCTTCTAATGATCTTCCTCCTGCGGCGAGATGAAGAGGTGTGCGTCCATTCCTATCTTTTGCATTTATATCAGCACCATGAGAGATTAGGATGGTCAATATGCTGTTACTACCTACTTATGCAGCTTCATGAAGACAAGTTCGTTTGAGTTTATTTTTAAGATTTATTTTAGCCGCTGAATGAATGAGAAGTTCAGCCATTTCTTTATTGTTATAATTTGCTGCGAAATGAAGTGGTGTTTCTCCATATTTATCATGGGCGTTAACATTTGCACCAAAAAATAATAGAACTTTAGCGACTTCTACGCTATTGCCCATTGATGCATGATGCAGAGCAATCCTTCCCAAATCATCTTTTATACTATTAACTTTTTGGAAAAAGTCGCTTGAATTCAGCAAAAACTTACATATATAAATTGTATTAAAAGCTGCTGAAAAATGAAGTAACGCTTCTTTATCAGAAGAGGTCTTAAATAGATCGACTTTTTCATTAACAAGTATTTCTATTGTTTCTGGAAATGCAGCACACCACGGAATAATTGAATTTTTATCTTCTTTGAACATTAGAAATACTGCTTTCAAGTTTTGTGAATCGATTATATTTTGATATTCAATTTCTTCTAATCTAAATAAATTTCTTTCGAAAACATATTCTAAAAATTTATTGTTATGAGATGAAATTATATTGTTCATGCATTCACTATCTATTGTAAACTTCTTCAAGCATTCATTGATGATATCTGTATTTCCACCTATGAATGAATATTCAAGGCAATCCGATGTAATTTCTTGATTTAAACATGAAATTATAAACTGAAAAATGTTCACTGATCCAAAATAGCAGCAAGATTCGATAGCATTTAGCCTGAAAAATCCATAAATTTTAATTCGTATATACTCAAAAGAATTTTGAACTACATATTCTTTGAATTTATCAATTTTGTCATACATTATTATTTCTTCAATGGAATTTTCTCTTGGAATCGAACCTATTATGATATTTATTTGATTAACATTTTCAGAATTAGTGAATATACGCAAGTGATCTGATCTTAATATTAAATATTTAAGGTGACCTAAATCAAATGAATATTTAGAGACGAATTGATTAATAACATTGACATAAAGCTCAATAGATCGATAATTATATTTAATTGCTATGAATAAACTCTTAATAAGCTCCAATATACGGGTTTTATACTTGTTGATAATTATTGATTCAAACAAATTAAAAATTACTTCCAGTTGTTCATTGCTATTCAAATGAAATATCCTTTCATATGTTTCTATGAATTTATCATACTGCTTTAAATATTCTAAATGCATGAAAAACAACAACCAAAGTGTCACTTTTTAAAAGGCAAAAAAATAGAAAAATAATTTCTTGTCGTTTAACAAAACCCCAAAGTTTCTAAGTTATTCAGAGTAAAGTTATCGACCAGGAGACATTGGAAGACCCAATCGATGATTTTCGAACTATGAAAGACAAGCTTTGATCTTGGTTCATCAAAACATATTTTGGCTCTTTACAATTATTCTCTGACTCCATTGGTTTCAAACAATGAAAACAGAAACGGAGTAAGTATTAACAACCTCAAAAACAATCATATGGATATAATTTTGTTTGAATATTTTCATTAAAAAAAATCCCGTGGGGTAGAATAGAGTTAAAAATTGCGCCTTGGCAGCTCCACCACCTCTGCACTATTAAGAGCACATCTTATTTAATATATCTTTTTTCTTTTTTCCTTCTTCTTTTCTTTCACTCTTTCTCTTCTTTTCCTTCTAACCTTCTCTCTTTCCAGCAATGTCGAAGATATTCGGAATTGATTGCTGAAAAAGCATCTATTTCAGATAATGGATGTCTTTCAAAACTTGCAGTTACAAGTGATAATGCTACTCAAATTGAGGTGCACTTACACCCAAATGACATGGCCTTAAATTCTGTTTTAAGGTTGGTTTTCAATTATAATTCTCGTCAATTGCAAAAAAAAAATGCAAATACACTTGAACAATTGCTGTATTTATTGAAGAAGTCTTAAACTTGTATCCTAATCTATATTCATGAATATTCTTATTTCTAATTTCTTTTTCCATTTGACAAATAAAGTTTTATCCATACTTGTCAACTTATTTATGTATATGCATTGGAGTTTATAAATTCCAAATTCAAAATATGAAGATTCCGATCACCAACGTGTTTTTCCAAATTCCAACCGTTCATAAATTCATTACCATATTCATAAATTCCGTCGCCTTTATTAATAAGTCTATTGAATAAAAGTCTGATGGACGTGAGTTAAATTCTTAACTGTATTTTAATTTTCGTATTCAAATATGTTTCATAGTTCAAGTTTGGAACAGTTTTTATCATTTAATTTTTCCTTTAGTTTATTAATTTTTCCTCCATGCAATATGGCGTCAAAAATTTTCTCACTGGGTTTTCGTCTATCAATCTCAGCTCATTATATACGCAACCAATCAAAAATCTGATATGGGAGTCCAAGGCTAACTTTTTGTTGTCTACCTAATAAAAGAGGAAGCAGCATTAGTGAGAATAATCGCAAATATTCAATTTAAATTATCTTTTTATTCTTAATTTAAAGTGACAAAAAGAATAAAAAACCTATTCTAAGGCATGTTGTTATGTAAATGAGACTAGACATCATATTTTATGTTATGAAAAAAAAATATTTAGAATTTTAGAACAAAATAAATAGAAAAAATAGCATAACTTATGGATGTGCGTATATTAAATTTAATAAATTAAGAGAAATTATTTTTGGCGCCAAAATTATTCGTTAACTCTCAAATTTTTCTGAGTCAATAAGCCGCCAAAAAAGTGTCATTTTGTTTCGTTAGAGAAAGATGAATTGTCCATGTCATCCAATCGGGAACAAGGGGGATGGGGATTAGATGATAAAGAAGCAATTCATGCTCTCTATCTGAAGCAATCAGACTTACCAGCAACAATGTGAATCAGTCTTTCACTGAATGAGTAGGTGTTGGAAGAACTGTTCTCTAAAGCGATACAGTTGCGCTACATGTTCGTCAACTTGTCTAGAAATAAATATATCATTTGTTTTATACGTTTTTTCGTAATAAATCTATTTGTATTTGTTGTATTTGAGTATGAAGATAACAAAAACTACGGCATAAGACGCAGTACACTGGGCTTCGTTGCCATTTTATTTACCATGTTAAGAATAAACTTAACAGACATGCTTTGTTTTCGACGAAGCCATCTAAAATAACGTACATCTAAATAAAACTAAAAAACTGTAAAATTTCTTTATTTGATAGTATACTTCAAATTATGCACTATACCTTCTAGAATTCTATAACACTCTTTGCATATAATTTTTTTAAAAAAGGTTATATCTCGACAAAAATATGATTTATCAATAGAGTATGTAAAATAAAACTCATTCGCAGTATTAAAAAATCGTAAATCTTTCCAAAAAAATTTTGAATTACAAATTTTAAAACTTAAAACAACATTTTTTGAAGCGAAAAAACGAAATCTAATTTTTTTTTGGAAAATTTAGAATAAATAGAGCTCTTTAACTCGTCGAATACAAATTGTTTTCAAGTTTTTTTCGACCGGAAATTGAACTTTTAGAGTTTATACAATAAGATTCACATGAAAAAATACGGGTTTAACAAAGAAATCACCAATATAAAGGTTTTTTAGTAGAACGAGATTGATAAAAACTATGGTATGATAAAAAGACGATAATTTTTTTGGCGGGATAATTGAAGAATATGAATGATTCGAATTACAGACATACTCTAGTCCGAAACTTACTATGGTTCGTGACTTATTTTTGACACAGAATAGCTGTAGACTAAGGCTTACTCTAGATCCAGACTTATTATACAATTAAATTTGCTTTTGGAATAAGACTTAATTTTAGTTACAAACTTATCTTAATATCAGACTTATATTTAGAATCAGACTTACTTTAGTCTAGAACTTACATTTAGAATCAGACTTCCATTTCAAGTCAGACTTACTTTCGTCCGAAACTTACATTTCAAGTCAGACTTACTTTCGTCCGAGACTTACATTTCAAGTCAGACTTACTTTCGTCCGAAACTTACATTTCAAGTCAGACTTACATTTCAAGTCAGACTTCCATTTCAAGTCAGACTTACTTTCGTCCGAAACTTACATTTCAAGTCAGACTTACTTTCGTCCGAGACTTACATTTCAAGTCAGACTTACTTTCGTCCGAGATTTACATTTCAAGTCCAAGGAAAAGAGACTATTGATGACTTACTTTCCATCGATGGTGCACAACAGCAGGGAGGGGATTGGTGGGTTTGGGGAAATTCGCTGAGGCACTAGTGTCCGGATTGTTCGTCAAATAGGTTTCCTTTCCTATAAAGAAATGATACTTTTTTGGCGGCTTATTGACTCAGAAAAATTTGAGAGTTAACGAATAATTTTGGCGCCAAAAATAATTTCTCTTAATTTATTAAATTTAATATACGCACATCCATAAGTTATGCTATTTTTTCTATTTATTTTGTTCTAAAATTCTAAATATTTTTTTTTCATAACATAAAATATGATGTCTAGTCTCATTTACATAACAACATGCCTTAGAATAGGTTTTTTATTCTTTTTGTCACTTTAAATTAAGAATAAAAAGATAATTTAAATTGAATATTTGCGATTATTCTCACTAATGCTGCTTCCTCTTTTATTAGGTAGACAACAAAAAGTTAGCCTTGGACTCCCATATCAGATTTTTGATTGGTTGCGTATATAATGAGCTGAGATTGATAGACGAAAACCCAGTGAGAAAATTTTTGACGCCATGCAATATTAAGAGAGACATTATTTTTTGTGATTCTTGTGAAGAATCAGGAGTTTTTGATTTGCGCCGAGTAGTGAAATCAAGAGGAGTCGCTCCATCATTAGTTAAAGAATTGACTTCAGCACCATGAGAAATTAATAATTCAACAATTTCATATGAACATTCGCCTGATGCTATATGAAGAGGTGTATATCCTACTTCATCCTTTGCATTGATGTTAGCACCATTTGAAAGTAGAAGTTCAATCATATCTTTTTTAAAATTGTCTTTAACCTTACAACGTAATGCTATATGAAGGGCAGAAAGTCCACAGGCGCTTTGCATGTTGACATTTGCACCATGTGAAATCAGAAGTACAGCAATTTCTTTCCAATTAAACATACATGTAAGCATAAGAGGGGTAAGTTTTTGTTCATTCCTAGCATCATTTATATTTGCGCCATGTGAAATTAGAATATTAACAGCTTTAATATTATTATCATAGCATGCCATGTGAAGTAAACTGAAGCTGTATTCACTGATTACTGTGTTGGCATTGGCTCCATGAGAAAGAAGAAGCTCCAACATAAAAATATAATTTTCCATAATTATTTCATTTAATATTCTTGAATCTAGTGCACTAACATTAATACCATTTAAAATCAAATTTAATGCAATATCTGTTTGATTTTCAATCGCTGCAATATCTAGAGCTGTTGTGCCTTGATCATTCATATAATTAATATCTGCACCATTCTGATACATATATTCACAAAAAGATGGAATATGAAAATATGGAGATACAATAAAAGTAAAGTTGAAATCTTCAGTTTCATTTAAAATATAAATAAATGCATGAAGATTTTTGTATATACCAACATTCATTAATTGGGTTTTTGGATGATATTCCTGATGTAATTTATAAAAATTCGTGATGTTATGAGATTCAATCGCAGCATTCATTGTGTCATCATCAGGATTGTTTTCTTTCAAACATTCATCAATGATATATTGATTGTTCCCTAAAAATGAAGCATCAAGACATTCTTTGGTGATTTTTATGTCAAATTCTTTTTGTAATAACTTGAAACAATTAACAGCTCCTCTTAAACAACATTTTTCAAGGATTTCAGTGAGATTAAGTTTCTCGTTTTTTAAATGATACAATAATTCATTTTCGTTATCATTCATTATTGCATATTCAGACGTATTTATTTTAATATCATCATATTGTGAAAGAAATGAGATATTATAAATGTCAGTGCATTGATGTTCTTCAATTATTCTCTTCATTAAATCTATGTAGCCACGACGATAATGTAAACTCTTATTGCAAATATTTCCTATCAAATCAATCATCTCCTTTGCTGTAAAATATCCAGTATCAATTAAGTTGTTTTTGATTTCTTCGTATAATCCTGCTGTTGAATCTATTTCATCTGAATCCAATGCATATATTGCATCCCATGTATCAATATATCCCTTGTACTTATTCATAAGAGTTGTATAGTGATCATTTGCTTGGCTTAGTTTCATGAGTTGAAAAAATATGATAGAAAGCATTACTTTGATGAATGAACACTAATTGCCTAAAATATTAAAAATCCAAAAATTAAATAGAACGATTATTTTAGATTCAAATGTTGTTCGGCATTGAAAACAAAAATATATATAATAATGAAAGTAGGGGAATAAATCTTCCATAAAAATTCATGAAATTATTAATATTTATTAGAAAATCTTCAGTCGGCTATAAGATCCAATCAGATAAAAGATGTTTGTTTTGTAAAAAGTATATTTAGTTTTTTTTTATTAATTTACAATGTAAATCTGGAGTATTGCATAAAATTTGTTGTTTTAAACCACAGTGCAATATGGTATTAGTACAAAACTCCATATTAGTGTGTTTTGATTGGGCATATACATGGGCGTCAAAAATTTTCTCACTGGGTTTTCGTCTATCAATCTCAGCTCATTATATACGCAACCAATCAAAAATCTGATATGGGAGTCCAAGGCTAACTTTTTGTTGTCTACCTAATAAAAGAGGAAGCAGCATTAGTGAGAATAATCGCAAATATTCAATTTAAATTATCTTTTTATTCTTAATTTAAAGTGACAAAAAGAATAAAAAACCTATTCTAAGGCATGTTGTTATGTAAATGAGACTAGACATCATATTTTATGTTATGAAAAAAAAATATTTAGAATTTTAGAACAAAATAAATAGAAAAAATAGCATAACTTATGGATGTGCGTATATTAAATTTAATAAATTAAGAGAAATTATTTTTGGCGCCAAAATTATTCGTTAACTCTCAAATTTTTCTGAGTCAATAAGCCGCCAAAAAAGTGTCATTTTGTTTCGTTAGAGAAAGATGAATTGTCCATGTCATCCAATCGGGAACAAGGGGGATGGGGATTAGATGATAAAGAAGCAATTCATGCTCTCTATCTGAAGCAATCAGACTTACCAGCAACAATGTGAATCAGTCTTTCACTGAATGAGTAGGTGTTGGAAGAACTGTTCTCTAAAGCGATACAGTTGCGCTACATGTTCGTCAACTTGTCTAGAAATAAATATATCATTTGTTTTATACGTTTTTTCGTAATAAATCTATTTGTATTTGTTGTATTTGAGTATGAAGATAACAAAAACTACGGCATAAGACGCAGTACACTGGGCTTCGTTGCCATTTTATTTACCATGTTAAGAATAAACTTAACAGACATGCTTTGTTTTCGACGAAGCCATCTAAAATAACGTACATCTAAATAAAACTAAAAAAACTGTAAAATTTCTTTATTTGATAGTATACTTCAAATTATGCACTATACCTTCTAGAATTCTATAACACTCTTTGCATATAATTTTTTTAAAAAAGGTTATATCTCGACAAAAATATGATTTATCAATAGAGTATGTAAAATAAAACTCATTCGCAGTATTAAAAAATCGTAAATCTTTCCAAAAAAATTTTGAATTACAAATTTTAAAACTTAAAACAACATTTTTTGAAGCGAAAAAACGAAATCTAATTTTTTTTGGAAAATTTAGAATAAATAGAGCTCTTTAACTCGTCGAATACAAATTGTTTTCAAGTTTTTTTCGACCGGAAATTGAACTTTTAGAGTTTATACAATAAGATTCACATGAAAAAATACGGGTTTAACAAAGAAATCACCAATATAAAGGTTTTTTAGTAGAACGAGATTGATAAAAACTATGGTATGATAAAAAGACGATAATTTTTTTGGCGGGATAATTGAAGAATATGAATGATTCGAATTACAGACATACTCTTCGTGACTTATTTTTGACACAGAATAGCTGTAGACTAAGGCTTACTCTAGATCCAGACTTATTATACAATTAAATTTGCTTTTGGAATAAGACTTAATTTTAGTTACAAACTTATCTTAATATCAGACTTATATTTAGAATCAGACTTACTTTAGTCTAGAACTTACATTTAGAATCAGACTTCCATTTCAAGTCAGACTTACTTTCGTCCGAAACTTACATTTCAAGTCAGACTTACTTTCGTCCGAGACTTACATTTCAAGTCAGACTTACTTTCGTCCGAAACTTACATTTCAAGTCAGACTTACATTTCAAGTCAGACTTACTTTCGTCCGAAACTTACATTTCAAGTCAGACTTACTTTCGTCCGAGACTTACATTTCAAGTCAGACTTACTTTCGTCCGAGATTTACATTTCAAGTCCAAGGAAAAGAGACTATTGATGACTTACTTTCCATCGATGGTGCACAACAGCAGGGAGGGGATTGGTGGGTTTGGGGAAATTCGCTGAGGCACTAGTGTCCGGATTGTTCGTCAAATAGGTTTCCTTTCCTATAAAGAAATGATACTTTTTTGGCGGCTTATTGACTCAGAAAAATTTGAGAGTTAACGAATAATTTTGGCGCCAAAAATAATTTCTCTTAATTTATTAAATTTAATATACGCACATCCATAAGTTATGCTATTTTTTCTATTTATTTTGTTCTAAAATTCTAAATATTTTTTTTTCATAACATAAAATATGATGTCTAGTCTCATTTACATAACAACATGCCTTAGAATAGGTTTTTTATTCTTTTTGTCACTTTAAATTAAGAATAAAAAGATAATTTAAATTGAATATTTGCGATTATTCTCACTAATGCTGCTTCCTCTTTTATTAGGTAGACAACAAAAAGTTAGCCTTGGACTCCCATATCAGATTTTTGATTGGTTGCGTATATAATGAGCTGAGATTGATAGACGAAAACCCAGTGAGAAAATTTTTGACGCCATATACATGATAACAGATTTTGTAATTAATACAAAGATAAAATTTCATTATACATGCTATATGATTATACACTGTGTGCAGTAAATAAGAAAATATAATAAAATATAAAATTAAATAATATTAAAAGATCAAAAGATACTATGCTTTCCTAACATGAGTATTTGTATGCATGTTAAATATTTGTAATGGAATATAATGTTTTACAGTAGTTTTAAGTTGAAAATCTCATATGATAATATATTAAGTAGAATTCCAGCATCTTGAAGCAACAAACCATCAATATTTCCATGCTTTATATATATTCTAGGTATCTTTTTTATAAGGATATTTTTATAGAATAATAGTTATTAGTATAGACATGGAATATATAAGTGACTTTTGTATTTCTCATATAATGACAAAATTTAAAAGTAAAAATATAAAAAGTCGAATTTTTTACATGAATGGTTTGCTGAAAACTTCCTTATGGTCTTCGAAGAGAGCGTAAGTATGTTCATGCTGAGAAACGTAGGATCCTTCAACATCAGAAAGTGGTGGGTATGGTTTAACGATCTTATTCTTGATGAGTTCGTTCAAAGTGAGCGAATAAGTTCTATCTCCGGCTCGTTCGATGAAGCGTTGGCAAAACGCCATTGTCTTGAAGTTGTCCTGGAGCAAAGTGAGCAACTTCTGTTCGGATCCGCTCTTTGGAGTTGGAGGTTGCTTCACTGTCATGAAATGGCTTGTGATACCGTCATCAAAGACGATGCCCTTGCCTGTAGTTGCGAATGTCTCGCAGGCGTAGACTTCGCCTGGAAGCATTTTATCTGTTGTATGAGATCTGTTTGTGAGAGGAATGCTCTTTCCGCAGTGGATGATGTACTTGCCGAGCTGGTGGCCGGTAAGGTTGTAGACTGGCTTGAGAGGAATTGTCTTTCCATTTAATTCGATTGAATATGAGGTAATAACTTCTTCAATTTGAGCGGCAATCTCACTGATGCGGGCTTCTGGGCCAGCCATCTTGACTGCTGTCTCTGTAGCTTGTTTGGAGGCTTCAATGAGTGGATCAAAACGTGGATCGAAGCATGCAGTGAAAGCACTATCGATAATGTAGCCATTAATGGCGACACCGAAGTCAATCTTCATGACATCGTCCTTCTGGAGAACTCTTGTATCGCCTGGAAGTGGAGAATAGTGCGCGGCACAGTTGTTGATGGAGCAGCCGCATGGGAAGGCCAAGCCGCGAACTGGTGGGTTGAACTCGACCATGCGACGTACGCCTTCTTCAATACGAGCGCACATATCGTTGAGATTGACGCCTGGCTTGATGATTTCACTTCTCATTGCCCATTCGCAGACAGATTGATGGATAATGCCTGCTTCACGGAATGATGGAAGTGCTTCCTTAAGTTCAGCAAGTCTCTCTTCTGCTGAAGTATCAACAGTAACTTTTGCAAGCATTTCATCACTGTACTTTTGGATGCATCTTTCTCCAAAGTTTCCGTCTGGGTGAAGCTTAAGTGGTGGTTCTGGAAGATCTTTGAAAACTTCATCTGGAATTAAAACTTTTTTCGCTTCTTCTTCCTTCTTAGCATTATTTTTGGCGGCTGCTGCTAAAAGGAAAGCCATTTGATCGTCATCATCATCTTCTATTTTTGGCTTTGCTCCTTTCTTTCCTGCTTTGCGGGACATACCTTTATTTTTATGAAAAAATTGAATGACCCACTTTGATTCAATTTTGTTTGGTAACCTCATTTTTTTATAATTGGTCGGCAATACTCTAATGATAAAGTTTACTGATAAATTACTTTTGATCCCCATGATCGGATTTTCCAACACCACAGAAAAAAAAAATCGGACCAGTTCCAAGAATAAGTATTAAATTCTCTAGCTATTGTTTATTGAGAATTTCGGATTCCTTTATCTATACCGAATTTATATTCATCATTAACAGATGAGTGGTGCAACTTTCCATAATTGCGTATTATTCAAAATGGTGATATTCCAATGTATTAAGCATTACATTTCTATCCTAGTGGAGTTGAATAACACGCCGTCGTGTTATGAAACATGAAAATATTATGGTACCTCTGTGTGAAATGACGCATCACGCCTGTTGCCAAAAATTTGAATGGCAGTATATGGGCGCATGTAAACTCTATCTAAAAGCCCAGTATAATTATGTTGAATAAATAATCATTACATTTATTAATTTTTTTGTTAAAATTTTAAATGAGTGAATTGATAATTGTTAATTCTTCAGCATTCGAGAGAATTGAAGAATTAAAATCCTTGATTTCGTTTCAATCAAGAGTTCTAGATCGAATCAAGCAAGATGTTTCGCTTGCTCAATCTCAAGTTGATTTGCAATTTGAAATCATGGATTCGCTAAACAAAATGTATGCAGACACAACATCATATACAGGAAATAAATCACCTTTTGCTAAAACGTTAAGAAATTTCGACAAGAAAAATCCAAATGTTCGATCAACTATCCAAACGCCTGCATTACAGCCTCTATCAGGTATAGAATCGCCAACATCCCCAGGAAAATCACATGACTATTCACATGCATTACTCTCAGCTATTGATTATGACTTTTTTTCTCGAGAATATCCTTTAATTCTTTCATATCTCTTTGAACGAAACATAAAAGACGAAATAAAATCAATAAGTTCTTCGTGTGAAAAGCTTGCACTCTCAAAACGAACAGATTACTTAAATAACGTTTTTAAACAATTAAATGAAACCTCACAGATCTTTGATGCAATTCTTAAATTAGTTAATGCAACTTCATTTTCAGAGTTAACAGAGATGATTGAAAACAAAATACCAAAATTATTAAATATTCAGCGAGCAGCTATATTCCAAATCGTTGATTCTGATATAGTTTTACAGAGAGAATGTATGAAATTACACAGATCATTCAACAGCGGCGTTTTTTATAATATTTTCAAATCTGGTCGAATTAAAATTGTTTCATGTGAAAATCCTGACATTACATCAATAGACCAATATCTGTTTATGAAAAATCAAGTCGCATTAGTCGTTCCAATTGATAATTTATTGTTATTACTTTTTGATAAAACTGGAGGCTTCAAAGAAGATGATTTTCTTATTGCACTTGGCATATCCAACTTCATACGCGAAATGGCACCTTCACTAGAACAAAAAGATGTTGAAAGACCGAATATCCAGACAACAATAAAAATTATGAATAATTTTTCACCAAAAGTTCTTGGAGAAGTTTTCCATTGCGAAGGTGTCAGAGTATTCCATGTATCTTCAAGCAAAAAAGTCTTTTTGGACTCAAATGAAGTGAAACCAACAATTTACAGCATATCCACAGGAATTGTCGGCCAATGCATTACAAAAATGAGATTGATACGTATGTCTAAACCAGAACTTTCAGTTTTGTTCGAACCAGCCGTTGATCGAATTAATATGAATACTCCAACATCATCTATCATGGTTTCACCTATTTTCAGTAAAGACAATAAAGTTAAGTACGTTATTGCTCTTTATTCTAGGAAAAACGTTGACTTTTTCACAGAATTAGACGAAAATACGATGAAAATGGTTTGTAAATCATTAAATCCTATAGTTAGAGGAAATAAACTTCAAAAGCAGCTAGAAAGGAAGGAAAATCATATTAAATATTTAACTTTAACAATGGATATTTTCAATCTTCATGTAGATCTCCTTGATTTCTATAGAATGAAGAACCTTATGAACAGAGCTCTCTCAGCTGTTGTCGGTGGTGACTCAGAAGTATTTTTGACAGATTATTTCCGAAATGATTTATCAGAACTACGTACAGAGTTCAATGAGAAGATATCAGAGACAGGAAGTCCACAATGTATCTCAGCTTGCACTGGAAAAATGATGCAGATGATCGTAAGCGACACACAAACGAAATATTATATTCCATTACCTGGAAACAACGGACAAATCTCAGCTGTTGTTAAACTTGATATCGATAAAGTTGCTGCAAAAGCAAAGCGCATCATTTCTGTTTATTCCAGCGTTTCCATGATAAAATTAGATTCATCATCAGCTTCTTTCAACACGAAATCAAGTTTGCAGCTTAAAGTTGAGAAGATGAACAACTCCTCACAAGCTCAATTCACAGAAATCGATGATAGAAGAATTACAAATTGCGCAAAACCGATCAGAGACTTCTTTGGCTCATTATGCGACGCTTACAAAAATTTTTCGGATGACATTTCAGCAGTAAAATTCTCAATGGCCATTGAAAAGATTCCTGAAGAAAATAGCTCTTTGTACGTGCGTGCACACGAAGACCTTTCCGCTCTAATAGGAACAGCCGCCTACGGACCAACAACTTTCATTCAAATCCCAGTTAAAAATGAAAATTTCCAAAAAGTGACAGCAACAATGTTACGGAAGTTAACAGAGATTTGCGGGTTCCCTGACTTAGCAGACCCTGTACCAACCGTTACATTAGCCATGCCATCGAAAGTTCCTGAAGATTTGTCACTGGACATTTACAATGAAGATGCGAAAAGTTTACTTTCAATGACAACTTATATGTTGTTTGAATTCGGAATTGAAGAAGTTTTAGATGCAGAAGACTCAAATATTTTGTTCCTTCTTAAAGAGCTGAGAGGTCTGCATTCAGCACACTGGGAAGTTGCTGTTGACAATGTTCATTTTGCTTATCTCCAGTTGAAACAAATGAAAGTTGAAAACAAAATTGAAGCGTTAAGTTTGATGTTTTATTTGCTTTGTTATTCAGCAAATAAAATAGAAACAACAGGAGCTGTTGTACAAGCAATTGAAACAGGAACAGCTCCTTCTCCTTCCTCAATTCTTCTTTATGCAGCTGCAGCAAGCAATGCTCCATTTTTGGAGAAAAAAGAATGGTTTGAAATTTTGGAAAAAGTTTCGTTTTTGTCTTCCTGTGAATCTTTTGATTCTCTTGGAGAGAACTCTGATACATATTGCTTGTTGGCAATCTTATCAAAGAGATCTTGCCTTGCAAGGAAATTTGAAGTCGCTGAGAGATATGTCAAAGAAAGATTTTCTGACCAAGTTTTGATGAAATATATTTTAGAGGCAGAAATGCGCGGAATGATTCTCCCTGTGATTTTCGAGTTGACAACACCAACATTCAAGACAGATACAATTAGAATGCCGATGGTGACAAATGCTCGAAAGATTACAGGAGCATTCATATAATAATAAAAATATTGTTTGAATTCTTGTTAATAATCATTTGTACTATGCAATTTTTCAAAATTATACTGATTATTTGTCTAGACTCTAAAAAATTGAATCAATTGCAAAGAATATCAATATGAAAACTTCAATCATAAGGAAATTAAAAGTTCTATTACCGTGCATTACGAAATTAGAGCAGGTAAAGTATAGATTTTGAATAATTTTGAAATTGTTCTTAATAATTGAGTACATATATTACTTTTAACAAGCAAAGCATTCAATGTGTTCATTTTGAACTACTAAAATTGTCTCATTTTAGGTAATATTTATTTTATCAATTTTGTAAAAAGCAAATTACTGTTAACAACAAAAATTTATTCTTTATAAGGAAATAGAATTCAAATAGCTTCTAAGCTCTGCAACACATTGTTTCGTTATTAATCTTCCTTCAATTACAACTTCGTTTGAAAGTGTAAGCTGAGGAACGTATTTCTGAAGGATTCTAAGGACACCTTGTAAGTCTTCTGGTTTCTTGATTTTTTCTATTCTTTGTTGAATTGCGTCAATTCTTTTCTGGGAAGAATGCAATCCTTCTCTGTTAGGTGGTATTTGTTTGTGTTGAGCGGTATCTATGATTTGATGTGCCGATTTCGGAGGATTATACATCATTGCTTTAATTATTTTCTGTAATTTGGCAATACATTTCTGAATATGCATGTAATCCTCTTCTTCTTTAGAACGTGGCATGTTTAAAAGTTTATAATTAACCCAATTCGTTAGATCATCTAAAATTGCAGCTTGAACTGGATTTGCTTTGTCATTTTCGTTTTTAGGTTCAAGAATTAAACGTAAATCTAAGGAAAAATCGAACGGTGTAAGATAGACGTTATCATTTAATTTCTTTTTGATGACTTCTAAACTTAGTTTTCCTGAATAATCTGTCCAGTCATCGAGAAGCATTCGAGCAATCGGCTTTTTCTCAATTTTCTCGAGTAATTTTAAACATTGACTGTTCAGATATGGATCCATACTTCAATAAAATAACTGAACATTCCTGGTTTCAACAATAATATGCTTAATAAATATTAAGATCTTTTCATGATACGATTCTCCCCTCTTTATAAATAGGTAATATTTAATGCTATTTAGGCAGATGTCATTTTTCATGAACTTATATGATGGTATTAGAAAAAAGATGAAAATCATAGGGGTTTAATACACTCCTGTCGCTCAAACTTCTGCAAACAAGCGAAGATATCGGAAGAGAATCCCATTTTGATTATATCTTACATTCCCCTATAATTATCATGAACATGTGACAACTTGTAATCTTCTTTTATTTGAATTATACACATTTTTTCAGATCATAAAAAATTCAACATATTGAAGATACCATCTTAACAAAGTAATGTCCAGCAAATGGACTTCAACCATGTTTATACAGAGAATAAAAAAAAGTCGATTTTATAAAAAACTTACAAAAATTTATTTATTATCAGGTGGATACTGCTCATCAGCTTCCAATGTTGTTCTGTAATGAGGATGGTCAACAACTTCGCCACCGTACTTCTTAAAAGTATGAAATGCTTTCCTGCGATCTCTGTAAACAATCAAAACAAAAATCGAAATGAAAAATGAGAAGATCAGCAAGAAAAGCCACTTAAACCATCCGATTCTTTTGAAAGACACAATATCTGTATCCTGAGTGACAACGCAATAAGCATCTGTTGCCTTTCCTTCAATGGAAACCTCGTTTAACAGCCTTTTAACTCTCATGTAGTTGTCTTTCATGTCTGCAGCAAAAACTGCTTTTGTAGACAATGTCATTTGAGTTCTCTGAGCTCCTGTCAAAGAATATTGATAGGAAATTGCGTTTCCATGGTCAACCCATAACTGTTTAAGCTTCAGAATTTCTTCTTCAGTCAACTTTTCGAAATAAGATAAAATTATTTCTCCGGCGTTTGACTGGACGACATTGGCTCTGTCCAGGCATGACAAACAGTTTGTTCTGGTGTAGCAAGTCTGACATTTCTTTACAATTCCTTTTTCGCAAACCAATAAATCTGAATCTTTTAATTCTTCGTCAACAGCTTTGTAGATGCCGCCATCAACTCTCTGCAGCTCATTGACATTCATGTGCTTGTAATGAATGTTGTTTTCGTCGAGAAGATTGTGATATAACAAAGTTAGACTTTTTTCACGGTTTTTATCGGATGTTAAGGATATAACCTTAACGTTTTTGTAGTTCTTCAAGAATTTCTTGAAATGAAGATCGAATCTACGCTTTGATTCCGACAATGGGCCTAATGCTGGTGGAAGAAACGGATCTTCTGGAGGAGTCTGCGACCAAAGTGCTGGAATTGATCCTCTGAGTTGTATATATGAATAAATTTTGTCATTTTTGAAATAAAGTTCTTCAGATTCGATGAAATTTGCTGGATGTCCGTTTTCGTCAGCACCACGATTCCAATAGTGCGCGCCGGCGAAATTTCTAGATCTCCTAGCAATGATCATGAAGGGATCATTGTATGAAACATAGCCTGCCACAACAGGAATTGTAAATTTTTCTGTTTTGAAGATATCTTGAAATCTCTTCATTGGTACTTTGTTCCATGTGAACTCTCCACGCGATTTTCTGCCTTGTAGAAAGTCTTGGTAGTTAATGGCCAAATTTTCATTTTGATTTTTTGAGTAATACATTGAACATAAATCAAGCCCACGCTTCAGAAGATTGTAAATGTTGTTATCCGTGATTCCTGTTGTAATTTGAATGATTTTATAAGATTCGATTTTTTGGATGTTCCTGAAATTCGAAATTTTTGAGTCCTCTGTTACTATTACAATGTATAATTCATCATTCAGTTTGTATATACCTAATGGGAATAAAAAATCATATTTTTCATTTTGGTCATTCAGTTTTGTATTATTTTGTAACTGTAGGGTTTTCCTATCGATTATTATTGTTTGGTTTTCATCATCTATTGATACGTAATTGTTGTCTAGTATGAGTTTCATATTAAAATAAAAATGAAAAATTTGGCAATTTGACAAAATTGAATCGGATTTGAAAAGGTGTAATCTAGTTCAAATAGTGTAATTTTCGATCAAAATGATTCATTATCCAGACCGATATCGTTTATATTTCGGGAGAAAATAAGAGAGAGATCTTATTGAAAATAAGTCCATAGAGGCATATACATTCGATTACTCATGTCCCGGTGCAAAATATATTTCTGATAATTCTTTAACATATGAAAATATGAATAGCAATGTATCAAGGTTTTCAGGGGTGACTATACCACCCAAAGTTGTTGGATAAACCGTGCACTAAATTCAGTAAATTCCTCATTATGTATATATACCAAATGAATCTTTGTTTGGCTTGAGACACAAATGTTTGGAAAAAACTATAATTATATTTCTGAGTGTTTCTGCCCAAAAATTAGAATGAATTGAATTTTGTTAAAAAAAATCATAATATAAATTTAAAAAGGTGAAAGAAAGTTTATTTATAAGCTATATTTTTAGGATTGAGAAAAGTTGAATTATAAATTTTGTTTTCAAAAAAATATAAAAAACGCTATCCTGGGGACTCGAACCCCAAACCCTTGGATTAAAAGTCCAAAGCTCTATCCAGTTGAGCTAGGAAAGCTTTACATTTATAAGACTCTACCGTCCTTCATCCCAATCGCATGTCACTTTTTAAGCAGTTCAATCTCGGTTCTTGGATAAATGATGATCAAAAACGTAGCATCGTAATTGATTAAGTCATTACTAAAATGGTAAATTCTTTATGTAATATAAAATGTGTCTGTTCAAGTTTGTGATTGATTATCTTGATTTTTGTTGTATTCGTTATTTTTCAATTTCATTTTCGCGGAATTGCTGAAACTTTACGGCGTGTTATTATTTTGTCTTCAAACTATTTTAATAAAATACTATCTGCTTCGCCATAACTAGTCGCAAAAGAAAGATATCCTGATTTTTCAATCTGGATAATGGATAATAGAATTTGGAATAGAAAAATAAATATCAATTAACTGCGTCAGAAAATTTCCATAGCTCTGGATTGAAATATTTCCCATCTTGGTCTTTCCAAAATTTATCGAAGGTAAATCCTTTAGATAATAACGCATTTGCAGCATCTATCTGATTTTTAGTGCGTGGCTGCGAATAGAATATAAAGAGAAGCGTTTCCGTACTGGCAAATTTTTTGAAAGGTTCCAAACTCTTGGGAGAATCAAAGTTAAATGATTCTGGTATCTTATATGCTGATAAACTTCCTAAAGGAAGCTCCGAAACAATGGATTTCAGATTAGGAAGTAGGGCATCTTCGGAATTTAAATCAATTCCTAGTGAATTGATATCGGTTTCGTTAAAAGTAACTTCGTTTTCGAACTTATCTGCTACTGTTTCTAAAGAATATTGCTTTGGGAGTTCTGGTTGATTTGTATTACGAACAATACGAGATATTTTTGGAGATACACGTTGTGGAGATAAATTAATTGATGTTGTTGATGTGTTTTGCATTGGCTGTTTGCTATTTTGGATTATAACTGAATTCAGAGTTGGTTTTTCAACTTTCAAGTTTGCAGTAGCCGATGATGGGCTATTTGGATGTATTTGGAACTGTTGTGCACCATTTTGCTGAGATGTTAGCCAAGAAAAAGTAGATTTCATTAAAATTGTCACTTTTATTGAATTTTTTTTTATTTTTCTTATGAATGATTTAGAATTTGAAGATTTTAAAGATACTTGGGATGATACAACTCCAGTTGAAGCATCACAAGATCCTGAAGGAATTTTTAATGTTCAATACTCAAGAAAATATCGTATTATTATGGGAATATTTCGAGCAGCGTTAAATAAAATGGAAATATCAAAGCGTGCACTGAAACTTACAGAAATAATAGTTACCAAGAATCCTTCTAATATAAATGCATGGTGGTATCGCCAAGAGATTCTGAAAGTTCTTGGATATTCATGGGAAGAAGAAATGAATTTCCTTGATGAATTATTGGTTGCAGAAAATAAACCATACCAACTATGGAATCACCGTAAATTCCTTGATGATCGCTGTGAAACAGTACCAGATGAGAAGGATAGACTATTTAGAATCATTGCAGGCGATCACAAAAACTTCCATGCATATAGCTTCTTCATTTGGTTCATTCAGCGTTGGGGAGTTTATGATTTTTTACTTGATTATACAACTGATTTACTTAAAGTTGATAATCTCAACAATAGTGCCCTCGCATTCAGATTTTGGATAGTTGAAAATAAGAAACTTAATACGGCTGATGAGTTAAAATACATTTTCGACTTAATGAAGCGGAATTATCAAAATGAAAGTGCAGCAAACTTCATTCGTGGACTAATGAAACTTGATACATCATTAATTCCAATAGTTAAAGAGGAATTAAATAAAATTGTTACTGAAAATTGCTTCGCGGAAATTTACTCTCTTTTATATACAATTGCATGTTTAGAAGATGACAAATCAGCACAAGATAAATACTGCGATATACTGATTGATTTAAATCCATCTAAGTCAAAATATTGGCAAATGGTTAAAAACCATCAAATTTGTTAACATGGATAAAAAGCACTAGATATACATGAATAGTGTTTCATCAATAAACTTATTGTATTTTCATAAAAAATTTATATCAAAATTTATTCAAACATAATATAAGTACATGCTAATTAAACAAATAATTAGATGTATAATAGCAATTATATTTCCTAAATTGGAAATATAATAAAAAAAATTATTAACATTTGTTTTTTGGATGCATAAAGTCTTATCATTCTGAGACTGTGTAAACTATTGTCTAGTATAATATGAGCTCTAAAGAAAAAATAAATATTATTTTCAAATAGAGTTAGTTTTGTGTAGAATATTGGATGTCATCAGGAGATGTATAACCGTATTGTTCAAAGAACAATTGAATTTGAAGAATTAGTAAAATCTGAGCAAGAAATAAAATTGGTGAAATAAAAAATATAATTAGCGTAACTGTTAATGTCTTTGTCATATGTTTTGGGTTTGTTGCTGTTGTTATACACCAAATAGAAGCAATAAATGGATTTAAATGTCGATCTTCGTAAATTAAAGGTTGAAATGAGCCAAAAAGAAAATTTAAAACTATACCAGCGATGAAATAAATAGAAGCCCAAGCAGGGTCAAAAAATAATAGTGTCTGACCAGTTGAAAAAGCGCCTGATAAGAATATATCAGATATGATAAATGATAGTATTAGTCTTATGTTACATATTTTAAGTGATTTAAAGATATCTGATAGTTCCTTTGATGGAATGAAACCGACCTCTTATTCAGGCCAAGAGATTCCAAATTTTGAATACAGCTTCTGTGCATTCTTGAGAGTAATTCTTGTATGAGCATGCAAGAAAAATTTTCAGCCAGATTTGTGTTTATTGAATTTATAATAACCCTATTCCAGAATAATATTTTTGTCTAATTTCAAGCATCTTTCTTTTTTTTTCCTAGGGTAACTGATCGCTTCTTATCTGGTTCGTACGCCAGATGTAAAAGTAATAATTGAAAGATCCTGATTAATCAGCAATATTGATTGCATACTTAATTTTTCTTCCGCATTAATTAATTTAACGTAAACCATATTAAATTAATATATAGTAAATTAACATATGTATCATATCAAGATTGGAACCAAATTAAATATTTAATATATCAGCGATTTTTTACTTTGTAGAAGTATTGATATGTTTATTAAAACCATGTGCAATTCATTAAGATGAAGAGATCAAATCTATTAATCAGGGAAAAATATTTTTTGACTTTTTTTATTTTTCTTATAAGCATTTGCATAAATAGTAGCATGCAAGATTAATATTTTCCGGCAGGAAGAAACAAAAAGAAAGAAAAAATACGTCTAAGTGGTCGCCGTTGGGATCAAGGAAATGGCATTTAAGCAACTTGCTAGATAGTACAACGTATAAAAATCATAAATTAAAGGATATTTTAAAGTCTTTACATTAAATTTTGGAGAAAGGGATAATTTGTTGTATTTAAATTAATAAGCAGCAACCATCAGTAGTTTGTTTCTTCGGTGGTTCGGGAGCTGGAGCTGGCTTATTCTCAGCCATAATCTCTTTAACAAGAGTTAAGAATGTTTCGTGGATATTGGTATTTGTAAGAGCTGATGTTTCATAGAATTTGCATTTAAGCTTAGCTGCGAGTTCTTCGCCCTCCGCTCTGCTAATTATACGTCTTTCTTCAAGATCGCACTTGTTTCCGCAAATAACGCATGGAATATTTGAAGTGCTCTTCGTACGAACGAGTTCGCGATGAAGTGATTCAATTTCTTCGAAAGAAGCTCTATCATCAATAGCATAGACAAGGATAAAACCTTTACCTTGGCGCATATAAGAAGTACGCATTGCTGCAAAGTCATCCTGACCTGCTGTATCGGTGATATCAAGTTGAACGCTTTCTCCGTCAACGTTTAAAGGACGTTTGTAAGCGTCTTCGATTGTAGGATCATAATCTGTGATAAACTGTCCTTGGACAAATTGGATTGTAAGAGCTGATTTGCCTACAGCACCAGCACCGAAAACTACAATTTTGTACTCAGCCATTTAAAATTCTGCTTGCAGAAAAAAAAATTTAAGATTTTTCTCTACCAAAAAGCTCTTGTAAAGTACTCAAAAAGTGAATACCGAAAACAAAAAGTTCTTTGATTTTCATATGTTGTATATGATAATATATACAATATGTATGAATATTTAATTTTTCAAATTATAGACTTTTTTCAAGGGTTAAATTTTTATCCTATTAGTGATGAATTAATTATTGAAGATATTATTGACTTTTTCAAAACTCAAATTTGACAAATTTCTATGTAGAGTGTTCAAAATACTGAAATCTTGTCAAATTCTCTATCACAAAGGTATCTCATATCACGTTTAATATTTTAAAGCACAATTTTCCTAATTTTATATCACAGTGGATGAAAAAAAAGATAGTCGGGGAAAAAATATTGATGCAAGATTTTTTATTTATTTCATTTGTATATTTATTCTTTTTAGAGATGTACTAAAAGGACGATTTTTGAAATAGTGTGGTTGTCAAAAATATTGTAAAATTGAAAAACTGTGAAATTGTCTACTATGTAATGCACTGTTCTTCGCTCGAATTATCTGCCAGTGACGCTACAGAAGATAACTTTTAGTGAGTTATATGGCAATTTAAAATATAATTGTAAGCTGCAATCCAACAAAATGATGTTCAATAAAATTCTAACATTACAATAAATTTTTATTCATACTTTGGTCTATTTTCATAAGCGTGTCGTTCAAGCTGAGCACCAAAATGTTGAAGCTCCGGATCCTGCCCTATTAAATTCCAATCTCCGTTGTATTTCTGACTTAAACGATTGCATATTTCTTTAAGTTGTTCAAAATTATTTCCTTGACCAAGATAATCAACAAATTTTTTGGTTATATCTTTTTCAATATCTTGGCCTTGATTAATTGCTTCCTTTAGTGGATCAAATCCTGGCATTAAAGATGATGCTCTTATGTTTGCAGCTTTGATTACCTCTTTATCACTAGTAGTATGTAATAAACAGAATAATAATCTAACATGAGCCTTTCTGAAGTAAGGGTTAATTTGTATACATTTTTCTAAATCCTCTACTGCTTCATGAAATCTTTGTATTTTGATTAAAGCTGCACCTCTATTTGAATATAGAAGATGATTTCCTGGATTTAGTTCTATTGCTTGTGTATATAGGTCATATGCTGACTGATACTTGCCTTCATTAAACTTTTCGTTTCCTTGCAATTTAAGTGCTTCGCTATCCATTTTAAAATGTGATGAAAAAAAAAGTAGTCGTAAATTTGCAAAATAAATAAAATTTAAGGGTGCACTGTAAGCGGTTTGACACCCATTTCTAAATTTCCATTATTTCAAGAAACATATCCGTAATTTTTATTCCTAAGATTAGTAATAATGTACTGATGCATAATAATAAAAGAAAGTTGAAAAATGTTAAATAGGTAAGGAGTTATTTATGAAATAAGTATAGCCTTAAATGTCCAATTGATCGGAATTGAGTACCAAATGATCGAAATTGAGGGTCTGTCAAACCGACTACAGTGCACCCTTAAACTACGAGATAAAAGGCGTAAGTTCACTTTTAAATTGAGAGTAGGTATTCAAAATATTCAAATTTACGACTACTTTTTTTTGGATTTAATATCCTTTTTTCGCAGCGAATTCACTATATCCCCTAGTCCATCTGGTAAATATTGCAATCTATTATTATGTTTATGGTATTGTTGAACATGACATACGGTTTTCTTAAATAATGATTGTGTATCTGAATTCGTTCAGATTCGGTGCGTTAATGAAAAATAGAATTAATTTGATATTATAAAGCTCCATCTGCGCAAGTTCTCAATTTTGAGATAAGTTCTCAAATGAAGAGGTAGATTAAGTACTTCTGATTCGTCGTCTAAAAAGATTCATTGGGATAGCTTAGTGTAATTTGACCCCATTTGGACTAATGTATATAATTTGCATACTTTCATTGAATAAAAGCAAGTAAATTTCCATGAAAAAAGGAAAAATTTGAGACCGCAAAAAAATTTTTAACTGGAATCTTTAGGCATATAATCTTCTTATCGCCAAAGTTAACAAATAAACCAATGGCAAAAAGTATGATATAATAACTATGTTTTAATATGCTTATGTATAGTTGCTACATGATCATCAATGAAACCATGAATATGAATCAACTATAATATTATAGTTTATAAGATTAAGTATTTTAGCTAGCTATTTTTGTTTTTAAATATATGATTCAAGTATATGAATAGATGTCATTTGCCATTCTCTTTGAAAAAGGAAAAAAAAAATACAAAATTAAAATGAAATTGGTTCTTAAAGCAAATTAGAGAAATTTCTGTTGATCTATATAATAAATTAGCTTATCAAAGATTAATACACAGCAGAATCATCATTGTCGAAATTATGACAATGTCACATAAGCAAATTGTAGATTAACATACTCATTTTAATAAAATGAATGGAAACATGATATTTCGTGGGCCTATTTCAGAGTTTGAAATGTGTAATGATAACGTTTTCCGCTTTTTGAAAGGATCTGAAGACATTTCTACATGGCAAGTCATGAAAATGATCTTGTATATATTATGTATTCGTGTATCAAATGTTATTATAGAGCAATTACTCATTTTTGATCATTTTTGGAAATAATGACACTTTAATATTCTCTTATTTCGAGAAATTTCTGAGTGAAATATAATAGGAACACAATGTTAATACATTTTATTGGATAAAAATAGTTCTTCAAATTGACATATTTTAAGACGATTATTTTCTGAGGAAAAAAACATTGATGTCTCAAAGGCCTATGAACTCACCAGGAGCACCTGGTTTCACACCACCAAGAACAAATATTCCACCACCTATCAAACCTATTGTATCTCCACCAGGAGTTTCTGCACCCAATATTCTACAAATTAACAGACCAAATTCACCAGGCACTGTTTCGACACCAGTTCATGTTGTTCCACCAAAAATAGCTCCAATTGTTTCAACTCCACCACCAGAGACACCAGTTCTGGCACAAGCTCCACCACCAGTATCTCAACCTGCACCTACACCAGTTACAGCTAGTCCACCACCTCAAGCAGTTCCACCAAAAGCAGAAGTACCTCCACCGGTTAGTAAAACAACTCCATCACGCTCTGCCAACTATAATGAACCAATTTCAGCAGACTCAAAGAAAGAAATTCCACCACAAGCAGAACTTAAATACAACCCACCACCAACACCAGAAGAGAACCCAGAAATTAGGTCTCTTCCGGCAGAAAATTTCACAAATACGCAAATGTCAGGTGATGTTCCTCACGATATTCTTGCGGAAATTGAAGTTCCACAAGTTTCAGCTCCACCTGAGGGCACACAAGGCACCAAAGTTATGAAATCAATCAACTCCATCATTGAACAAGCAAATGAAGGCGACTCTATTGTTATTCCTGAGGGCGTATACGAAGAATCACTTACAATTACAAAGAAAGTTCACCTCTTTGGTGAAGGAAACTGCAGAATTGTTTCTGACGGCGCAAAGGATACAATTTCAATCAAAGCAGAAGGTGCAACATTCACAAACATTGCATTCCTCCAGCATGAATCGCAAGCTTCTCGTGCTCTCAATGCTAACAGTGGCTCTGCCTACTTCAAGAACTGCAAATTCTCTGCCAAGTACATGTCAACAGCAAACTTAGTTGGCAATGCACAGATTACATTTGATCACTGCCAATTCGAAGGCCAGTCATCATCAGTCGTCAATCTTGGCGGAAATTCTGTTTCCCAATTCATCAGCTGCACAATAAAAGGTGCAGGAAACAACGGACTTATTGCCAAAGCTCATGCAGCTACAACACTCAAGGATACAAACTTCCAAGATATTCGTAAAGATGCCGTTCATCTTATTGACAACTGTTCTGCAGTTTTCAAGGGTGTTAAGATCAACAATGTTGGTTGCCATGGCATCCTTATCTCATCAGAGTCAAAGCACGTTTCGATTCTCGATTCAGAGATTTCTGATTGCCGTGAAACAGGAATTTCCGCATTCCTTGCTTCATCACTTTCACTCTACAGGAATACAATCAAGAAATGCAAGACATGCGTAGAAGTTTCTGATGGCGCTTCAATCTTGATGAAATCCAACCGTTTCATGGACACATACTCTGATGCAATGGTCATCTGCTTCTGCCATGCCAACGTTCTCTCACAGGAGGACACATTCACAGGCATCGGAAACGGCCTTTGCGCTATGGAAAGATCAAGAGTTACTGTCCAAGGCGGAAAATTCGAGAATCTTGAAGGCACAGGAGCCATCGTATTCGGAAACGAAGCATTCCTCTCCGTTTCATCCTCTAACTTCAGGAACATCAAGTACAGCGGCTTGCAGGCACACACAGGCGGCTCATTGACAGTCAGCAGCAGCACAATGACAAACTGCACAGACAGTGGTTTGTTCGTTGATGGTGACTGCAACGTCAGAGTCGAAGGCCTCCAAGTAACAAACGGCCAGAAAGTTGGTGTTCTTGTAAGGAATTCCGGCGCATTCCTTAAGGAACTCGATCTCAAGTCCAACTACCAGTGTGGTTTGTTGTTGAATAACGCAAGAAAGGTTGATTGCCAGCAGTCATCATTCTCACAGAATAGAGCTAGTGGCATCATCATCAAGAATTCTGAGAAGATCACATTCAACAACATCAATTCCTTCGAAAACAACTATCACGGCATTGAATTCCACAACTCATTTGTTTCAGTAAGAGGTGGAGAGATCAAATCAAACAAAGTTTGCGGCTTAGTCATCACTGAGAAATCTGATGTTTCCGCAAATGATCTCACAATCTCTAACTCCGAATACGGTGTTCACATTACAGAAGCAACAGGAGATGTACGTGGAACATCAATTTCCGACTGCAAAGTTGGTGTTTACTCAACAAAGGCAATCGCATCTGTTGCAACAACATCATTCAAGAAGTGCGAGATTGGCTTCTCCGTCACAGGAAAGGACTGCAAGTCTGGAGCAAAGAACTGCCAGTTCGAAGAGAACACAATTCATCTCCAGTGCGAGAAAGATTCAACATTGTTCGTTAAGGAGTGCGAACTCAAGAACTCTAAGTCTGTTGCCATCAAATCTTCTGAAGGATCCAATTGCGAAATCACTGGTTCTCATTTCTCAAATGGTACTTGCGCTGTTTGGGCTGACACTAAATTACATGTTGTCAACAACACAATTGATGACTTCTCAGAGGTAGGCTTGTACATTTGCGGAGGAACTGGTGACATCATGAGCAACAAGATCACAAATAATGGCGGTGTTGGTATCGATGTAGTTAGCGGTGAACATAAGATTACAAAGAATGAAATTGTTGGACATAAGTATTATGGTATCCACATTGATTTGGATGCTTCCCCTGCAGTTTCTAATAATACATTCTCTGATAACGAATTAGGAAATGTTAGCCGTGAATGATAATTTTTTATACTATCCTCGGCATTTATTTTTAGTAAAATACCGGTATAGAAAATCTCAATTTTATTTAAAAATGAACAATAAGCATCATTTCATAATCTATTTCTATTTATATTACAACAAATATATTGAAATGTGAGAAAGAGTACTATTCCAGAATTAGCTCTAGTCCATTGAAATGTTATTATAGTGCATATTTCATTTTAGACATATAAATGCATTGTATTTTTGCTTTTAAAGTTTTACAATTTTTTTTCTCGTCCTTACTTAGATCGTATTTCTTCATACATAATTTACTTATTGATTATGTGGAAGTAGATGAAGAGCCAATATAAAATATATACTCAAGAAGCTATAATTCACACCTGATATATTCTTTAACGATGTATTCTTCTTCTACAAAGTAATATTCTCAGTTATTATAATGAATGTAATAACATTGATAAAATTTTTATTATGGAAAGTTTAAAAAATTCGTGCATGTGTCCGGTTTCATAAAATTGCGTTCCACTTGCAGTGACGGTTTGCATAAATCTACAAATAGCACATGATTAAAAAATATAAAATAAATAATAAAAAAAACACAAACTATTTTACTAAATTATTTCTTATAAGTCAACATAACCTTAGGCGAGTCTTCTATAGCAGTGGTAGGCACGTATATAGTAGGATCTCTAAGGATCAAGTACTTCAAATTCGTGCAACCTTTGAAACAATATTCAGAAGCAGCATCAAAACTGCAGTCAGAAATATCAGCACTTTCCAACTTCGTCATTCCTGCGAAAGCGAAGTCCATGAGGAATTTCACAGACGAAGTTATCTTCAGTGTCTTTATCATTGTGTTCTGGAAAACAAAAGATCCAATGGAAACAATTTTTGATGACAAAATCACTGAATACAAATTCGTGCAGTTTGCAAACGAGAAATCGTGGATCTTTGCAATCCTCGTGTGCTCGAAATTGATTGTGTCCATGTGGATGCAGCCAGAAAAGCATCCTTCGCTGAAAATGTCCACATTCGTGAATGATTCAAGCGAAGTAAGGTGTGTTTGAGCGAAACACCTCGATCCGACCTTCGTAGTCATGCTGCTCATAACTAATGTCATAAGTTTTGAACATTTTTCGAAGGTAGAATTCTCCAATCTCTTCAATTTCATGTTTGAGAGGTCAATTGTGGAGAGTTTCGTGCAGTTGTAGAACGCGTGGTGTCCGATGCTCTCTATCAGTTGAGAAAACCTGATTGATGCCAAATTATGGCAATTCAAAAAAAGATATTCAGGAATTTGAGTGATTGAAGTGTTTTCGAAGGAGAACTCCTGTATATTTGTGCCAAACAAACAAGAAACACCAAGTTTGGTGAGTTTTCGTGGCAGTTTTAATGAAATTAAGGAAGAACAGTTGCAAAACACTTCAATTCCAAGAGAATCGATGTCCATCCAGCTGATATCGATTTCCTTGACCGATCTGCAGTTAACGAAACATCTGTTGCCAATATCTTTGACAGATTTCGGAATTGAAAATTTCGAAAGTTTGAAACAGCCGCTGAACAGTGATTCTGGGAGATACTCGGTCTGTGTGTCGATGAGATTGATACTGACAAGGTTCGTGGCGTTAACGAAGCAATCTTTTTCAAATTTCTTGAATTTCTTCGGCAAAACAACTTTTTTCAGAGAAATTGTGGAGTTGAAGCACTTGTAAGGCAGGAAATTGACCTTTGTTCGTGATAGATCAGCTTCTTTCAGCGAAATACAGCCACTAAATGCAGATTCTTCGATATCTTTCAGAGAATTCACGAAATTGAAGGTTTCTAACGCTGGAGACATGAAGAATCCACATTTCTTGATGCTGAGAAGAGTCGGTGGAGGGTTGAATGACTTCAAACCTGAAAAAGCAAAACAATATTCTGGAATATTTTCAACTGTTGTAGAATCAAGGGAAATGTTGGTCAAATTGACACAACAATAGAATGAATACATGGAAAGACTGTTCAAACTGCTTGGAATGTTGATCGATTTCAAATAAATGCAGTTATAGAATGATTTCACGCCAATTTTGAATATAAACGTTGGCAAAATAACTGTTGTTAATTCGGTTGAGTCTCTGAAGAGTTCTGGAGCAATATAATTCACTTTTGTGTTGGATAAATTAATTATATCCAAAGATTGGCAGTTTTCGAACGCCGATTGTTGTATTTCTGTTAATGTTGGAGGGAATACAACTGTTTGCAGTTCTCTACTGTGACAGAAAGCCCTTGTTTCTATCTTTAATAACTTATCTGGCAAAACCAAGGTCTTTAGTCGGCCACACTGCATGAAACTCTCCTTTTTGATCACTGTTATGTTCAGTTTACTCATATTCAGAACAGGAAAGCCGCAATTTATGAAGGCTCTGTGATCAATTTTTTGAATTTGAGCAGGAAGAGTGAATTCTTTGAGTACCCTCATATTATTGAAAGCGTTGTCTTCGATTTCGGTGCAAGAATCTGGCAAATAGAGGAATTTCGTTTTAATACAGTGCCTGAACGCGCTTTGAGGGATAACTGTGAGTTTAGTCTTGCTCAGATCGAACTTCCTGATGAGTTGGCATGAGTGGAAACAGTAAGGAGAAATAGTTTTCAGATTTTCGTAAAAATCAAACCTCAAAATTTTGTCGCAGGACTGAAAAGCGGCCTTTCCTATGACCTCTAGCTTGGTAGGAAGCGAAACATATCTCAATTCTCTGCATTTTGAGAAAGAATGTTCATAAATTTCTCTGATTTCTGTTTCTTTGAGGGAAATTGACATTAATTCGCACTCAGAGAACGCGTAGGCGCCGATCTTCTCTATAGATTTCGGTAGAATTACTAAAGAAAATTCGGAATTTGCAAAAGCATGAGGAAGTATTTGAGTTACGCGCATTTTGTTGATATATTCTGGTATATGGACTGTCAACCCTGTTGTCTGACCACAATAAGCATTTCCATAAATGATTTGTTTTCCATTTTTAGACAAAACTCTTCCAATTCCGATTTCTTTGTTATTCAGCTTCGTATAATAGAATGGGACTCCATAATTAGGCACAAACATCTCATTTTCTTTGTTTTCAGCCTTTATTTCATTTGGTATTTTATTTGTTAAGTTCAAAACAGTTGTATTTGTAACCTTTGTGTTCTTGAATGCAGTAGGATGTATCCTAGTGATGGTATTAGGTATCAAAACTGTTTTTAATTTGAGACAATTTTCAAAAACATTTTCTGGGATGGAATCAACGGTGTATTGAGTCATATCTAATGTTGTAAGCTGTTTGCACGATGAAAATGAATATGGTGCTATGGCTGATGTAAACCATTGAATTGTTAGAAAAGTGACACTTGTATTGAAAAATGCGAAATCCAAAATTGCATGGACATTCTGAGGGAGAATTAGGTCTGTTAAGTTTGTACAGTTGGCAAATGAGTAGCTTGATATGAGTGTGATTGTTGATGCTGCGAAATCAACTTTGTATAACGCATTATTGTTGCAAAATGAAAATGAATCAATGTAATACAAAGGTTCGTAAGTAATGAACTCTTGTATCGATGTATTGCAGAAAGAGCGTTTGCCAATTGTAATTGCAGAACAATTGAAATTGAAAAACGTCAAATTTACGCAATTTTCGAAACAAAAGTCTCCAACTCCAGAAATCCAATGACTCACATGTATTTCATAGAGAGAAGAACAGTTTCTACATAGTCTTTCTGGCAATTCGTCCAATCTGACGTGAGATATATTAATAATTTCGAGTTCTGTGCATCCTTCGAAACATCCGACTCCGATACCCTTTATACGTCTATCAAAGGTTACGTTCTTGATAAGAGTACCGCTAAATGTGAATTCCGGAAGTGAATATTCCAAATTTTCCGGCAAAATGATCTCGCTGAGGTTCGTGCATTGGTATAATAGGTGGCTGCCTATTTGTGTCTTCAGATTCGATATGTTTACCGATGATAAATGTCGATTAAACGCTAAACTGAAGTTTCCGAGTTTTTCGCAATTGATAGGAAGGGTAAAATTGGTAAAAGCAGTGTTGTAAAGACATTCATCGCTCAAATAAAAGGTCTGGAGTGGCCAAACAACCTTCTTCAGCGAGATACAGTCTTTAAACAGTCCTTTTGGAATAGTTGTGAATGGAGAGTCACTTAGATCGACTTCTTGTAGCTTGGAGCACCCTTTCAATAAATAATTTCCTATGGAATAAATGGAATTTGGGAAAATTAATTTCGTAATCGCGGTTCCGCTTAAAGATCCAGCTCCAAGCTTGAGAGCACCTTGTGTGAATACTATTTTTGATAGGCTTGAGCAGCCTCCGAAGGCGTAATCTGGAATTTCGTCGAACATAATATTTGATAATTGCAAAATCTTGAGTTTCTTGCAATTTTGGAACGATCCAGTCGATATATAAGAAATAGTAGTAGGCAAAGTTAATGACTGAATGGCAATTCCTGAGAAAGCTCTCTCTCCAATGATTAATTGATAATCTGGGAAAGAAATTTCGCCCAAAGACGAGCAATTCTCAAAGGACATTGCAGGAACAGCATCGACAACAATGTTTGAAAGGTCTGCTTCCTTTAATCGCTTACAATTTGAAAAAGTTCCGTTTCCAAGCGAAACAATGTCATCTCCGATAGTTACACGTTCAAATCCAGTATTAGAGAATGTGAAATGACCAAGTTTGACCTTCTCTTGTGAGTATGTAACTGATTTCAGATTAATACAGTTAGAAAACGTGAAATTTCCTATTTTGGAGACTTTCGTTGAGCTGAGATCGATTTCTGTGAGGTTTGTGCAATTGAAAAATGATTTGGAACCAATATTTGTCAGAGAATTTGGAAAAATTATTTCCAAAATTTTTGTATTTGCAAAGGCATTATCTGAAATTGTAGTGATTTTCGTATTGAATTTAATTGTCTCTAGGTTGTAGCAGCCAAAAGCAAAGGAATTCGGAATTTCCGTGATTATTGATTCAGAAAGGTCAATTGTTTTCAGGTTTTGGCAGTTCTTTAGTGTATTCTTACCGATAGAGACGGCATGGCTTGAAAGCGAAAATGATTTGAGGCCTGTAGAAGAAAAAGAATCATCTGTTAAGACTTTTATTGTATTTGGAAGGATTACTTCGGTTAATTTCAAGCAGTATTGGAATATGAATTGATCTAGATGGGTAATCTTCAATTGCGACATATCAACTTTTTGTAAATTTTGGCAACCAGAAAAAGCGAAATTTTGAATGGTTACGATACTTTTAGGTAGTACAATCGATTCTATTCCTATTTGCGAAAACGCCGATGAATGAATCTTTGTAATTGATGGTGAAAATTTAATTTTCTTTAAATTTAAACACTTCTTAAAGGCTGATGAAGGTATTATCTGTATGTTTGTGTTGCTTAGATCGATTTCATTTATTCCAGTTTCTTCAAAAGCTGATTCTTCCAATTTATTTACCGAATTCGGAAGAAAAACTTCTTTCAAACCAGAAAATGCGAATGCAAAATTGCTTATATTCACGAGATCCTTCGGTAGTTTCACCGTTTGAAGATTCCTGCAATAGGAAAACGTATTTGAAGGTAATTCTTTGATATTCGTTCTTTCTATATCTACAATTTCTAATTCTGTGCAATTGTGAAAGGCGTGTTCACCGAATTTGCTTATTGGTATAGATAGATTCACTTTCTTAAGTTTGTTTGAAAAAGAAAATGCGTGATCTAGCACTCCTTCTATTCTGTAATTCCTATTTTGGATGACTACAACTGGATCTATGATGGTTAAGTCTGTCAAATCAGTTGCAGATGATTCATCAGAATTAGTTCGAGTGAAATAAAGAGATCCAGAGTCTTTATCCACTAAAAAGAAGGCCCGGAGTCCATCTACATTTAGAAATGTAGATGAAGAAGGGTCTTTTTCATCACCAGACTGAACAGCGGCGATGAGAAAAAGCAAAATCATATTTTTTGATTGAATTGTAAAGAAAAAAAAATTAAAATTGAATAATACCGATTATTTTTTAATCAAATTCAATAACTAAATTTATTGGTTGTAAAGTGAGTTAACCCAATCGGCGAATTCGTAGCCGTTTTCGCCTTGCTTGAGTTGGGATCGAAGGTATGCGGCATCTTCGGCGGAGAAGTACTGGTCGAGTTGAGCATCTGTAAGAACAGGCTGGTTCTGGGCAATAGCCTTGAATACTTCCATTGTTGTCTCTGTTGTTTCTGCCTTGGAGAAGTGGTCGAGCATGAATCTGACGTAGTCGTCGAATTCAAGAGCAGTGCCTTCACCCTTAGAGTTGTACTTCTTGCAGTATTCCTTAGCCTGGCCATCTGTGATATCTTTTAGATTTTGAAAAAAAAAAAAGAAGGTTATCTTGGAAGATTCATAGAAATTGTTATAAGTTTGATGCAGGATGATAAATCAATAATTTCAAGATTTGTGCATTCTTTAAAACTTTCTTCTTCGATTGTTTTAAAGTTAGAATAGCAATCATCTGCATTTTTTCGCATTTAGCTGATATTCTAAGATCGAGTTAAGGAATCATTAACTCCATTAAGTGTTTTTTCATCATTTATGTTACAAATTTGGATAATATATGTGAAAAGAAAGAGATTAGAAATGATAAGCATAATGAATTATTTTTCATTCTTTTAATGAAATATTAGCGACGGATGAATCGTTTAGAGAAAATAATTTGTTCATCAAAGTTTTGAGATCGGAGACACACTTTAATTCCTGAATCAATAATCATTTGAAAATATATTGTTGTTTTGTTCTCAATATGTTGCGGACATAGAATGGATATGCATTCATTGAATGCATTTCGTCCAATTGTTTCAACACAAAGAGGGAAGTTAATGTATTTAAGATTCAAACAGTTGTTAAATGAATATGATTCAATTAATGAAACAGTGTTTGATAAAATACTGATGTTGACAATGGTATTGCTGTTATTGAATGAATATTTGCGAATAACACTACAGTTGATAACTAATACACTATCTTTTGATTGACTTAAATGATAAATAAGATCAAGCTTTGTATCATTTATAGAGTAAAGAGTATTATCAATGCATTTATATTTATTTGATTTGAAATTACTGATGTTTTGAAGTGATTTGCATTCTGAAATTGAGTTGATTTCAAAAGTAGTTAAATTGTTTTGTTCTGAGAATGTGATTGATTCAAGATTGTTACAGTTAAGAAATGAATATTCTGAAATAGTTTCAACAGTTGATGGAATACTAATACTCTTTAATGAAATACAATTCTCAAATGATTTAAATCCAATGTATTTTGCATCTTCTCGAATTGTAACTTGTCTCAGATTAGTGCATTCAGAAAAACAATGATCTGAAATGTTCAAAATATTAATCGCTTTTTCTAAATTAATGCAATTCTCAAATGTTGATTTTCCTAAAGTAATTGAATTAGATGATGAAAATTCAATTGCTTTTAAGTTTGTACAGTTTCTAAATGCATAATCTTCAATAACAGAAGGTTGCGAATTTTGATCAAAATTTATTGAAGAAATTGTTGAGTTTTCGAATGAGTTTGATTTGATATTTTTTACTGTGTTAGGAATTGTAATATCACTAATGTTGTATCCCCAATATTCATAGATAATTGTTTGATTTGATTTCATAATCAAGGCATTTGTTGTAATAATAAGATCATGTTCATTCAGATAAGAAACACTTACTTTAATTATTCTTTGAATTGCATCAGAAGAAAATAAAGTTTTGTGAGTGAAAGACATTGCTGCTTTTTTATTGTTAGATGAAATGAATAAATTTCCATTAACAATCATTGATGAATTAGGGAAAGTAATGAGTTCAAGATTTTTGCAATTATAAAATATATCATTACCAATGAATTCTAAAGAACCTAAAAATGTGACATTTATTAAATTATTGCAATTATTAAAAGCATAATTTTCAATTCTTTTGACATTACTTGGAATTGTTATTGAAAAGAATTTTAATCCATTAAAGCATTTTTCTCCTAAAGTTGTGACAGAATCTGGAATTTCGAAGTTTTCTAAAGATTTATTTAAAACAAAATATAAAATGCTTTTATTTTTTGAAAATAAAGTATTATTTTCGATTGAAAAGTAAGGGTTTGATGATTTGATTGTTATATGTGTTATTTTGGAAGCACTAAATGCATCTACTTTGATTTCTTTGACATTTTGTGGAATTTCAAAAGAAGTAATTTCAGTTCCAGAAAAAATAAAATCTTCTAAAGAAGTTAAGTTAGAGCCCTCTTCAAAAATAATATTTGTTAGATTAGAACAGTCTTCAAATGCGCCATCATTTAATTTTTCAACAGATGAAGGAATTCGAACAGTTGTTACTAATGAATTAATTCGAAAAGCATAATTTTGTATTACTTTAAGTCCCTTCGGTAAAAGTATCTCAGTAACTTTGCTGCAACCACTAAATGCATCATTAAATATTGTTGTAAGTTTTGTGCAAGATGATAAATTAATAATTTCAAGATTTATGCAATCTTTAAAACTTTCCTTTCCGATTATTGTTAAGTTAGGGTTTTCTCCAAATGAAAAAGACTTTAATGAACTTAGCCTGGAAAAGCAATATTCTGTTAAAATTGTGACAGATGCTGGAATTTCGAATGTTTCAATTGATTTGTTACACGAAAAATATAAAATGCTTTTGTTTTTTGAAAAAAGAATACTATCTTCTATTGTAAAATAATTATTCGATAGATTAACTGTAATATTTGTTAATTTTGATTCATCAAATGCTTTTAAATCGATTTGGTTGACATTTTGTGGAATTTCAAAAGAAGTAATGTTAGTTCCAGAAAAAACTGAATTTTCTAAAGAAGTTAAGTTAGAACCTTCTTGAAAAATAACACTTTCTAGTTTGGAACAGCTTGAAAATGCATTAGATCCTATTGTTTCAACAGTTGAAGGAATTGTAATACTTATTATAGAATTACTGGAAAAAGCAGAATTTTGTATTTCTTTAAGTCCTTCTGGCAAAAGTACCTCAGTAACATTACTGCAATCACTAAATGCATTAAAAGAAATTGTTGTAAGTTTTGTGCAAGATGATAAATTAACAATTTTAAGATTTATGCAATCTTTAAAACTATTCTGTCCGATTGTTGTTAAGTTAGGATTTTCTCCAAATGAAAAAGAATTTAGTGTTTTTAGGTTTTTAAAACAATTATTTGATATGATTTCACATGTGGCTGATATTCTAAGGTCGGGTGATGAATCTGTGACTTTATTAAGTGTTTTTAAGTCACTTGAATAGCAACTTGAGTTAATATCTTTGTAACTAAGAAGTATGGCGATGATGAGCACTATCATTTATTGATATAGAAGTTCGATGTGAAGTTTATTTCTGAGAGGAAGTTGTCTAATCGAGATATCAAATATCTCTGATTTTGAATAGTTTACAATCAAAAGAAAATTAAAATCAACTGAATTCAAAAATCAAATGTATATATTTTAAGGTGTAAAAATGAGACTGTGACCAGTAATAATGGATCTTAAAATTTTACCGATAAAATAAATTGATAACTTTACATTTTATTTATTGGAAATAAAGGTTGCTGAAATTTAGTGATACAAAAATTAATATATCAGAATAAAAATTAATATGTCACTTTTATATAAATCTAGAGTTTGACAGCGTTATAAGTTTATTAGGATCATTTATGCAAATGCCAAATTCGATTTTGATATGACGTCTCTGGAAAATAAAGCAACGATAGTATAATTGAACGTTACTTTATTTTCCAGAGGTTGTATATTGTTTTGTTGGCAAATTAATTCTAAAATTACACAAAAAGTATTGTATTCGTGTTTTGTCCTAAAATTCCATGGTTTGTTTTGTAAATTTTTCAACAATTTTTAAAAGTTCACCTTTCGGAAATGTTATATTATATTCTTTACTATAGAAGTTGAATGCGAGTTTATTTATAAGCTTATGTACTGCACACACAGTCAAAAGCACTCGAACAACATTACATTTCCAAAAGGTTCAATGATCACAACAATCAACGATTGTGCATTCATTGAGTGTATAAAACAGCATTTTTAATAGCTTTTATACTTCCATCAAAATTAGAAATAGTTCCAAGAAATGGGAAAAAAATTTCAGATTTTAAAATTGAAGAATACTAAATTTGATTACCCAGATTTGCCTTACTTTTACCACCTCTCTAAAGGTGGGGGCCCCGCCTATCGTTGGGAGTAGCTATTAAATAGAACCACCAAGGGTATTTTTCGAACTGCTGGGGTGGTGTAGTGGAAACATTTGACAAGATGATTCATTATGCCAAGGTTTGATTCCCATTTAGCCAATTTTTTTCTTTTTTGGATCATGAATTTTTTTTTGGGTCACTATAAGATTTGTTTCATGTTCTAAATCTGCTGCATATGTAATCTATTTTTATTTACCTATTTTTTAAAATATATCTATTGGATTGCCAAATTTGAATATATTTAAAATCATAAAACTCCAAAAAAACTATAAATATATGTTTTATGCATAGTGCCGATACTCAAATATCAGATTACTTAGATCCATGAATAATATCCGAATTTTTTTTCTTAAAATTAAACTTCAAAACTTCTTGCAATCTTATTCTTAATCAATTGTAAATTTTTAAAACCATTTTTTAAAATAATTTTGCGTAAATTTTATTCTCATGTTGTTTTAATCGAAAATTGATACATTTTCAAAAAATAATATTGACTTATGAAATTCATTTTTAAGGTGAAATAGTATTGTTTTTATTAAAGTATATGAATAATATATAAAAAATAATGAATAATATAAGCAGATTTTTAGTTTACAAAACAAATATGAGCAATGCAATTTCAAACTTTTGCTGGCAATTTCGATATTGCTCAAGTTTGTAGTATTTGTGATACCTATAACATCGGCTTAATCAAAATTCGATTTTTCTTATGAGTTATTGAGAAAATTTGATTGCAATGAGAAGGATTTCGACGTTTTTGATAAACTAAGAGCTGAGCTTTAGGGGTTCAGTTCATTTATGGCTGTAGTTTGATGCGTAGATCTCTTTTTTATTGTAAATTCTTTCAGCATGGAGATCGAGAATGAATCTTTTGAGAACTTTATGAGTTTTTACACCCGTAAAGAGGTCCTTCGAGGAAAGATAGTCCAGACTACATGAAGATGTGGGTTAACCAAAAAAATCCGATGTTTTCCCCATATTCATGTAGATCTTCGAAAAAATGAGCACCAAAAAAGCCAAAAAAATAAGCTTTTTATTGGATTTGTACACTAGATCAATAATCTATTTAGGATCTGACACTCTTTTTAGCCAGAGATATGAGGTCCTTTCTAGGAAAACGATCTATTCATCCATAAAAAAAATGAATTATCGTTTTCCCCAGAAATTACATGGGGAGTGGTAAAAGTAAGGAAAATCTGGGTATTTTTTAATCAAATTCAATAACTAAATTTATTGGTTGTAAAGTGAGTTAACCCAATCGGCGAATTCGTAGCCGTTTTCGCCTTGCTTGAGTTGGGATCGAAGGTATGCGGCATCTTCGGCGGAGAAGTACTGGTCGAGTTGAGCATCTGTAAGAACAGGCTGGTTCTGGGCAATAGCCTTGAATGCTTCCATTGTTGTCTCTGTTGTTTCTGCCTTGGAGAAGTGGTCGAGCATGAATCTGACGTAGTCGTCGAATTCAAGAGCAGTGCCTTCACCCTTAGAGTTGTACTTCTTGCAGTATTCCTTAGCCTGATCATCTGTGATATCTTCGCCGAGAGCTGTAAGGCAAGCCTTGAGTTCGAAGTACTCGAGGGAGTTGGATTTATCCTTGTCGAAGTACTTGAATGTATCCTTGAACTCGTTGAGTTCTTCTTCGGAGATCTCGAGACCCTTAGCAGCAGCGATAGCAGCATCGATTTCCTTGACGAGTGTATCGATGTGGGCGATGAGGTTCTCGAAGAAGATGTTGATGGAAGCTGGTGTGGATGTGATTTCGAGATGGAGCTGATCCTTTTCGAGGTCTTCGTAGATTGGTGTGAGTTCCTCGGCGGCCTTCTCCTTCTTGGCGTTGACTTCCTCACGGACTTCGTAGAGTTTCTGTCTCTTTGGTTCGAGTTCGCCATCGACGGAGTTGATCTTGCCATCGAGAGCATGAGCCTCGTTCATGTGCTCGTCAGCCTTGACTGTGTAGTTGTTGATGCGGGCCTTGCGCTCTTCTTCCTCGAGGAATGTCTTCTTGGCGAGGATGATCTGCTTGAGGTCAAGACGTGCCTGATCGAGTTCACCAGTAGCATCAGAGTATGTGTATGTGACCTTGTAGTTGAGCTTGAATTCAACGAGCTCGTTGTATGGATCCTGGAGGGCCTGGATCTTTTCAGCGAAGCCATCGAGGGAGGCGAGGTTCTCCTCAACTTGAGCCTTGACTGCAGCAGCATCTCCTGGGATCTGGTGTGAGGATGTGACGAGGGCTGTGATACCATCGATGATTGGGACAGCAGTGGCATCGAAGTTGGCAACCATCTCCTCGAAGATCTTGTTGAGTTCTGTGATGATGTGCTGAAGTGTAACAGCATAAACGTTACGGATTTCTGTTGGGCTGTGGTTGACACGGAGGTGAAGTGAATCCTTCTCGAGTCCGTCGAAGATTGGGTCGATCTCGTTAACGTGCTCTCTCTTTGTTGGAGCCTCAGCCTGCTTGGCGAGGAACTGTGTACGGCGCTCGCGGAGTTCGCCGCTGATGGCTAAGACTTCCTCCTTGAAGGCGATGGCCTCGTCGTAGAGTGGCTGGGCAAGAGCGTTGTACTCGTTGATGCGGGCCTCGTTTGTCTCTTCGAAGAGCTTGCCGTTGAGCTGCTCGAGGAGGTGCTTGATGTATGTGATCAACTGGGAGTGGTGGCGGTTGACGGAGTCATCTGTCTGGGATGAGAGTGTGTTGATTCTGAGTTCGACAAGCTCCTGGAAGAGTGGTGTGAGCTCGGCGAGGGCTGGCTGAAGGTCTTCGGCTTCATGAAGCTTCTGCTCAACCTTGTCCTTCTTTTCGGCTGTTGTGCCTTCGATTGTCTTGACTTCCTCGTGGATGGCATCGCACTTGTTGATGATGTCCATGCACTTGGCCATGAAGTCTTCGACTTTCTTCTTGATCATGTCGTTGAGCTCCTGTGTAAGCTCATCACGGCGTGTTGTGGATGTCTGCTCGATCTCGTTGAACTTGTTTGTGAGGGCTTCTGGTTCAAGGCCTTGTGGGATCTCTGGGATTGGTCTGTTGCCAGATTTGCACTTTGTAACAAGAGCAGCCCATGAACGCATGGCCTTAGCACGGTGATCAACGATCTCTGGACGGATATCACGGTTGTATGAGATAACGGAAGCGAGCTTGCCACGAATTCCTGGGATTGTCTTCTCGTAGTCATCAGCCTTGAGCTTCTCGTCTTCGACTGTCATCTTCTCGATAGCAGCCTTAGCATCCTCGATGTATGTGTTCTTGAGCTCATCGATCTGCTTCTGGATGGCGACTGTGCGCTTGATCTTGTCAGCCATAGCAGCGATCTTGGACTCTGAGGCGAAGAAGTGGAAGAATTCGGCAACCTGGGTAACAACAGACTTCTCATCTGGTGTTGTGTCGATGACATCTTCTGGATCGAGGTAGACATAGATGCCGAGTTCCTTGCAAGCTGCGAAAGCCTTCTCGCAGGCGCCCTTGTGGTCGTTGTAGTCAAGAGCGGAGTAGTCAAGAAGGTTTGGACGGAACTTGTTGATGAGGGCAGCAAATGCAAGACCTGTGTTCCAGGATGTTGTGAAGTTGTTGACGGCAACGTGCTCGTAGCCCTGTGTGTTCTTCTTAGCCCAAAGAAGAAGAGCGTCACGAGCTGTAGCTTCTTCGACGGAAATTTCTTCGATCATGAACTTGTTGATGCATGTCCATGTAAGACCGAGTGTGAGTTTAAGGTTCTTGTTGATGATATCATCAGCGCCGATACCGACTGTACGGATCTTCTTGACTTCATTGATGTACTTAAGGGCAAGATCGACGTTTTCACGCTTCTGAACCATCATCTTTGGTTGCTTGTGCCACTTGCTTGGCATTGGTTCCTTACCGATGATTTCGAGAAGGTTCAAAAGCTTTGTGCCATCTTCGAAATCTGTTTCGATTGTTTCAAATTGGATTTGGCGAGCAAGAAGCTGCTTTTGGACCCATCTGGAGAAAACCTTGATCTGGGTCTTCTCCCAGGCATCATCGAGAAGTCCTTCACGACGAACAGACATTCTTTATAATAAATGATATCACTTTTACAAAATTATGGGACGAAGTGATATGGTTACGATATAAAATGATGACATCAATTGTGGAACTCCGAAATGATATATCTATAAATAATACACATGAAGAGAAACCGGCGTAAATAATCAAATTTTCAATCACAAATTGAATGAATATCAGAATATTCTTTCAAAGAAACCGTCACCTCACTTTATATTTTTATATGGACATATTTATGAATATATAGTATTCTGATTGGGAAATGGACTAGAAAACTGAGATAGGAATTTTTTTCGAAATTTCAAACGTCTACGCTCCATTTATATTTTTGCCGGCAAAAAGCTTCCTTTTCCAAGCACAATTTTTGTATATTGAAAATAATTAATTTGACTTGATCCCGAGATATTTCGTATCCAGGACATTGATGTAAAGATTTCACTGTCAATTATTTTAACGACCAAGTGTGTTAGAAAGGTGTTTTATGAGTATTTATCACTCTTACCGAAGAAATTCAATTAAAAATATTGATTTATCTTCGCTCTGTTTATTTTCATCTTGATTGTGCATTTATTCTTCGTGGCTTTAAATTTTTCATAATTAACGAGTCTACAATATTTATTCAACATTTGATTTTTTTGAAGATGTGAATCAAATGCATATAAATAGTTTGCATACCTATTTATTATTCAAATTACCGTTTTTGTAGTGATGCGAAAAATTCCCAAACATATGGGGTTTCTCATATCCCGTCCCCTATCGTTTCCCCAATTCAATTTTTTTTGGAATTTTATTTTTTTTCCCGCCCATTTGAATTAAAAATGGGCGATTTTCGTTAATGTGATTGAAATATCATAAAATTAATACGTATTTTAGCTAATAATTCTATTTTTATACAATATTCTCTCATTAAATCAACATTTTTTTCTAATTTTAATTTTTAATTTTTAATTTCTTCATAATTTTAGCGATTTATGCTCATTATTAGCAAATAAATAATATATATAATATACTTATTTCATTTTATTCAGATAGGTCTTTGGGATTGGGATACCTTGTCCAAATTCAGAGGAAGTTTGAGAGGTTGGGATGGGGTAGCCCATATTCAATTATCCCAAGTGTACTCCACGAATTTAAAATTATATTATATTATTGATGACATATCTAAATTTATAGATAAAAATTTCAATGCGTACACAATTTTTTTGAGAAAATTCTTTTTTTTTACTTATTTTCATTCATAAAAGCTCACGTGAACTTAATTAACAACTGAGACATTTCCTATGAAATCATTTAATGCCGTCAAAATAGACATGTCTAAGCTGTTTTGAGTGACTTTCGCTCGATGTCTGCTGCAATATCAGACATCGAGCGAAAGTCTCTCATATTGGCAACACATCCATACGATCAATACTATAGCTACGAATTACAAGCCTGTTTGGGCAATTTTTGGCCGAGTTCTGATTTTTCATTAGATCTCGAGCGAAAGTCTCTCAAATTGGCTGCCAGTTCATAAGAGTGAAACTCTAGCTACGAATTAGAAGCTTGCTTGAGAGACTCTCGCTCGCGTTGGGATCTGCATCAGAACTCGAGCGAAAGCCTCTCAAAGTGGTAAGACCTGCTCATTGTTGAGCAGGAGCTGCGTAATGTGTTCGAGCAGAGTGAGGCTCTTCTAAGATCTTCCTTGTGATTGGAAGAAATTAGAAGAGTCTCACTCTACTATTTTGTAATTGTATGCCCCGGCCTTTGAGTGACCAGGGCTGCGTAATGAATTCGAGCAGAGTGAGGCTCTTCTAAGATCTTCCTTGTGATTGGAAGAAATTAGAAGAGTCTCACTCTACTATTTTGTAATTGTATGCCCCGGCCTTTGAGTGACCAGGGCTGCGTAATGAATTCGAGCAGAGTGAGGCTCTTCTAAGATCTTCCTTGTGATTGGAAGAAATTAGAAGAGTCTCACTCTACTATTTTGTAATTGTATGCCCCGGCCTTTGAGTGACCAGGGCTGCGTAATGAATTCGAGTAGAGTGAGGCTCTTCTAAGATCTTCCTTGTGATTGGAAGAAATTAGAAGAGTCTCACTCTACTATTTTGTAATTGTATGCCCCGGCCTTTGAGTGACCAGGGCTGCGTAATGAATTCGAGCAGAGTGAGGCTCTTCTAAGATCTTCCTTGTGATTGGAAGAAATTAGAAGAGTCTCACTCTACTATTTTGTAATTGTATGCCCCGGCCTTTGAGTGACCAGGGCTGCGTAATGAATTTGAGTAGGATTGTACAATAGCTCGGCAAACGCCGAGCAAATTGATATAAACGTACATCCCACAAAAAATGGATTGTCAAAATTTATCCCAAATTTTACAAAACCGCAGCGGTTATGACATCCCAGGGCTAAAAAAATTCGGAAACTCGCATCTCTAGTTTTTGTTTTCCAAAATCTTTCACAAAATAATTCCAAATTTTTTTTGTTTTACTCTTTTTCACTATTTTTTCCTTGAGCTGTGAAGATATTTTTAATTTTTTTATGACAAATTGGAAACTTGTCCAAGAAGAACTTAAGGGTCTCATCGGCGATGATGATGACAGAGTTAGTGTTCTTGCCAATACTTCAGCATTAATCAACGAACACATGGCTAATCTTAACTGGTGTGGATTTTATATGCTAAATTCAAAGGATATTTTAGTTCTTGGTCCATTCCAAGGTAAGACAGCATGCACAAGAATACCAATAGGTAAAGGAGTTTGTGGCGGCGCAGTTGCACAGGCAAAAATTTTACGTGTGCCAGATGTTCATAAATTCCCAGGCCATATTGCTTGCGATAGTGCTAGCAATTCAGAAATTGTTCTTCCTGTATATATCAATGGAAAGATTTGCGGAGTTTTGGATATTGATTCACCTCTTCTTGATCGTTTCTCAGAGGAAGATGAAAAGGGCCTCAAAGAATGTGTTGACATTCTTGGTTCACATCTTGAAAAATTATAAACAATTATTCATATTATATGATACCTTTCCTTAAAGATTGAAGCGTATCTTTCTAATTATATTTTATGATTTGTAAAGCCAAAGCAAATGAGTCTTACCTACTTCACCATTAAGCGAAAAAAATTGATTTATGCTTATTTGGTCTTAAAAAGACTGAAAATTATTCATTCAAGGATTAGGGCGCAGGTTTGTCCTTCTGATGGAACAGATTTAAGGCAAGTTACTTCTTCTAATATATATGAAAACAAAACAAAATTTGAAATGGATAAGAAACGATATGGTTTAAACTTTGAGATGCAATGCACGGGCATATATTTATATTTAGGCACCCTTTAAGAGTATCATAATTTGGTTTCTCGATATTTAGTACAGAATTCCATTTTTCAGGTAAATTTTATATATAAAAAGAATGACTTTCATGGAGCTTATTTTGTTTTGAAAGTTCATGAACGCTAGAAAATGAGGTTTCATAAAAAAATATACTAGAGTCAAAATCTCGAGCACAAAAGTGACATTGAATACTTGTAAGTATTGAATTCCCATGTAAACTATTCATTTCTATCGTTTTTTGTAGTCCACATTTCCTCACTCTCGATTTTACTCATAAAAATATTAAAAAATCACTATACAATATATAAAATATATATTTATATGGTTAAAACAATGTTATTTTTGCGAGATTTCATCTGAAATTAAAATTAGGGATTTTTTGAATTTTGAACTAAAATTTGTGATTGGCAAATATTGAATAATCGATTGGAATATGAAAGAAATACTTTAAAATTGAATAGAATGTGCCGATAGAATTTTTCTCACAATTTTAAAAAGTTGTTCAAATCCTATTTTTGATTGAGTTTTTGCAATTGTTATATATCAAGTGACAAGCTAAAAATAAAATTTTTGTTGCACTACTATTTTTGCAACAATTTGTAAATTACGTGCATCCCTTGTATTCCAGTGATCAACATCGAGATTACATATTGTAAGAAATCCTTTTGAAGTAGATCTCTATTTGAATTCAAATTCGGACAGTCTATTTCATGTTGCTTCGTGAGAATGTATATAATTTGCAATGTGAATATTATATAATTGATTCTGTATAAATAAGTAATTATGCTTTAGGAAACTGCTCGGCATTGCATGAGATCTAATCTTATAATAATTTTTTAGATATGTTGAAATATGTAATATTTAGCTTCAATATCATTTATTATGGTGTGTCTTGTAATAAACAGAAATTCATCAAAAGTAACAGCTCTCAATTTTGTGACATTTGTAAATTCTAAATTGAACGAGAAAAATGAAATAATACTAAGCATAATACAATATTCTAGATTTAATTATAATTAGGAAAAAGTTAGTTTTGAGAGTACTTTTCATAGGCATATAGAATGAAATATTCTGAAAAATAATATCACATAAACTCATATTATTTTCTAATATATAACTATTTTATATAAAAATCAAATTCATTGATCTTAAAAGCGAAGGATAAACCTCAAAATTTACGAATATAATGAGTGGGAATATAATGCTTATCTATCATAAAACCATATGAAATATCAATTTTATTTTTCATATTCAAATGGACTGAGTGTTAACATTTAACATTTTTTGCTAATTGTCGTCAAAAATTAGGCGTAAAGCAAAAATTGATATTTCATATGGTTTTATGATAGATAAGCATTATATTCCCACTCATTATATTCGTAAATTTTGAGGTTTATCCTTCGCTTTTAAGATCATTGAATTTGATTTTTATATAAAATAGTTATATATTAGAAAATAATATGAGTTTATGTGATATTATTTTTCAGAAGATTTTGTGTTCTTCTTCAAAATTTTATTTTTTTATTAAAAAGAATCTTTACAAGATATACATTTACTTTAATTAATATTTAAAAACGCGCTCTATCAAAAGTTCCAAAAATTCAATATTTTAGCTTTTCTGAGGTGTCATTTTTGATGAATTTCTGTTTACAACAGTCTTTGCTGTTTTTTTTTGATATTGGATATCAATGACTCTTCTGTGAACGAAAAAATCATATAAATCATTAAATTCTAAACGTAAGCGAAACTCATTCAATTTATTATTAGAATCAAATCTATTTTAAAATTGAGCTATTCGTTAAATCACAAAAGGATACTTTATATTTTTAGTCAAAATTTGTTGATAGGAGCTTATTGGCGCAATCTCATGTTCTTCCTGGAAGCAGCGCACAGACCAGTCAGAAGCGCTCCTTCCAGGACCAGAAAGACTAGAAGGGGTCCTGACCTTGAGAAAGGACCCCCTTCCAGGTCTTTCTGGGACAATTCGGTTCGCATTGCGAGTGTCTGCTGCTTCTTTTGACCAAAGCAGCAGACACTCGCAATTATATGTTGCGGCAAGTGCATCTGTGGTGTCGGAATGCACTTGCTGCGAACTTCGAGCAATCTCCTGATCTTCCTGGAAGCAGCGCACAGACCAGTCAGAAGCGCTCCTTCCAGGACCAGAAAGACTAGAAGGGGGCCCTGACCTTGAGAAAGGACCCCCTTCCAGGTCTTTCTCCAAGGAACATTGTGCCATTGTGGGAGACATGCAGAGGCAATGTCTCCCAGAATGATACATTGCGACCAACACGAGTGAATGGGACACTCTATTCTTTCAATTTTCTCATTAATATTTTATCTTTTTTTATTAGATCAATAAATAAACTCTTTTAATGTTCACAATTACATAAATCCATATGAATCAATTCGCTATTTATTTAGTCTCTAATTTTAATAGCTTTTTTGAATCTTGCAATCTAAATAATTAATATATGCAGGTCATTTTATTTTTTTTTCTTAATTACATTATATATAATAATAGATTATATGTCCAAATCGAACAAATTGTGAATTTTTACTTTTGAATGGTATTCAAATTTACCCTCTCCTAAGAAAATGCCCCAACAATAAAAAAACTCTTAAAAATATATCCAGGTCTGGATGGAGATGGTTTTGATTATATCCAAATTTGATTCAGAAATTTTTTCAACCAACAAAATTTTATTAATTCAGAAAAATTATATTATGTTTTTTATTTAAGTAGTAATAATTTCACAGAAATATGAAAAAATGAATTCAAGTTTTTCGCATAAATAAATTTTATTCATTTTATTCATCGCTGACAAATATACATTTCATATGTTAAATAAATTCCTATACATGATAGTTCCACAATTTTTCTTTTTTTGATAAATTTACATAACATTTTTATTTAAAAGATAGTGGTTATCTTTTATCACATTCTTCACGAATCAGAAACCGCTTGGCATAAAATTTGAATATCAATTGATCTGAAAATTGAATACTTGTAATGAGCTACATTTTTAAAAGTTTATCCAAAAATGCTCCTAGCTGAATTTTCCATACATTTCAATAATATTTTTATAAACTTGTAAACTTTTCAACAATCAAAGAAATATCGAAAAAATGATTGGGATAATAAATATAATTCCGATTTATTCCGAACTTTAATGAGAACTTTATCAAATCTGTCAAAAGTTATATGAGCTACAGTAATACTTATTCCACAAGTTTCGGAGAGTCATATAACTTCTCTATCCCTAAACTATTCAAAACACAATCGTCTACTACGGATCATGATGCAGTTTACGCTGATTCCCAACTCAGCTTATATGATAATAACTATAATCAGCTCATCCAAAAGAAGCAATCCCTTCAATTACTGAAGTACACGAGTGATTCGGCAATAACACAATATTTCCGACACTCAACTTCGTCATCGATCGCTTTTCCAATTCCATATAATTTTGAAACTAAAAAACAATTCTTAGAAGCAGTCCATGTTTGGCACGAATATATCCGAAAAACATTGACCGGAATTACTCTACCTTATCCGATTCTTTCTAAGGTATATATTCCATCCCGTCCATTTCGGATGGATTTATTAGCTCAGCAATATAACAGATTTGATCAAACAGCGAATCCATTACTCCCAAAGAACATGGAATACTTACACAGGATGCTTATAACTGATGATAGATTGCCTCCAGACGAAGAATTTCCTCATCAGCTTCCGAAAAAGATTCCTGTTCTCGTAAAGCATCAAATTAATACAGAGCCTCAATGGCAAAGCAGTTGTATCCCTCACGAACCAAATCTGCTCATATATTCAAATTTTGATGATTATCTCTCCGCGTACGAGTCATGGCATAAGATTACATGCCTTCAACTCTCAACTCCACCCATTCCTCCGGACCAATTTGAGAATCTTATCAGTCTAAAGAAGAATCCGGAAATGGAATACGAAAAGGAGTCGTCGATTAAGCCTATTCCACAGGAATTCCCAATTGACTACAGCTGGACACAGAACCTGGCCGAGCCAACAATCCATTTGGACGTAAATCGCTTCCGAGTTTTTTCGATGAAAGAAGACCATCACGATTACCAACATTACCTTGTCTATGGTGTCGATAGGGACAAGTTCCTCAAGAATATCAAGAACTCGGGCGATAGTAAGAAAACATTTCGCGAACAAAAGCTAATTTACCCATTTACCTTCATCTGGTACATGGATAAGAAGAAGGCAACGGAAGATCTATCTACTTTCTTGCATTCTTTGAATAGTTCAATGAGTTTTCGCGAAACAACACAGTTTTTGCACTGGGACTACAAAATTGACAAATACGAAAGCATCATCCTTGAAACAGAGGGCAAGCTTTCCCTGAAATACATGTTGGCAGCCAATATCAAACCTTTCGAAATTATGAAATTAATCGAAATTGCCAAAAATTCAGATCAGCATGCGATTCGTGTTGCGCATATGTTATCTACTCTTGTTTCCTCAGAGTTGTACCAGGCTTTTACTGATTTTTTATTCATTCCTGGCGACTTTTTCAGAAATCTTTATCAGTTCATCAAAGTTGCTGTCCTTTTGTCGGATAACAACATAGAAATCTACAAACCACCTGCCAAAATGACCGAATTCGATTTTCTCGTTTTCAAATTACATTATTGCACAATTCTCACTACGATACCTATCTGCAACTTTACGTTTCCCTTTTTCAGATACCTCATCAAGGCATCTCACGATTGCCACGATTCGATTTCGGAATGGCTGAAAGATGGAGATTTAGTTGATAAACTCTGGGACTCGTTGAAACAAGAGACTCCTACAGCTTTGACGCTTGAGATGTATATATTCGCAGCATTGCAGCCCGATACAATTTGCTTGAGGCTTTTCAGAAATGATTTCTTCGAAAGAGTCGCAGAAATCTCTAATTACAAATGCGGACGCGGATTCCTTCTCCGCATGATCTACCACGACTGCGGACGTGTTGTTTTGATGTTTATTCGAAAGGCATCTCCGATTATTCCAACAAATGTCTTCCAGAACATGACAAAGGAATCAGAGAGAATGATCATGACGATATTCGCTCAATACGCTGCCTTCTTGGGCTCTATTGGAGCATTTGCTCCTCAACAAGAGTTAATCAAATTATTAATCGACATAATCGAGCACTACAACGAGAATTGCCACAGTATTGTATTCATACTTCTCAAGATCATTACTCTCAAGAGGCTTTTGCTCGACAAAAACCGTCAAAACCAAGAAAATTTGATTGTTCCTTTGGTAAAACAGATTTGCCAAAGCGCCGTATCCCAGGAAAGCAGAATCTCTCTACTCGATGCAGCATTGTACGTGTCCGCGTGCCTCAAAATCCCAGGAGCTGCTGAAGAAGCCGCTAAATATCCAGAAATCATCAGTTTCGTCTTAGAACAGATGAACTCCAGCCAGAACGATGTGAACAGAAGGGCATGGAAGTTCTGGCGCCGATTGACAAGCTCTCCTTCCATAACAAAAAGTTTACTCGCAAACGAAAATTTCGGAAAAACTTTATCGACTTTATCGTACTCGGAAAATCCAACGATTTTCATGAACTACTGTCGATTCGTTACGCATATTTCGGAGAGTGTAAACAGCGGAACACTTGATTTGCTGCTTGCAAGAGTTTCGTCAGCAATTGGAAGATTTGCTTGCACATTAAAACTGGCAAACAACATTTTCCGCGGAAACTTACTTGTCCTGAGGGAAATTGAAAAGATGCTCAAAGCAGTTGCGAAGAATGACAAAACTAAGTTCAAAGAAGACCTCGGAAACCACTTAAAGTCACTTGGAATCGATCTCACCAAACATTAGAATTAATTATATATATATATTTATTTATATATCGGAAATAAATTGTATTTATTGTTTGTTTATTTGATATTAATTTTTATATTTTCTCCGGAATTTAGAAATTATCGATTCTTTCACAACCATAATGTTTCGTATATATCTTGATCTGTTTTTTTGCACTCTTAATCACTAATAAACATATTTCACATATCTCCGAGCGCATTTTCATCTTAATTTTGAGGGAGTATCTCAATCTTACTATCCAAAAAGTTTCAGAGAATATACGATGACAATGTGTACGAACATAGACTTGATCGAAGAGAGAATATATTTTCATTGAATGAACTCAATTCCGTATCCTTGGAAAAAGGTTTTTTATAGCTCACAAAACTTGTGTACATGAAACATAAAAGAATAACTTCAATAGCTGATGAAACATAAAATAATTTTTTTAATTATTTCCGAACGAATTATGTGCTGATAGTGATCAACATTCATATGTAACTCTATTGTTTTTCCCTCGAAAAATCAAAATTGACAATGTTCACTTTTTGAACGATCAACAATAATGTTCATTATCGATAACTAAACGTGATTTCCTGCAAATATGTCTTGATTGTTCTGCCTCAAATTTTGTTGGCTTATAAAAAATGCCTTTATGAAAAAGTGGCCAACGTCGTTTTTTAAAAAATCTAAAAACCCGGAAATTAAGCACATTCATAAAATAGCATAAACTTTTAAAAAAACAATGTGTAATTTTTCTTTCAATTTTTTTTTTCAAATTCGATGTTGCCCTATTTCGCAATCTTCTCTTTATCAAGAAAGATTATCCAAATATCATTAGGATATCAAGAAATAATGATTAACGAGCCAGTAGATCTCAGACTGGACAATTATGAGTCCCTGGCACATAATAATATTCATTCAATTTTCTTCAATTATGAAGAATTCCAAGATCTATCATATTCAGATGTTCAATACTACAATACATACCTGCATACTATTTACCCAAAAAATGGTCCAACATTGTTAAAGTTTTGCACATTTCGCAGTGAATTTTCGTCAACTCCGGATTATATAGTAGTTTTTAATGGTGGCAGTGGAACAAATAATGTGATGGACATAAGTAGTAGTAATATTATTCTATTTCTTAGCACAACAGAATTTAATTACAAATTTGAAAATGTATCTAACACTAAATACAATATCAATCCATTTGACAAGACAATTGAGCTAAATGGAAACATTGATTGCCATAATCAAAAGTTTCTAATGCTTTCCACATCTTGGGTTGGAGCAAAAATATATTTCAAAGCAGAAAAAGTGAACAAAGACATTGAAACTCAAGGATTTGTTATTGATAATAATAATGCATTGGGATATATTGAAAGTTATTCATTCGGAACTGAATTAAGAGCTCAATATGGAAGATATGAATACTTAATTGATGAAACACCAATAGTATTAAATATACAAAAGAGCAGAGCAGTAGCAAATACTTATTTCGTTTCTCATGAGTGTAAAGATATACTATATAACGTAGGTAATGATCAATGGGAGGAATTTCCTATATTCAAAGAGGTCACAGGTACACCTTTAACTATAAAATCAAAATCAGGAACGAATAGTCTGAAAATTCACGTTTTTTACACCAACTTTATTGGATATGATCACTTTGATATAATATTGAACCCAGAAAATGGCAAAGTATATGTCGGAGAAACATCCAGCAAATCTGAAAAAGTTGTTTTTTCATCGTGGTATCCAATGAATTTCAAAGAATACTTTAACTATACAGCAAAAATGACTAGAGACTATCCTGTTATAGGTCATTATACAAATTATCCCTTTGAAAATGAATTTGAGTTTCAAAACGTTTTTTATGTACTCTATGAATTTACTTCTCAAAGTACTTTTACATTTGGTGGTTATGATTTCAAATCACTACTCCAAGACGAACAAACAGGATTAAATAGAGGAATTTATCATGTCGGTTCAGAACCATTGATCAAAGAAGGACAACAAAGTGACATTGAACACTTTACAATATTCAACGCACAACAGAAAAGAACTGCAACAATTTCATTCAAAGAGGATGAATTAAGAATTATTGTACTTTCTTCCCGTAGCGATTGTTATTCTCTTTTAATGTTCAAGAATGCACATGAATTCATATGTGAAGATGGTTCTCCTGTTAATCCAGCATATTCTTCACAGCTTGGTGAAATTATTCTTAACAAAATTAAACCTAGATCTGGATCCCCCACACTTGAAATTCAATATGATTCACAAGTTTTTAATAGAAATGATAGAATTGATATAGTATACAATATGTTTGATATTGCTGTTAAATTTTCATCAAAATCAAGAGGGAAAATGTTTATTATGTCATCTGTGGAATCAGAAATTTATATTATCAGAGATTTGGGAAATTCCATTTATATGAGAAGAGGAACTTTCTTTAAGATTGATTATGCAGAAGGAATTTTAGATTTTTATAACCTTTCACAATTACCAGTTGGAGCTCAAATTGGAAGACTTAAATTAAACAATTGTATATCAGAATTTGACCACCCAGGTTTAGTTATTAGAGATGGCGAAGTCAAAACATTCACAATTGATGAATTATCAGTTGATGTTTATCCTTATCATTATCAGGATGATGATTTATGCCATTTTTATAGTGAAAATGAAGTGGTCATTAAAAAGATTGATAATGGATTTAATCTCAGATCTAACAATGGACCTCAAAATGTTACTGTTGTTATGGAAGGTTTATATGAAAATACTTTTGCTGACAATTATAATACAAAAAGTTACAAATTCGGCGTTGATGCAATATCCAACAAACCATTAGGATACAAATTACAAAAATCCAATATCCACTAATGTGTTTATTCATATTATTCATTCTCAACAAATATCACAAGTTTAGATCAGAAACCATATAACGTGACAACATGGACAAATGACAGAAAGATCAAGAATTATGTTGTTGAATCAGGTCAAACACTCACATTGAATAATATTAATCTTCTTTTACTTGACCCAATTCTTAGCGATATCACTTTATCAAAAATTATATTTGACGATCCAGACAAAGCCAAGAGATATGTCAACAAAAAGTATGATTTCTTCATTGAAATTTGGCCAACACCACCTCCAACACAAACACCAGAACCTACACCAGAGCCTACACCTGTACCAGCAGCTACTCCTGCACAAACAACTACATCCAAGGAAATAATCACTCTTGAAATGACAACCAGTAATACCAATAATAATGATAATAATAATGATGATAATAATGATCAAGGAAGTGATCAGAAAACCAAAACTGGAAAACTAGGAACCGGTGCTATTGTAGGAATAATAATTGGCGCTATCTTTATTGTTGCCTTATGCATTGCTACAATTTTCATCATCAAGAAACGTCAAATAAAGGCAGAAAAAGGAAGTGAATCCCAAGCTCAACTTATGAATTTGGTTTAAGTTTGATAAGATGATGCACTTTAAAATTAGGTTTTGATTTTTCTTCAAATAAAATTTATTTTTTTTTAATATTCACAAATACAATCTAAAACAAAACCATATTGTGCTATTACTAGAGAAAATAAATTTAGAGGAACTTAATATTAATTGCTACTGTAAATGAGATCACAATTAAGAATTTTTTAATTAATCCAAATGAACGAGTAATCAGTGAAAAATAAGTATGTTATGATAATCCATAAATTAGACCACAAGTTTCGGTTATTCTAAAAGAGCTTCTTTTAAAAATTTTTATTAATAATGAATAGGTATCAATAAACATCCATACAAATACAGTATTCAAGATACTTGTTTATCCATATATGCATTTATATCAATTCCAAATAATTTCTAATTGAATTGTTATTAAAATACGCTGACATTAAAGAAATCATTTATCTAATGATGTGAAATTTATTTCCCCAAAATGATTTTTACAAATAAAAAAGAAATTTTACTTTTTATTTCATTTATACATTGCATGAGCTTTTTCGGAATTAGTCCTGGTTTCTATCTGTAATTCTATATTTTTTTCCCCTAGAAATATCTTTCAGATCCTTATTGTCATTGGTCACTTTTTATTGATCAAAATCGTTCGATATTTAAATATTGCTGTTATGTATAGTATATCCATGGATGATAAAAATTACTTGGCACTTTTGGTTTATTGAATGAAATGGGCCAACCGCCTTTTATTTTAAAAATCCTATTTATTAGCACAATGGAATTTTTTTATAAGTGTTATTTTTCTTTCAATTTTTACTGTTTTTATGATCTGAAATTTTTCTTAATCAAAACGATGATATCCTTTCTCACAACTTTCTCTTTATCAAATAAGGCCATCCAGATTTCTTTAGGATATCAAGAAATAATGATTGACGAGCCAGTAGATCTCATACTAAACAACTCATATAAGTTTGATACTTACGATTTTATTCATACAATTTTCTTCAATTATGAAGAATTCCAAAATCTAATATATTCAGATGATCAGATTCACAGTGCATACCTGCATACTATTGTCCCCAAAAATGGTCCAACATTGTTAAAGTTTTGTGCATTTTACGAAGAGCATTTGGAACACCCGGATTATCTAGTAGTTTTTAATGGTGGCAATGGAACAAATAATTTTATGGACATTAAAAGTGAAAAACTTATACTATTTATTAGCACAACGGAATTTAATTACAAATTTGAAAATTTATTAAGATCTAAATACAAAATCAATCCATTTGATTTGGCAACTTATCTAAATGGAAATATTGATTGCCATAATCAAAAGTTTATATTGCTTTCCACACCTTCATATGGAAGAAAGATTTATTTCAAAGCAGAAAAAGTGAACAAAGACATTGAAACTCAAGGATTTGTAATTGATAATAATAATTCATTGGGATACAACGAAAATTATTCATTCGGAACTGAATTAATGGCTTCAATTGGAAGATATGAATACTTAATTGATGAAACACCAGTAATATTAAATATAGAAAAGGATGATTCAAGGTCAAGAACGTACTTCGTTTCTCACGAGTGTAAAGATATACTATATAATGTAGGTGATGATCAATGGGAGGAATTTCCTGTATTCAAAGAGGTCACAGGTACACCTTTAACTATAAAATCAAAATCAGGAACGAAAAGTCTGAAAATTCACGTTTTTTTAACAAACTCTAAAAATTATTCTCACTTTGATTTAGTTTTGAACCCAGAAAATGGCAAAGTATATGTTGGAGAAACATCCAGCAGTTCAGAAAAAGTCGTTTTTTTATTGTGGTATCCAATGAATTTCAAAGAATACTTTAACTATACAGTAAAGGTAGCTGAAAATAGACCTGTTCAAAGTCATAATGCAAATTATCCCTTTCAAAATGAATATGAGTTTCAAAACGTTTTTTATGTACTCTATGAATTTACTTCTCAAAGTACTTTTACATTTGGTGGCTATGATTTCAATTCATTGTTCCAAGACGAACAAACAGGTTTAAATAGAGGAATTTATCATGTCGGTTCAGAACCATTGATTAAAGAAGGACAACAAAGTGACATTGAACACTTTACAATATTCAACAAACCACTACCAAGTACCACATCAATTTCATTCAAAGAAGATGAATTAAGAACTATTGTTCTTTCTTCCCGTTTCGGCTATTATTCTCTTTTAATGTTCAAGAATGCACATGAATTCATATGTGAAGATGGTTCTCCTGTTACCCCAGCATATTCTTCAAAGTTTGAAGAAACTGTTCTAAACAAAATTAAACCTAGATCTGGATCCCCCACACTTGAAATTCAATATGATTCACAAGCTTTTAATTCAAATGACAGAATTGATGTAGTATACAATATGTTTGATATTGCTGTTAAATTTTCATCAAAAATAAGCGGAAAAATGTATGTCATATCATCTGTGGAATCAGAACTTTGCGTTATCAATGATTTTGGGCGTTCTATTTCTACATACAAAGGAACATTTTCAGGATTACTAATGCAGAAGGAATTTTAGATTTTCGTAACCTTACACAAATACCAGTTGGAACTCAATCCGGAAGGCTTAAAATAGCAGGAACTATATCAAAATTTGACTCCGCAGAATTAATTATTAGAGATGGTGAAGTCAAAACGATCACAGTTAATGAATCATCAGTTAACATTTATCCTTATCATTATTCAGATAAATTATTCCATATTTATAATGAAAGTGAAGTTATCATTGAAAAGATTTCTAATGGCTACAGTATCAAATCTTATAATGGCACTCAAAATGTTACAGTTGTTATGGAAGGATTATATGAAAATAATTTTGCTTTTAATACAAAAGGTTACAAATTCGGCATTGATGCATTATCAGACGAACCATTAGGATACAAATTACAAAAATCGAATATCCACCAATGTGTTTATTCATATTGTTCATTCTCAACAAATATCACAAGTTCAGGTCAGAATTCATCTAAAGTTACCACATGGACAAATGACAGAAAGGTCAAGAATTATGTTGTTGAATCAGGTCAAACACTCACATTGAATAGTATTAATCTTCTTTTACTTGACCCAATTCTTAGCGATATCACTTTATCAAAAATTATATTTGACGACCCAGACAAAGCCAAGAGATATGGCAACAAAAAGTATAATTTTTTGATTGAAATCTGGACAATACCACCTCCAACACAAACACCAGAACCTACACCAGAGCCTACACCTGCTACTACACCTGTACCAGCAGCTACTCCTGCACAAACAACTACATCCAAGGAAATAATCACTCCTGAAATGACAACCAGTAATACCAATAATAATGATAATAATAATGATGATAATAATGATCAAGGAAGTGATCAGAAAACCAAAACTGGAAAACTAGGAACCGGTGCTATTGTAGGAATAATAATTGGCGCTATCTTTATTGTTGCCTTATGCATTGCTACAATTTTCATCATCAAGAAACGTCAAATAAAGGCAGAAAAAGGAAGTGAATCCCAAGCTCAACTTATGAATTTGGTTTAAGTTTGATAAGATGATGCACGTGATCAAATTTAAATTAAATTCAAATTTAAACTAAAATTAATTTTCAAATTTAATTGAAAATAAAATTAATTTTGATATTTAATCTAAAACAAAATTAAATTGTTTTTTCACAAGCAAAAGTAATTTTGTTGTTATTGTAAATGAAATCACTTACAATAACATTAATTAATTAATCCAAATGAAATCGAATATTAATCAATACACTTAAATTTATTTGAATAAACACTTTTCCTATAATCAATATATGTTTATTTTTGCCGAAGTATGCATGTTTGCCCGAAGGGCAAGCGTAGTCACCTGAGGTTAGAAATTATATAATATCGAATTTGTTTTGTGGACTACTGAATCTTAGTACGTTTATGTCTTCATACTGTATATCATAAAGTTTTATTTAACTCTTTCGGACAAAAAGAAACATGGTATGCTTATTGAGTTTATTGTTATCCACATGGATAACATTGACTTTTCATTCCTAATGAATTCAAAAGGTATTTAATGTGGTAAAATTTAGAAAAGTAACTAATAGATTTTTTTGGATGTCACATCAAGACATTCTTCCAAATTGATTCAGCGAATTGAGAAATATCTATAAAAATTACATTGATTCATACATTGCGTTGTATCAGTTAAAATCGAAAAACGATGAAGAATTAAACTCGATTTACAAAATGATCAAAACAAATTTGATTGATTCAAATAAATACCATCCTCAACTAATTATTAGAGATATTTTAAATATCATAAAGTATAATAATCGTTATACAACATCATACTTAAAACTTGTGAAATTCATATCAGATGATTATCCTCTTCATTATGCAGTATTAAATAATAGTGAAATAAGAGTCGAATTTCTATATTCACATGATGCACAAATCAATGAAAAAGATGTAGATGGAAAAACAGCTCTTCATGAGGCAACATATAAAAATAATAGAGAAATAGTCGAACTTCTTATTTTACACGGTGCAAATATCAATGAAAAAGATAATAATGAAAAAACAGCTCTTCATGAGGCAACATATAAAAATAATAGAGAAATAGTCGAACTTCTTATTTTACACGGTGCAAATATCAATGAAAAAGATAATAATGGAAAAACACCTCTTGATGTTGCAACAAAATATAATAGTTATGAAATAGTCAAACTTCTTATTTCATATGGTGCAAATATCAATTAAAAATAAGGAGATGGAAAAACAGCTTTTAAATCATGCAGAATTTAATAATAGTATGGCCGAACTTCTTCTTTCTCATAGCACAAATATCAATTGAAAAGTTATAATAAATATAATAGTAAAAGCTTTTGTTACTTTAAACATATAACAATACTAATGAGATATATTTATTAAATTCCAAAATTTTGATGAAATATTTGAGGAATGAAATATGTGAAATTTATTTTCCCAAAATGATTTTTACAAATAAAAAAGAAATTATCAAACATACCATTATTTTCGATTCTATTGCCGATCAGCATTTGAATCAAAAATAATCGTATGTTTGATAATTAATTTTTATTACATTTACATTAAATGAACTTGTTGGATGGAAGTAAAAGATAGTTCAACAGCTTCAACATCAATATACCGGTATAAAGCCTGGCAAATATAATTTTGAATATACTAAATAAGCAGTTTACAATTTATTTTGTTAGGAAACGCTTAAAAACCAAAAATCAAGAACAAATTCGAAATATCTAAGATTCCTTGAATAATGATCAATGAACAATAAAAATTGTCTAAGAAATTAATGAATTTTTAATTACTATCCTTATTAAAATTTGAAAATATTTCAATATTTAAACAAGAAATAGAAATTTTATTTCAGTTCCAAATTTTGAAAAGTTTAGCCCATTAAAATGTACGAATAAAAGATATCCTTAGAAAAATGAGAATCGAGTAGCTATTCCATTAATGCGCACATTGGAGAACAGATTATTGATTTCCATTTTCAGGTAAATATTAAAAGATCAATGAATATAAAAGGAGCTGAGAATACAAAGAGAAGAATGCACGCATCAATTTAAAATTAATTCAGATCAAATTGAACCCGAAAAGGAATTTATATTGTAGAGGATCATTTTTTTTTATTTGAGTGTTTACTGAAAAAATCGATGAAAAATTATTAGGAGTATGCTATTAATTATAAGAATTATTTTGTAATTTATTTTGTAAAAGAAATTTGCCATTGAAACGGTGAATTATAATCAGAAAACTTTGTGAATTTTTGAACGATAGATTCAAAATTAATCATATGCTTAAACTGGAAAATTAAATGATTATTTGAGATAGAAATATGATAGAGGTAATATTTTCGGAAAAATAAGTCTCTCTGTTTACTTTTTATTATTTCCGGAATTCCTTTCAAAAGTTTCCTTACAAATCTTTTCGTTTATTCCAAATTCTATTAGTAGAACTATACAGAATTCTTTAATTTTTGTGAGCGATTAAAAATTTTGGCCAAATTTGAGAGAAAAAAAATTCGAAAATATTCCAAAAATAATTGATAAATTCCAGTTAAATATCTTTATGATATTAAAATAAAATCCGATAATCTCTCAAATGCGAAAAATTGATCTCAAAAAATATTCTTATCGATCCGAAATTTGAGTTTGTATTTTTGAAGATAATCTTCCAACTTACTCGGTCGCCTTTTTCAAAAAATAATGGCCAAAATTGAAAAGCTGGATTTGAATAAAAAGTATTTAATTTTGGCTAATTAGCATAGATGATAATGTATTTAGTATGTATATATAAATAATATTCTAGAACCGTAACATTAATTTCTGTGCACATTCAAATTGTGATGGGAATATTCAAATTATTTTTAGTGCTCATTTTCCAATGGAGCTTTTCATCCACACTTTCGACAATAAGATTCATTCATGCAAATTCTCAAACACTGATACAATACGTACAGTTCAGCAAAGATTCAATCCTTCTTTAGAAACTTTGATTTTATACAGAAACTCTATTCTAGTACCAAATCTTACATTATTTGATTACAAAATCACTAGTGGTGATCACATCTACATAATTCCTCAAACATCTTCTGTTCAACAGAAGTCACTAGTGCTAGAAAGCAACTTGCCAGCCGGCCCAAAGTTTGAAATCGAAAGAATGAAAGATCAAATGTATTTCAAACTTGATTCAAGTCCCCAATACTATATCAAAATTGTTAAACGTTTCAATAGGATGGTGGAAAGAGAATTCACCCGTCAGGATACCCAAACACCTATAATTCCCTCAATCCCGAATAAGCCATCAGTTGCCCCACTTCCTGCCTTTTGGAAGTAATTGTATCAAATGCATTATTATTTAATTTTAATGCACAATATATTCCTTGTTTGTTTTATTAAATGTTATCATTTTTTAGTTTAAAAGTATCTCATATTTTGGTAAACGCCGAAACAGATGAATATAATTTTCTGAAATTTAAAATAATCGTCTGGAAATTCTTTCATTAGCAGTTGTGAGTAACTTTAAATCATCAAATTTGATCAGGTGTGCAATGAACAGAAATAAACTTAACATTCAATATTCCCCTGAAATTATAATTATAAATACATTAACATAACCAAAAACACGTCATAAAATGTTTTTAAAGATAATAAAACAAGCTTTTAAAGGAAGTTTAGCTAACAAAAGTTTGACATTTGTTTTCACATTAGCAATTTTATCTTTTTGCTATAAATATAACTTTTGTTTGTTAAAAATATACAAAAAAAGCTAAATAAATAAAATTGAGTTAATAAAAAAAGTTCAGTTCAATGATAGAGAAATTGTATTAAAAATAAATTAAATATTTTCTTAGTACAAAGGGAAAATGGAAAATATTTTATTTTAATAATAAGATTGACAAAAATCATTTAATAAAAAGCTAACGAATGATTTTTGAATTGTCTTAACTTTAAATCTTAATGATAGAAGATCTGAAATTCCAAATTTATATTCATTTTGAAATGAAGTACAAGAAAAATGAACTTAAAATCGAAATTTGCTGTCTAACTTGAAATATTATGATATTCTGAAAAGCTAGTGATTGTTGTAAGGAATGATTTATTCGAATTATTAATTTTGAACATTTTGTAATATTTATAATGAATTAAGGAATTTGATTGAAGAAAACAGTGAAATTGAAACGTTTTAAAGTAATTTGAAATGAATTTTTTATAAATAAATGAGTTAATAATCAAAAACTATAAATATATTGAATTAGAATTGTAATTTTGTTAAGAAATAAAAGATTATGTGAATGATTCGAAAAAAAAAATGATTTTGGAAAAAGAAACGAGATAAAATGGGGAAATGATGTGCAATGGGGAGTAAGTGAATCAGGAATAAGACAATATGAGTTAATAAACAGAATACCAGAAAATAGATTCAAAGTCGAATCAAAAAAGTAATTTTGAGAACTTGATTGAAAAACATTCAATATTTGAATGCATATTGAAAATTAAATAACCTCTTTTTCATCTCAATAAATTACCAACGAATAAAATTGAAAGTTCGAAAAGGTTGATCAATGAAACGATATTATTTTATTGTCGTATTAATTATTTTTTAGTGCTGTTTTTTTAAATATGGTGGACCAATTTTTATGTTCTGGTGTCAAACCGTAGAAACTCGACATATTAATATAGTAATCAAATAAAAACAGCCAAAAAAATTACGGTCGAATTTTTGAAATGAACTTTTGATAATTTGAAATAATCCAACTTACTTCAAATAAAGGTAATAATGTTACAATTTCCACTATAATTACGCAATATTATTAATAGCAATTAATAACAATTGAAAATTTACAATTCATATAACGTCGAAAAAATAACCCAAAAGTGGGAATTTTAACTTGTAGCAGAGGAATTTTTGAATACAAATGAGCAAACTTTTGAAATAGAATTTGCTCTATATCAGATGAGCTCCACACTGGTGAAATTTGGGGTGATTTTACCAACGATATCTCAAAAATTAGATTCTTATTAACTTCAATTTGCCGAGTTAACCAAAATGTTTTATGTGTATTAAGAGGATATTGGATAAGCATGCAATATCTACGCTTATTATACAAACTTGAGTTTTGATGATTATCTTGAAATTAAGAATTTAGGTTTGGAATTTTCATGTATCATCACGGCTGTATGCATATAAACAGATGTAGAGTAGTATGGCTATCAAAAATAACCCAGTTTTATTGAAAAATACGGGTGCTACAAGTTAAATTTATGCTACGGAGTTATTTTTCCGACGTTATATCGAATGTTAATTGTCTCAGAAATAACGTTTAACTATATTACATCAAGATTTTTATTTGTTAAAAAGTGATTAAATAATCATTTCAAAATTTAAAAAGATTCTCAAATTTAATGTATTATTATAGCGATCAATAGCCTATGTTATAATAATTGTGAAATAATTAAAATATCTCTCTCAATTTTTATCAAAAAGAATTTCTTGCATTGTTGATACAATACATATGATCTATAATATTTTGCCAAAATTTTAAAAATTTACTGCGCTGTCTCAAAAGTAAACTAATTTCTTATGGATATTAGTTAAAACAAATTATATAGAGCATCATGTGTTCACTCATAATAACCAGAAAAAATAAGATGCTAACAAATATTCTCGCTTCAATTATTCAATTATAACTTTTCAATAAGATATTCACGGATCTATAAAATTCTTTTGTATAATACATGTTTATAAGATAATTGATCCATCTATTTGAACAAAAAAAATTTATAATGTTCTCTTTTTTGATAAATTAATCAGTACAAATTCTTCCTCTAATTTTTCCGGAGTCTTTCAATCAATTGAATAGAAAATTCAACGTGCATTAGAAGTAATTGGTATTCAAAATTTGACTTGAGATGGCGGTTTCTCACAAAATTATGTTATGCCCCTATCAATTCGAATGTCCCATACAATTTTTCATTATAATATCTTAATCCTACCAGATACATCTCAAATCATGTCTCGCTCAATGGCTCACTGCTACGTACCTAAGATCAAATTTACTCCTCAAGAAGATCAGATACTGACTAACCTCGTTCAAAAATATGGACCTGGTGATTGGGACAGAATTTCTAGGGATATGAAGAATAGAACACCACGTCAATGTCGTGAAAGATGGATTAATTATATATCTCCAGAGTTATCCAACGATCCTTGGACTCAGGAAGAAGATCAACTTTTGGATGAATTATATTCTGAATATGGATCAAGATGGCATAAAATTGCAGAGTTTTTCCCTAATAGATCTGGAAATTGCGTTCGCAATAGATACAAGCTTCGTCAACGACGTGCTCAGAGACAAGCTGCAAAAGAAATCATAAAGCAGCCAAAACGTGCAAAACCTATATCACAGCCTCAACCTATGTCATCCATCATATCGATTAAGAGCAATGATGATTTTTCTGAAATTTTCAACATCGACAAAATACCATTCGAAGAGTTCTTCAACTCAACTTTTTGATTTATTATATATACCTATAGAGAATACATTTTTATTTATTTTAAAACTTGTTTTGATACTTCTCTTTTGTTTCAAATTGAATTGTTTTTTGCAACTTTCTTCTATTTGTTTTTATCTTTAATTTCATTTCATTATAATAAATGTCAACTTTATTTTCTCTTCTGAAATAAAACACACTTGAAAGATCGTAATTCTATGCGAATATTAATTGTTTAAGGTTTTCGGAATGTGATATCAACTGTATTATTATAAAATTGATTTGATAGCATTACCATTCATATATGTTGCGTTGATTATTTTAATTTGAAATAATATAATGTTCTTATGTGCACTATAATCACTTGGCATATCTATGCTTTCATGTTGATAATGCATTTTTGATGTATTCATATTATTCTCTGGATATTTTTTTTATCTTTATGTTTTAATGCTATTTTTTTGCGCAACTTTTATCGAACTTATAGCTATTGTTGCAATATTGCCTAATTCAATTGCATTATTCAGAAAATAGCATAGTATCAAATCTTTTATAAATATTCTTTAAGGGATCAAACTGATATCAAATAAAAATAACAAACTACTTTGTTGCAGTTTATATTTTATACATAAGCTTATGATTTATAGACTTTGAGAATTTTCAAAATAAATTTTCTTATTTGATTTGTAATAATTCATTCAAGAATCCTAAGCCACCAGGCATTCCTTTGATGTGGCGATTCATATTATAAAGATATCCGTTTTATGATACTTCAAGCAGGAAAAAAAAATCCAAAGACCTGTAAACGTGACATAGATAAATTTTATTGTTGTCACTTTTTTCAATATTTATCTAATTTATTTTGGATGACCGAAAAAGAATCAAATCATCCAGACACAGAACTTGAAGAAGGAAAGATAGAACAAGAAGAATCAAAAACTAATGCTCATGAAACTTTAAAGGAAACAGAAGCTCAACTTGAATCCGCTTTCAAAGAAGCGGCGGATGAAAAGAGCGCTACTCCAAGTAAATGGGAGCAATGGAAGCCATATCTTCTCAAGTTTAGAGAGCCCAAAGTCATATATACTATTACATTTATCTACATACTTCTATTTTTAATCATTCTTTTATGGAAATTAATAGCATTTAGAAGGAGCAAAGTCGAATACGAAACACCAATTGGTTATATTTGGAATATGAAATTCAAAAATGAAATTATTAAGTATATTAACCAAAGACGCCATGATCAATTCGTCATTGTTCATGGCCCCAAGGGTTACGGAAAAACTCGCGGAATTAGAGTTCTCTCTTCTGAATTGATAAGTGAAGGTCGAACACCTTTCATTTTTGATTTCCAGAAGATCAGTAAAACAGCAACAAAGAAAGATGCACGCAAGGTTCTCCAATCACAGCTTCTTATGAACCTCATGAAAATTGATGGACGAACAATCGATATTCCAATGGCTAAAGCCGTTCAACTCCTTACCCCATTGACTGTTCTCAAGGAAACAGTTCCAAAGACAATCCATTTCCAATTCAAAGACCAAAATCTCCAGAAAATCGCTTCACTTTTACTACAGATTGCTTATGGATTTGAGAGGAATCCAGCAACAACTATGAACAACTTGTTTGAAGCAATTGATGCCCTTGCCGCTCTTAGACCTGTCATATTTATCGTTTCTCCAGAAATTTTATTGAATAACAACCACAAAGAAATATCAGACCTCTATACTTCGATTCTACAGAACCTCCGTTCCTTCGCTGAGGCCTATAAATCCACTCCAACTGTTACAGAAATTTCAGATCAGACATTAGTTCCAGAGATCTTAACAATACCATCCTGCAGAGCACTATACCTTGGCGAGCTTCAATTTGAGGAGGTTGAATCTCTCTCAAATGATAAATACTTCAATTTAAACGATGTCAAGAAGATTTACAACAAATTTGGAGGATACGGTGGCGCATTTGCTACTATTCGTGATAACAGACGCGATGGAATACCAATACAAAGTACAATCGATGAAATTGATTTCAGCGATAAAGAATGGCTTTCAACTGTTGTTTATTCTTCTAAAAATGTCAAGAAGACTGTTGCTTACCTCAAGGATGTTGCGTCTGTTAAGAAAGATGTTTTGTATAACCCAGAAAATGAAGAATGTTTTTACCTCGTCAAATCTGGAATTATCTCCATATTAGAGGATAACAAGCGCCTTACTTTCCAGTCTAAATCACTCAAGGCTTTATTTGATTCATCTTCATTCTAATTGAATTTTTTTTTTTTATTTTAATATCATTATGAATAAAATGAGTTTATTAATAAATTTATTTTTTCTTTAGACACTAATTGACCTAGATGTTTAGCTATTAATCCGATTAATAATAAAATTTAATTTTAAATATATTTAATATTCATGATTTCCCATTCCATTTATTATTTAAAGCTCATGATGATAAATGTTATGAACTAAATGTTCGGTTCTCTTGATTATTAAATTTTCATTTAATTGGATAAGGTTCTGAATGGTCTCATGATAAAAATAAATTTATTATGCATAAGAACAATTTATAGTAAAGATATAACAATAAAACAAACAATTAAAATTAATCAAATTTTTGAGTGAGCCTGAAAACCAAGATTTTCCATTGCCTTTGCCTTTTGTCGCTTAAGACTTTGGATTTCATCTTGTTTAGAAGCTTTGATTTCATCATATTGATGAGATAATTTTTCGAATTTGTCTTTCAAATCAGAGACAATTTGATCCTGAACAACAATTTCTTTCTTTAAATCATCATTTTCTGTACGGAGTTTTTCGAGGAATTTATTCCAAACTTGTCTGTGTTTTTCGAGAGATTTTTGATTAGCTTTCTTTGCATTGCTTATTTCAAGATTATATCTTTCAATTGGTATATATGTTCCTTGGGCTTGAATTGCAAGGCTTTGTTTTTGGTATTCGAGGAAAATTGATTGTAATTGTGATCTTAACTCAGTTCTTTGATCATATAACTCTGAATTTTGGTTTTGAAGATCTTCTGCTGTTAAATTGTATTGATCAAGCTCATCTCTCAGTTGCTCAAGTTTAGAATTCAGGACTTCTGTTTGTTTCTTCGATGAGGCTAATTTCTCATTGGTTTCTCTCTCCAATTGAGACATATATTCTTGTAATTTTTTAATTTGCTGATAATGAGGTAAAGCTCGCATTTCTTGATTCAATTTTTTGACTTCGGCTTCTAAATTGTCGCAAATCACTTGTTTCTTAGTAATTTGTTCATCAAGCTTGGCTTTTTCTTCCTTTAGTTTGTTGATTTTTTCTGATAATTGATTATTTTCATCTTCAATTGATTTTGGACTTGATGCATTATTCAATTCTTGCATTTTAAGAATATTTGCGTTCAATTCGTTCAATTTATCTTGTTGTTCTTGTAACTTTTTCTGATTTTCTTTTTCGAGATTATCTATCATTTGGTTTTTTTGGTCCAATTCAGCTCGGAGCTTTTTAACTAATGATTCTTGCTCGGATTCTTGTAGTTTTTTGATCTTCTCATCGAAATTTGGTATATTATCATATAAATCTAGCTTAACAGTATTATTATTTTTAGTTTCAGGTATATCTTCTGTCTGAACACTTGGAGATGGATGCCATGCTACAGGAGAATTACTTGGCTTGGAACGTTTCCGTTTAAAAAATGTCGTCATCAAAAAAATAAATAAACTAAACATAGCTCTAAAAGTAAATAATTATGTTTAAAACTGTCCGAATAGCATATATTTTCCCTGAAATATCCTCAAAATTTTATTCATTTCCAAAATAAAATTAATTCTAATGATATGAGCAATACAAATGAATATTTATCTCGCAATTGGCCGAATTGATGAATGTGAGTAGTTTATGCTATGATATAATGAAATTTAATTTTTTATTTTCAATGTGAAATTTGTATGTGTAATATGTTGGAGAACTATTTTATGAAAGGGATAGTGTTAATTAACTTATTACACAATCAGAGATAAAAAAAATTATTTTCTTATTTCACTAGTTTAAGTATTCTATGGTTAAAATCTTAAAATAATGTGTAAATTAATATATTATTTGTCATTCTTATCACTATAGATAAGAAAGATATAAAATAATTTTAACAGTAATACTTTTTTATAAAAATCTTTATGAATATCTCTAGAAAGTAATTATTTTTGGAAAGCACTCCAAGCATTATCGAATTCTGTTTCTGTGTTGTTGCACCATTGTTTAAAATCGCTGATACCACTAAGAACTATGTCAGTAATTTTTTCATCATCATCTGCCTGTACTCTAAGTGCTACTTTTGTCTCAGCTGGGTGAGGAACTGTGTAACCGCAAAAGTTTACCTTTGGATTCTGAAGAATTGTCTGTCTAAGAGCATTACCCATTGTGTATGTTTCACCTGTGAAAAGCATTGAGCCTGATGAAGGCTTTTCATCATCATATGTAATAACTAGTTCAAGAGGCTGCATTTTTAAAAATCTTGGTTGTCACTTTTTTAGAGTACAAAAATCTTCATGAGAACAATTTATGTTCTGATATTGAATCTATTTGTTCCTTATATATAAACAATTCGATCCATATACTAGAAATCGAACAATATTGATTTTTTGATTCTCATATTTCACATGACTCAGCAACTCCGGATTTTTGCAGTATTTTAAAATAGTAATTCCTATTTCAGTTGGTTTGAATCATATAATTTTATACATTTCGCATTCAAAATTTAGATTTCAAGATATTGAAAACATCTGCTTGAAAAACATCCATTTTGCATGTATACAAAATGTGTTTATAAGTTTTTGACTTTGTTCATATCTTAATACTCAAACATATGTAATATCAAATGAAAAATCAAATTATCTTTTATAATGTTTCTTTCTTTAATATAATAAATTCAAACGTTTCATAACTGTCTGTATACAAGTTTATAATAGAATCCTTGTTGTTCAAGCAACTCATCATTTGTGCCACTTTCAATGATTTCTCCGTCCGAGAATACATAGATAATATCAGCATTCTTGATCGTTGATAATCTATGAGCAATAATTATAGATGTCTTCTCTTTCAGAATATTATTCAAAGATTCTTGTATTTTCTTTTCTGATTTAACATCATGTGCAGATGTTGCTTCATCAAAAATAAAAACTTTTGGATCTTTGATTAATGCTCTGGCAATTGCCAATCTTTGCTTCTGGCCGCCTGAAAGAAGAACTCCTTTATCTCCAACAAATGTTTCATACTTTTGCTCAAGTTTTGTGTTAATGAATTTCGAAATGTTTGCAAGTTCACAAGCATTTTCAAGCTGTTCTTCTGAGACAGCTTTAGTTGTTCCGTAAGTAACATTATCTCTGATTGTCTTTGCAAAAAGAGTTGCCTCTTGTGGAACGATTCCCAAATTTTGATGTATCCATCTAGGATTGATTTCTTTAATATTTTTACCATCAATTAGAATCTCTCCTTCTGTTGGTTCATAATATCTTTCAAGTAACTGAATACATGTAGATTTTCCAGAGCCTGATTTTCCTACTAAAGCACATGTTTTTCCTTTAGGAATCTTGAAAGAAACATTCTTAAGAACCATATCTTGTCTTGATGGATATCTAAAACTGACATTCTTAAACTCGATTTCTCCATTGAATGTATCAGGAGTTTCGCCATCTTCATAAGGAACTGATGATTGATATCCCAATAATTTGATGTATCTTGAAATTGAATTTATTGCTTTGACAGAACTCTGCATTGAACCTTGAACTGTAATCAATGCCAAAACACCACAATAAATGAAACCCCAAGTAGCAAATAAATCACCAACTGTGAAACCATATGATCCATCAGCTTTCTTCGAATCATCAATAATATGTGTGCCGTAGAAGAAAACAACAAGTACAATGCTTTGAACGAATGTCATAATTATGAAAAACATCATTTGACCTAAGAAATTCGCTTTCTTTTCAAGTTTGGAAGCAAAAGTTTGTAACTGATAGAAATTACCTGTTTCGCTTTGTTCACGGTTGAAACTTCTTACAGTTCTAATGTAAGATATTCTTTCTTCGGCAAATGTCATAACTTTTGAGATTGCCATGAATTGCATTCCACCTGTTTTCATCAAGCAAGGTGTGATGAAACTAACACATATCATTGACACAGGAATTATTGAAATGCCAACAAGTGCAAGTTTCCAACTGTAAACAAATGCAAAGATGATGCCTGTTAAAAATTGAGCGATATTTTGGAATAGAACTGCTTTTGATGAAACTGAGTTTCTGATCTCTTCTGCATCTTCATTAAAGACAGTTAATAAACTTCCTATTGAGTTTGAATCAAAGAAACAAGCATCAGATTTCATCATTTTCTTAAATAACTTTCTTTTTAAGGAACTTGTAACTTCGATAGAATGAAGCTCCCAAAAGTATTTGTCAGCAAATTTTGTGATTGCATACAATGCAAAGGTTCCTATCATCCAATATATTTGATGCATAACTTTATTCATCTTTGATTCTCCATTGACTTCATACTCAGAAAGAGCTGTTATGATATTTCCATAGAAGTAGAAAGTCAAGATTGTACAAACACCAATGTAAATTGATGGAATAATTGCAACAATTCCTAGGTAATTTCCATAAATTTCCTTAGTTAACATTTGTTTAGCTATCTTCATTTCTTCCTTCTGCTTCTCTTCTGGGGAGACCTCTCTCGGGCTTTCCTTTATCTCTTGAGTTCCAGCTGATTGTTCTTCCGTCATTCAAAATAATGAAAAAAAATCACTTTCAATGGCTTCTGAATTTGTTTTCAGAAATTTAAAGCATTGAAGGGAAAAGGTGGAAATGCGGCTCACAATTTTGAATATGTTTTAATTTAAAAAGCCCCTAATATCGGAGATACAAAGAAAGCAAAGCATTTTTTATTTTGGACTAAATGTTCTTGCCATTTATAAAATTGGATTGAAATTTCATACCTTTTATTGAATAATTATAATATTTCATAAATAGTACGCATTATCCTTCGATTTCATTTCTTTTTTCCGTTTAGAAATTAAAATCAATAATTAGCCAGAACATTCATTACAATTTTTTATTCTTGTATTTTAGTATTTAACATCAGAGTAATATCTTTCCTCAAAAGGTACGAAATTGAATATGATCATTGAAATTTCAGAATCATTTTTCACAATGTCTTCTGATAAAAGTTCACGGGTCACAAGTGAAGAAAACATAGAGAAGACTACAACAACAGGGTTTGAGATGTTCGAGTGCTTGAAGTTATTCAGAAACAAAGCAATTCTGTTCCTAGTTTATTTCATATCATTAGGAAATGGAGCACTTCCTATCTTCAACATGATGATTCTTGGTGATGTAACATCATCAGCAAGCACAGATCCAACTAAAACTGCAACTAAGTTAATGACTCCTCTTTTATTAAAATTAACTTATATTTCAATTGCCCAGGCAGTTATTCTCTTGATAACAATTATGTGCAAGTCCTATATCATACCAACATTCACTGTTGATATAAGACAAGCAATGTTCAACTCTATTATGACACAACCAATTGATTTCTTTGATAAGACTTCTTCAGGTGTATTGATGGGAAGATTTTCTGAAGATATCACAATCATAAGAGATGTTTACATTGAAAAGAACTGTGCTATGCTCCAAGGAATGACGATGTCACTAATAGCAATAATAATGGGATTCATTAGGCTTCCTTATGTGTCGTTATCATATTTCGTAGCAATTCCACTTCTTGTCGCATCATATATCCTCAGTGAAAAATATATTGACAAGTTGTGGAAGAATCATAATATTCAATCAACGTCAATTGCTTCAAAAACAGAAGAAGTGATCTCACAATATAGAACAGTAAAAGCATTTGATTGCGAGAAGAAAGAATGTGATGATTACAATGATCTTCTAGATAATGTTGATGATATTTATCGCAAAACAGCAATTGCACAAGGTTTGAAAGAAGCTTTCTCTAGTATTATTGCAAATGGTTTAACTGTTTTTGTTGTGTACTTTATTGCATACTTAATGATGGTCAAAAAAAATACAAAGGTCAAATCAGGAGACTCATTATCAATGATGATGTATATTATGTTGGGAACAATGGGTTTTTCACAAATTTTATCAGCATCTGATAGTTATAAAAAGGCAAATATGGCTGCCTTAAAGATTTTAAACATAATTAATCGAAAAGTTGAAAATGATTCGGAAAATCAAACAGAAATTGGAAAAATCGAGGGAAAAATAGAGTTTCAAAATGTGAGCTTCAAATATTCCACAAGAGACGAATATGCAATTCGCAACCTAACATTTGAAATTAAACCAGGTGAGACAGTTGCCCTAGTAGGTGAATCTGGATGCGGAAAAACTACTACTCTGTCACTATTACAAAGGTTTTATGACGTCAGCGAGGGCAAAATACTAATTGATGGAAAAGATATTTCCAATTTTTCAGCCTCCTCTCTCAGATCCCAAATATCATGTGTACCCCAATCACCTGTCCTGTTTTCTATGTCAATTTTAGACAATGTCAAGTATGGCAAGCCGGAATCTTCTTTCGATGAAGTTAAAACAGCTGCAGAAATAGGAAATGCTCATAACTTTATTTGTCAGATGGAAAATCAGTATGATCAAGAAGTCCAACAGATATCATTGTCTGGAGGCCAAAAGCAAAGAATTTGCATTTCTCGTGCTGTTCTTTGTAATGCGCCAATTCTTCTTTTAGATGAAGCAACTGCTTCTTTAGATGCAGAATCAGAGCAACTTGTTCAGGAATCACTTGAAAAGGTTCGCAAAGGAAAAACTGCTATCATTGTTGCGCATCGATTATCAACAGTGAAAAATGCAGACAGAATCCTTGTATTTGACAATGGAACAATTGTTGAGACAGGAACACATGAAGAGCTTCTTGAAAAAGGAGGAATCTACTCCAATCTTGTTAAATTCCAACTTCAATAAGACTATAAATAATTGATTATATTAATATAAATGAATGATTTGACTTTTTAGTAGAAAAAATGTTTGAAGATTCAATTGTAACAAAAAAAATAACAATAACCCAAAAAATTGAATATTTTTAGTTAATTTAACATGGTCATCTAAATCTGACTGATTCCCTCATCCAAGCTTTCCCCAAAAATGAAAGAAAAAATAAAATTGAAAAAAGCTCGGTCACCGGGAATCGAACCCGGATCAAAAGAACGACAATCTTACATGATAACCATTACACTATGACCGATTTACATTTAATAGATTTTAGATATGTTTAACATAAATATAATTATAATAATTACTTCAAAAATGATAGCCCAGGATTCTGCTCTATTGATCTAAAGTCCTAATAGATAATATAACTCAGGCATAAACGAAAATAAAAAACAATTTATTCTAAAAAATTTAAAATAAAATCCCTAATTGGTTATTCTTTCATTTTTTGAGATGAATTGTATATTGTGATGAATGGTATTGAAATAAATTTGTAAATAAAAAAATAAATTTGTTAAAGGAACCGAATTCTTAGGAATTGAACCAACTGATTGTTCTATGAGTGATGTTAAAGTAAATATGCAAAACAAAAAAAAATATATAATTAATGTTTTTTGGATGCCATAGTGCATAAATAAGTAGCTAAATCTCTAGGATTTGATATCCTTAACGCTGATAAGGCTGCCCATCTAGATACTTTTTCTCCTTGGATATGGAAAGAAGCAACGGATTCTTGTGCATTTGGAGATAATGAAATACCCTCTATGGCAATATTATGTTTCCTAAATGAAAATTGATCATACTGTTCTTTATAATCAGAGAATAAATCTGTTAATTGTTTTTCTTTTGTATTAAATATCTGACTGTTATTTTGTGTAGGTTCTGTTTGAGTTTCTTGATCCTTTAATTCGTGATCTTCTGAATAAAAATAACGAATAACAGAATTTGAATGCACGATGAGACTTTCTGCTGAAGCCCAGCGATAAGAGTTGTCCTTACACTGTATTCTATAATACAAAGATCCATCGATAATTTTGTGTGATGTTATTCGTGAAAATGCTTCTTTTTCAGACATTTTTGACACTTTTTATCATTGTAAAATCTCAAATTGCGCGATTTCGATATTTGGAATCGTTCCAAAGATATTTCTTCAATTGTATTGCTTTCTAAGTTGTTGCCACTTCCTTTGGTAATGTGATTTTAAATTGAATATATGATGTTATAGCGCTTTAAAATTGATATGTTAACATTTTGAGTTAATCATTAAGAATATAATTCCATATCATATATAATGCATATAAATCATCTCCTAAGTGCTTAATCAACTTCTTATTAAATTTCAAATTCTCAGCTTAATTTCATTCGATATTGAGTTAATGTTGGTGTTAATTTAAGTTATTTATAAAGTTTCTCTCCATTAATTAAAGTTAATATGCTAAATTTTTCATTGCCAGAATTAATATTTAGAAATTCGACAAAAATTGCAAGATATCCGTGTTTAAAACATTTTAAGTAAATGGAATATTAACACAACATTTCGAATAATGGATAAGGGCAAGAACGATAAAAGCGGTTTGGCTCGACCTTTTCGAATGAGTACAAAGACAGAGATCTGCGGTTTCTCCGGACACATCTTCCACGCTGGCCACGGCCGTGTTCACATCCGTGAAGATAAGCACCTTATGGCCTTCGAGTCCCGCAAGGCTTTCCGCATGTGGGAACGCAAGCGTAACCCACGTAAGATCGCCTGGACAGAGCACTACCGCCACGACCACAAGAAGTCTGTCGCTGATACAGCTGCTACAGAGAAGCGCGCCCAACGCAAGAAGGCCACACGCACATACGCTGGTGTTGCTATGGAAGGTAACCAGCACCAGATGGTTCAGATCGTTAAGAAGCGCGTAGCTCGTAAGCCAGTTGCTAAGAAGAACTAAATTTCTTCTCTAGATTAAAAAAGATTGGTTATACTTAGCTTTAGCAATATCAAATCAAACTTCTTTTTTTTTATTAGAACTTTTTCGAGTATTACTTTTTATGTCCATTTAGAAAGTCAACTCCTTTTGTCTACAGTTTTAAAAAGATATCAGATGGTCCGATATATCTTCTAAAATCATTTTAATTAAATGATCGGAAACTCATTATTATGCATAGGAAAGCAGAAATAGATATGCTTTTATTCACAAAAATATGTGAAAAAGAAGATATATTGATTTGTATTTAAAAGTGTAATTTAAATAAATATAAAGCATATCATTTATTTATTTCTTGTGCTTAGCAGCAGCCTTCTCCTTCTTAGCTTCACGGAAAGCCTTGAGCTTATCTGTCTTCTCCTTGAAGAGATCCTTCTTTGCCTCCTCAGCCTTGATAACACGGAACTTGATTTCGTTCTGGGCCTTTGGAAGAGCGAAGAGGGCAGCATCGTTAACTTGCTCAACATTCTCACCCTTCTTGACCTTAAGGAGGCGAGCCTTGTAAGCAACGAGGCGCTCAACATTCTGCTTAACCATAGCATCCTTGGAGTGGGCACGGCGAGTATCGACAGCAATGCCTTGGAATCTGGCAAGAGCTGGATCGAAGCCAGCAGCAACGAGCTCCTTTGGAGAGAAGCCACGGCCTAAGCGTGTCTTCATGTTGTAGCGAACTGTTGGGCAGCGAACGATTGGGCGGAGTGGGCCTTCGATTGGCCGTGGGGCGATCTTCTTAGCACGAAGATTACGAGCGTTACGACGGCGCTGAGCACGAGCTGGGTCATCAAAATATGTCTTTACGCGATGATACCAGTATTTGCGGAGGTGGTCGTTTGGAATCTGGTTATTCTTGGCAACCATTCGAAAGGTCGACCAGTACGATTATTTTTGCTTCAAATATAAAAAATCATCACAAAAATGAATATTTGATATTTAAAACAAATGTATATGGGATAATAATGACAAAATAAAATTTATTGAGTGATTTGAGGCAGGAAATTAAAATCATAAATTTTAGTTGTCGATTATTGATGAATACTAGTAATCAGAATGGCATCGTATGAGATATGAAAATGTATGGTTCTATGTTCAATAAATGATTTGTTAGAGATCGATTTCTTGTTTCAAATAATCTTGAATTATATGGAATTTTGCTGATTATTATAATTTAATTTGTTCTGTATCTAGTTTGGACATTCTTTCTTTCGATAAATTCGCTCTTAAGAATGAAATATTTAAATAAATTTCGAATGTTGAATGAATTGTGGCTCGAATCAACTCATCTATCCCCTCATATTCCTCTGTTCCATCCTTCAGATTCCAAAAAAATTTTGATTTTCAAAATCTGATGTCACTCTCCTAGAAGTTGAAAATGAAATTCTGAATTTTAGAATATTTTTGGAAAAAATACAAAAAATGAAGATTGAAAAGCTTCTAAAACCATAAAGATAAATTTTGATCTAAAATCAAATGGACAATATTATATTAAAATTAATACAATATCAATATTATTCATTTATCCATCATTTTATTCATATTTCAAATCATTAATTTTGATTTCTTTAATGAGCCAAGATATTCTTCTATCTTCACTCTAAATCACTTTAAAATCTTATTTCCCACATAATCCTAAGACTTAGGTTATCACAATCAAGTGACCCTCTACGATAATAAATTTTGATGCTCTCTTTATTCCTTCCAGTTGGATTGTGCTGGTCTGAAAAATTACTTTCAACAGTCTCTCAGATTGTCCTTGATAAGATGGGCAAAGCGTATACAGCGAATCTTTCAAGTGTCTTCCTTGCAGCTGGTGATACAGATCTTGTTTCTCACCCAGCAAAAGTTGGAGCTTGGATGAGTTACGTCGAGAGACCACCATTCAATTTTAAGGGCTTCAACCACTGGCATTTCACTCGCCAGCCTTATGTTCCAAAAGAATTTGGACAAATTCCAAGCCAAATTGATAATGACAATCTTATTTCAAACGTTATGGAAATGTCAGACGATATTTACAAAGGTAGTACAAAAAGATCTTGGCCATTAGCCTTTTCAATGAAAATTTTGTTCGCTGGTGTTTGCGATATTCACACACCACTTCATGTTTCTGAATACTTTTCATCAGAATTTCCAAATGGCGATCAAAACGGGCGTTTGTATGAAGTTGTTTACAAAGGACAAAAAACTAACTTGTTTGATGTCTACGAAACAGGCTGCGGTCTTGATGAAAACCTCCAAGTCACATACGACGAATCATTTTGGAATGATGTTAAGGATTTAGCTGACAATTTGTTGGAAGACTTCAAATTTGTTAGCAAGAAATTCTCTCGTACAGAAATTACAGCACAAAACGCAACGACATATCAGTATACAGTTGATAAAATCTATTCATTGGTTAAACCAGGTGGTGAACTTACAACCGAAATGATCAATGAATGTCAATCACATACACGCGATATGATGCGTCTTGCTGCTGAGAGATTAGTATATATCCTTAATGGTAGCACTATTCATGCTCAGAGACTTGAGAAAATACCTTATACAACACCTCTTTCCACATCTGAAATGGTTGCATGGTCATTGATGTTTATCCTTGCTCCATACACTGCTTTCCTTGTTTGGAAGAAACATTGTGCTTCCAATGTTTCAGCCTAATAATAATAAAAATATTCTTATTTTTTAACTTTAGTAATTTCCGATAAAGATTAATTTACCTCTTTTTTACACATTCCCTTCATATATTTTTGATTTTGCTTTGGAAATATGTTTGAAAATTGATTTTGCTTTGGAACATGGGATAATAATTGCTGTTATGTATCAATTATTTTTGTGTTTCAATTGGTGTGGTTTTTCCTTCTATGAGAAAAAATTTTATATTTTATGATTTTTTTTTAAAGCTCAAATTTATTCAATCAAGATGAAAATTTAAAATGCACCAGCTACTTGACGAACGAAGGCATCAATCTTGGCTCCGTCCTTCAAAACTAAAGAATCTGGAGTATCATCATCGTTGATTCTTTCACCTTGGTGGAAGAAACGCATTGAATCTGGATCTACAGACATTCTCTTGCAGTAAGCACTGAATAAACGGCGCATCTTAGCAGTACGTTTGATCTTGAAAAGAACTTCATCACCCTGTGGATCGGTAATTGTGATATTGATTGTGCCGGCGCCATCTTCCTGGCCATCTTCTTTGACCTGGGTATTTTGATTGTCCAAATTATCCATTTAAAATTTACTGTTGTCACATTTTCAAAAGTGACGTTTCTACGGCGATGAAGCCATATTTAGATATCTTTCATAATTTGATACCAGAAGATTGTGAAAAATCAAATCCAAAAGTTACATTAATAAATTTATTAGATTATTTTTTTATCCGAATTTTTACAAAAATTGAATTATTTTGAAAAAACTCACGGATAAATTAATAAAAGAATTATCAATCTTTACTCTACATAATCTCATATATATTTATTATTGACATATAGTAACATTATTAGATCCGCGGTATTTTCTGCTTCTTAGAGCATTTTTTTCCGAATTGTTATTCAAAATGAGAAAGTGAAAGTGCTCTAATAACTAATAAGTAGAACTAGTTACATTACATATTTCCCAATCAGAATGCATCCTTGATTTAACAAATTATTTCAACCAGAATAATAAAATGAAACACTAGTCTTTGGAATTACACAACTCCTGCTAAACAAAATCGGTTTAGTGTGCTCATCCATTTAATGCATGGATTAATGAACTAACAAATTATATTTGGAATATATTTATTTTAGGGTGAGACTTATCGCCACACCTGTTGACATGAAATCAACGACCCTCTTAAGTATATTATGGCAACACAGAAATGCAATAATTATTTTTTTGAATGAAAAACAATACACGTAAATAATTAAAATTTCTTTGAATAGTTATTATATTTTTATAATACTGAAGTGGCATATCATAATTACAAATAAATGAACAAAACTTTCCTTATTTTTGGATTTTGAATATTGAACCACATTATCATCATTTCAGAAGATTCTTTTCTGCCATCTTCAATACCCTATATACAAGACTTGTTTGCTTGCTAGAAATCAATTCTATCATTTGATTTTGAGTAGCGTAATACTTTGATTATATGATCACACAAATTACACATGAGAGTAATAACATATAGATCGAAGGTATTCCCACAGTATTACAAACATATGATTTTTTTCTTTTTCATAACAAAACAATTTAACAAAACAAGAACAAATCAAAATCATATTAGTTATTGAAGAATGATGTTGGATCTGTTTCCATTTCCTTAATTAAGTCTATTAAATGTAGTGAAGACCACATATCCGCCAGTTCAACTGTTGGTTGATTTTTAACGGCAACAACAGGAGGCTCTTTTTTAACTTCTTCCTGCTTAATTGTTGGGCTTGCATTTGCAGTAGCCATTGTTTCGAATGTTGGTAGGTGATAACATTGACTGAAAAATTGGTTTTGATCAATTCCAAGAGCGCGTGGGTATTTTTTGCCAATTATTTGGAACCTATATCTGCATTGGACATCAGTTCTACCAGGAATTTCAGCTGCAACTTTTGTCCATGATCGATCTCCATAATGGTTGACCGCGTTGATTAATTTGATATCCTCGTCAGATGACCACTGACTTTTGTTAATAATTGGATTGAGAGAGCGAAGCCATCTTTGACTGCATTGATTTCTATTTCTTCCATTACCTACAAATTCACATATTTTGGTCCAATCATTGGGGCCATATTTATGCATTGCAGCGATTAATCTTCTGTCTTCATATGAGCTCCAAGACTTTGACTTTTTATGGGGGTTAAATGTATCATCATTATCTGTAACTGAGGTCGGCTGATCAGGAACATCCATAAAATTAATAAGCTTCTCAACAGGAATAAAAGTGCCTATCAGATTTATTGATTGACTTTTCGCTTGTTGAAAATCAATCGTATTCGTAATAAATGAGGAGAGGACATCTTTCATAGGCTGAATCTTATCATAGCTTATACCTTCTAGGATATCATCATAAAAAGCAGGGCTCAATGAACAGTTATTGAGGTTCATACTCTCTGTAAGCATTATTTAAAATAATTGAAAATTTCAGAATTAAAATTGTATAACTCAAAATAAAAATTGATAAGAAATATTCAAATGTAGAAATGAATGGGTACATAGTAATGATTAGTTTATAGAAAGGTACATTCACTAGGCGATAACAGTAAAATGGGATGAAAATAGGATAAATAGCATCCCTATATAGTGCCTAACAATATTTATACGGGCCAAAAAAAATTTGGCTAGAGATTTGGCTAGTTAGAAAATTTAGAAAATTGAGAGGAATTTTTATTTTCGAATTTTTTTTGGAAAGTTAAAATTGTGATTAAAAATCGTTTTCCGGGAGAACTAAGCATCTTATCATATATTTAAATCGATAAAAATATTAAATAATAGTTGAATAGTATAAATACATGAAATTATGGCTGAATATACAGAAAAAATGAACATATTTGACATTTTTGAAAATTCATACATTAGTTGGTGACAGACTCATAAACTATACTTTAGCTAAGATTGATATATGATTTCAACAACACATGGTTAAAATCGTAAAATTTTTTTAGATTTCAAAAAGATATATATGGTAATATAATGGAACAGAGTCAGCAAATAGCATGTAAAATATGTTACAATTAACTTTTTATTATATCCAATAGTAGATATCGAATAGTTTCCAGCTTTATGGTTAAATATTTTCTTATCGAGCTTCTCTTTAACTGTTGTATTAAGGTTGTAAATTTTTGATGCTAGAAACTTTGGAATCTTCTTTGCTGCTGCATTTTTTCTTGAGAGTTCTTGCAATTTCGAATAGATCTGCACATTGTATGAAATAGGGGCTTTAAAATATCTTGAAAACAGAATAGGACTGCTTTTCCAAAGGAATGCTTACTTGTAAATCAGAGAGTTTCAAAATTGAGTACAAGATTATCATCATAACTTTTGATTTTGCTGCGAAAAAGGAAGACAATGTATTAACAAATCATTTACTGTTGTTCATCAAAAGAAGAAAACTTTGATAACAACTAATGATGATAAAATCAAGCTATCTTTTAATATTTTAAATTGATAAGACATTCAAAATATTTGAATGGTTTAAAATATTTTCTTTTAATTTCAATAATATATTATCATGATTATATAATCAAATTTAAATTTTTATTCAAAAAGGCAATATTTCAAACTTTTAATTTCAAAAATCTTAATTCGGCAATAAATGTATTTAATTGTAGCAAATTTAATGATTCTTCGTCATGCTTAGCAATTTGGAGCTCATAAATTAATGATTTCTTCAAGTAAAATTCTGCATTATTTCAAAAATCAATAATTCTCTAGTAACTTTTCTTCAAACCCTAACCATTATAATATATGTAAAATAGAAAATAATTGCAAAGAAAGATAGCCGAATTTACTGGGTAGTTCTTGTGATGCGAAATAATTGGAAATTAACACCTAGTTTTAACAGCATCATTCTCTTTTTGCTCTCATTTAAATGCATTCGCACACTTTAATTTTGAAATATAAGAGTTTTGGAAATTATCAAATTTATCTGCTCAAATACTATAGATCTTCATAAGTGTTAATAGAATTACAAGGCTTACATATAGTGTTTAATATAATGATGCACATCATACTGGGATTTATTCCTTATTCATCTAGTTATTATAAGATTTACAACCCCATGAAAATTTAAAATTTTGTCAAAAATAGTGAATGTACCTTTGTTTATAGCTAAAATGGAACTTTCTTTTAAGTATTGAAAAGTAAATTGAGAAGATTCTCATCTAAAAGAATTTGAAAATAATGCGGATAGTTGATTTTTTAAAAATAAAATAACTGAAAATAGTTTTGATAAACTTATTCAATTTATTGAATTATAACGATGTTGTTGAAAAATTTCATATTTTCCTGATATAGATATGTGCATAGAACAAAATCATACATAAATGTCAATTAAATTGAGAGTGCTTATTTCAATGATGATCAAATATTCAATTCGTTTTTTTTTAAATAGGTTTGAAATTATTTTTTATATGGAAATCTTGATTTTCATAATGGTAATCTGTTATAGAATGTTTTTCCCAAACTTGTAATCCTTCCATTTAATTTGAATTGATTTTCAATTTTCAGATGTGAATGCATTCCTAAATTCAATTTGAATTTTGACCAAACACTTAATAATCTTCTTTAATTCCTTATCTTGAATCTTTTGATCACTTTCTTAATAGTTACTCTCTCAAATTTTCTCTATACTTCCCTAACGTAGTTTTCTCAAATTTGGTCTCAAAAAATATCCGTTCAAATATATTATATTCGTTTTATACAAATAGATATTAATGATTCGAAAGAATATTGAAATTTTACTTTAAAAGTTTTTTATGTCATATCATTTGGAATAGCAAGTAATTCAATCATATAAAATTCAATCTTTATTCCTTAGATTAATTCCGCTTAAACATTAAAAGCAAGAAAACCGAATATTATTTCTTCTGAATTTCTGAGAATGCCTTATATAAATTTATCTCATAGATAAGATAAATACTTTGATGTACACTCCTTTAAATAATTGATCTATGATATTTTAATATTAACATCTCCCGTAAATAATTTTGCTTAAATGAGAAATTATCTGATTTAATTTAATGTGATATATTCCATTCTATATGATACATTTAAATGCATTACATTTATAATTATTAATTGATTATTTATTTAATTAATAATTATTTCGTCTATTTTTTGTTTTGATTTAATTAAATGCTTTTTAATAGTCGTAAAATGACTAAGATAAGTATTTTATCTTACCATCTACATTAAAAAGGTATCCTTCTTGCTCTATCTGAAATAAAGAACAAAAGCTAGAATTTTTCCGGTTTATTTGAATTTTTGAATTGACCTATATATTTGAATTACAACTTTTTAAATGCGTTATTAAAATTATCTTTGACATTGTTAATTATGTTTCATATTCAAATTCTAGGCTCACCTTCGTAAAAACGCTCTCAAATTCATGAATGTTTAATTAATGACCCCGATTCTAAAAATTCTAATCATCTCATCTCATATCATATAATTGCCTCAACTAAATTTTGAATTGTTTATTAAATCTATAAAGATTCTTAGTATCATTCAAAAAGTCATTTCCCACAAATTTTTATCATTCGAAAGACAAGGTATTATTAAAATTCATATTATAAAACGAATATAAAAGTAAAATTCAAGATAAAAACATGTCTTTTTAACCCATTATGTTAGTTTCAAGCACGAATTTGTGTTTTTACTGCCATTGAGCTACCAATAGCGTATTTCACGTTGTCAGGAACTTTCATGGGCTTGATTTTATCCAGAAAATTTGAAAGGCAATTTTTATTTTTCTGAGACATTCATTTTATATCTTTCAATTGAATTTTTCGAGTCTTTAGTTGAGTACCTCATCAAATTATCGGCATTATTAGCTCGCTACTATACCCAATGTATTTCTAACAATATCGTAAATATCCAAATTTTCTGTTTGGATGAATAATTCTCCATCAAAAAGCTACATCAGAGGGAATTAATCATCCATCAAATAATTTATTTAATTTTGTTGATAATAATTGAATTTTGAGAAGTCATTATTTTAAAATAACGATTAATTTCATGCAATGAAGCCATAAACTAATTATTTTTCATTTGAAATTCAGACCAGTAACATTGCGAGTTCTCATTCCTACTTTTTCCCAACAAATTAAAGAATTATAAAAATATCAAAAATATCCTTTATTTTATTCAAATTTCCAAACTAGAACAACTGCATTTTAAACTTTTTACATTGATATTTCAGATATCAAATCAATTGGTATTATTTATCATTTATTTTAAATTATGTAATCAATTATTTATTGTTTAGCAAGGTATAATCAAATTTATTCATAAACTTATCATTATTTTTGGCTATTTCATAAAATAAAAATTATCGATAGTTGTTAAGTTCATTCATATAAATATCTATAAAACTAATAATTACTCGAAAATCAGAACTATAACTTTTATAAAATGTTACATTTTTAAAACAATATATTGTTACAAAAATTTAAATTATTATTAATTTTCTTTTTTCTCTCAATCTTATTATGTCTCAACATTAAAATTTGGATTAGCCGACAATTTATATTATGGGAATTTTAATTTCAAAGATAACTCATTCTTAAGTTGTGTAAGATTTTGATAAGCATGGATTTAGATAATTAAGGATTGGCGCTTATTAAGAATAAATTTTCTTATTTTTTATTTTCGAATTTTTAATTTAACCTGATTAAATAACAAAAAACTTACTTGAGTTTTAACTATTGACTGCATTCTTGATGATTGTGTATCATGGTTATCGGATATATAATTAAAACAGCAGCTCAAGGAACTATTATTTCATCAACAGCCATTAAAACTGCTGTTCATTTATGAATTTCGAAATATGATGTTCTTTGATATTATAAAAACTATGGAACGCCACTAAAAGCCCAAATAATTTTTGTACTGAAAAACCACCCAAAATCAAAAGAAGGATTGATCTCTAAGCGAAACTTGTTAAAGCGTATACTAATTAATGGGAAAAATGCCAATGATAATTTGATGTTTTTCATTAGCTGATTTATCTTGAATAATTGCTTTTCATTTAATAATATACACTAAATCCGGACTATTAATGCGATTTATTGTTATATATAAAATTGAATTCTGATTTTTCCTCCTAATCTAAAATTTATGGTACAAATAGATATAAAACAAGAATTGTAATATGATTTATAATTAGTGATCTTCGAAAATGAAGTTTGCATTAATTTTTTTTAGAAAAAATGGATGATTTCGAGACATGGAATAAGGATTCTAAAAGAGTTGAAAATGTGCAGTTTAGATCATGCACTTTAACTTCATAATCGATCATGTAATGATTTTGAGCATTGCCACTTTTCAAATATATTTTTTATAAAGAACGTTTTTTTTAAATTTTGAATGAAGAATACAATCACGACCGTACCTTACTTGAGCGACGAAAACGCCCAATTCCGCATGGACTTTGTATTCTTCGATACAGCGCTCTCAACTTCTGAAATTAAGCCTCTTCATTTGAGTCTTCCAGGAAAACAAAATCTTAAGAAGACTTTGAATCCTCGCCAAACAATGTCTCGATCAGATAAAGTCGATAACAACAAAGCATCACCAAATCAGACTCTAAGAAACGGAAATCACTCTCCAAGACCAACTGCAACTGAGCGTCAACAAGAGCCAGTCTTTGTAAATCAAGTAACACCTAATCAACCACAAGAATCGCAACCTCAGCCAAATCAAATGAATACATTCAAGATGAAAAGAACACTTCAAAATACACTTTTACAAAGAACTCATTCGAGAAATTCACAGAACATGGAGCAACAGGATTCTCCAGATAGGCAACAGCAACCACAACAGAGCTCTAAATATCCAAGACCTCAAGATTCACCACCTCATTCTCCAAATAGAGAACAGCAACAACAGAGACAAGTACAACAACCAGTACCTCGAAGATCACCAGTTCCAGAGCCAGCTGCTAGACAGGCTAACCCAATGGCAGAACTTGGCTTGGATTTCTCGTTAACAGGATTATATTTACTTCCTTGCTTGACAAGTCAGACCATCAATATGATATTCAATGTCGAAGAACCACAACCAAACGTTACAAGATACTCTCTCCGTATGCCACAAGACGTAGATACAGAAATTCGTCTTAGATGTGACGTCAGTGGCAAATCGAGAACTTCTAAAATCGAATTATACTACAACGATGTTGTTGTTGGCGAATTTAAGTACAACTCTAATAATAAATGCTTCTCTGTTGGATTAACCGCTTTAACTCCAGCTATGGAAGCTTGTGCGGTTCTTTTCAACCCTTCATTCTCAAGTTCATCTGCTCCTAGAATATTTGACTTCGTTATTCCTGCTTTGAAGAAGATTGATGGCAGAAATCAAATGTTCCGTGTCCCTTATCAAGAACCGTCAACATTGATCCAATACGTATCAAAGATGGCCAAAGAATCCATCAGACTTAAGACAAGAATCCCTTCAAACGAAGGAAACGAATATGATTCAACATTTAAAGGCAAATTCCTCCTCAATGCTCCAACTAACTTCATATTATACCATGAATCTAATCAAAAGCGTGATATTTGTACATTTTCCATGGTTACTGAGAATTCTTATAATTTGGCCGTCAGTTATCCTCTTTCTCCTATTCAAGCATTCTTAGCTGCAGTTGCTGCTTCGATTCCACTTTAAATATTGTATTTCATGTTTTTGATATAACTTTTTTTTTACAAATTTTTATCATTTTGAATACAAAAAGCTTTTAAAAGGCTTAGCATCATGACACAACATTATACTATTGGATGTTTTGGTCATGACAATAGAAAATTTACATTCATTATCTATTTAGGCTAATAGCTTCATTTTCATCCTGCAGTTCAACGTTACTGAAAGAGTTTTGGAGAAATATATATACAAGAACTTTATTTTACTTATAATCTTTCATATCAAATTTAATAAAATGCATTCTGTATTAAATTCAAAAGAGAAATAAACATATAGGTAGTTGTGTGATTCAATAACAGAAGATAGAGATAATTAAAAAAAAATTCAATATATAAACGTGACATTATAAAAAAGTGACTTTTGGTCGTGGCCGTACCAAAAAGTGTCATTTCAGAAAAATGGTAAAAACAAATCCATTCGTATCCAGTCAAGCACGCAAGGTGAGGAAGTCATACTTCAACGCTAAAAAGGACGCCAAGCACGTAGCCATGTCAGCTCCTCTTTCCAAGGAGTTGCAAGAGGCGAACGGCATCAAGCGCCTTCCAATTCGTCGTGATGATGAAGTCATGATTTTCTCAGGACGTATGCAGAATCGCACAGGAAAGGTTACAGCTGTTAAACTTTCCGAGATGCGCATTTATGTTGATACGTTCACAACAGAGAAGATAAACGGACAAGCCGTTTCCTTCCCTGTTCATCCATCTAACGTTGTAATCACGAAACTGAAGATGGATAAGGCTCGTAAAAACCTTATCGAGCTTCGTCGACTAGGCCGCGACCAAATCCTTGCAAAACTTGGCCACAAGAAGCAATAAATCATTCCAGAGTGTTAGGTTCCCTTATAGACATTCGTATTTATATTATTATTTTATTAATAACAATTTTATTTAAATTTTTAATCGATAACATTTTTTATGTCCAATATTATATTGACTATCAACATGATTTAGAGTTTTCGCAATAATTTTTATCATTTTTAAATTATTTTTGATAATAATGGTTAAAATGATGATTAACATGCCAAACTCCATATCACGTGATAAGTCCTTGTATTTTGCTACTTTTGAATTTAATAATTTAGAGTAATAATTTTATATCTGCAATATTTTTTTTTGAAATTTGATATTTGAGTTAATTTACAAAATTGTTTAAGGTTTCCTATAAATATCAATCAATATTATTGGAATTTTTCAATATAGATTCTCGATGTTTTTTTTTTTGAATGTATATATTCAGCTAACACTTATGAAAGGCGTTTTGGAATTTGAAAAATCACTTTAGACCCTTCTGGGCATAAAGAAAACATTTGATGTTATCAAGTTTTTGAAATTGCGTGTTGTTTATGCAAAAAAGTATTTAATTTTCCTTATATGGGCGTATTTATCGCTTTCTATTACCCTCCCAATTCATAATTGATGTCCAACTAAATTATTGTTTTCTACAATAATTCATATTCAACATTTTGTTTTTGTAAATCTAAGAGGGGATCTATCTATCCATAGCAAGTCACATCAAGGTCGTAAGTGCACCTTTAAATAGCATTATAGTTAAAAACAACAAACATAATTTTATATAAAATAAATAAAACATAAAAATAAATATAAATCACACATTCATTAGAGGAGGAAGAGGAGCTCCTCCTATTCTTCTTTGTGGAGACAATATTGCAGTCTGTCTTGTTTGTGGTCTGCTCTGACCGTAAACGCTCAAATCAGTATGGACAGGCTTAAATGTTGGAGTTTTAACTTTTCCAACGAATCCGCCACCAAGAGTTGGAATATAAGACTCTGCTTCAGTGAAGAACATCTTATCGTTGTTGTTGGCCATTCCATTTGTTTCACTTTGTATCAAAGTATTTCTTGTATGTAAAACAGAAGCTGAAGATTTTCTTGCATTAACTTTTTCTCTCATTTTTTCAAGAGAAGTTGAATTTCTAAATATTTGAGGATATTTTTCTTTCGCTGTTTGTTGCATTTCCTTCAATTGGAAATCTTTATCAGCAATTGCCTTTTCGTATTTAGAAATATATTCATTAACTTGCTGAACAGTCAAAGCTTTTGATGTTTTATCATCAGCTTTCTTCAAATTCTTAATCAATTCTTCTTTTTCTTTGTTTAGAGTCTCTAATTCTCTATGTGCTTCATCCAATTTCGCAAACAAACTCATTCTATATCTCAAATTCTTTACATATCCAGGATCAACAGCTTCCAAAGCATCCCATCTATGTACATTCCTTGGAACAGCAAATTCATGGACTAATGTCATTGTTTTGTGAGTTTCTAACATCAATTCAATCGAAATCTTTTTCTCAGAATATTTTAACTGTTTCACATGTTCGCATTTCTTTTCTAGCTGCTCTGTTCTGTTGTTTAAATTGTCCAATTCATTTCTGAGTGTCTTGATTTCATCAAGTTTCTCTTGGTAAAGCTTTTTGGAACGCTGCATCAATGCTTCATCAGTTTCAATATTCGAACGAAGTTCTTCAATTTTTCTGAGCCGAGAAATTTTTTCATCTCTCAAAATTTCAAAGTGTTTGATAGCAACTTGATGTTCTTGCAATAGCTCGTTATGATCATTTTCAGCTTCATGCAATATATACATTTGCGTTTGCCTTTCCGCGTTCAATCTCGAAATTATTCTTTCAGTTTGCTGCTGCATCTTCTTTATGTATTCCATGCTGTTTTCCATGTCTTTCTGCTCTCCTTTTATTGCTTGCGACTTGAAATGTGTTGTAAAAATGTCTTCTGTCGTTTGATGAATATTCGAAATTATTCCTCTGACGTTATTTTCGAGTTGTGTGCACTGTGCTGACAGTTCTTCGTTCTCCTTTTCAACACTCTCTAATGCGCGTTTGTAGTTATTCCTTTCTAACCTCATTTGTTCACTTAATTCAAGTTGATGAGCGTTTTTATCTTGGTAGTGCTCAAATTCCTTCTGGTGCTGCGCGTATTCCTTATTAGTCGTCGTGATATAATCATTGGTGGCTAGAATCTTTGCTTGTATCTGGAAGGCTTCGCTTCTTTTAACATCAATTTCTTGAAAAAGTGACAAAATTTTTTCTTTCATTTGTTGTAAAGAAGATTTTTCAACATATGTGTCAGATTTGAGTGTAAGTGCTTTACTCTTTTCTTCTACAGTTGCCGCTTGTTCTTCTAGTGAATGGGACCTGTCATCTCTTATTAAACCCCTGACTTCACTCATTTGTCGTTGAGTTGAAATAATGTTGTTTTCTATTCCATTTATTTTGAAGGTTGTATCGAGATACTTTTGTCTGAGTGCTTTGGCTTCTTTCCTGACATCTCCTTTGAGCTCTCCGATATGTTTTAACTGATCACATTGCTGGTTGTAATCTGATTCAAGTTGAATTGTCTCATCACTTAAAGTTTCAAGGGATTTGATGAGCTTTCCTTTGTCATCTTCACAGTTTGCAATCACTTTCATCTTGTGGTCTTTCTCTTCTGTCCTCAAAACGATCTTATGCTTGATTTCATTTAATACTTTGACTCTTCTTATGTTTTTGTCCTTTCTGTTGCGTAATTCTTCCTTCTGTGAGGATGATTTGCTCAAGCAATCGTAGAATTCTTGTTTAAGTTGCTGGTTTGTGTTAGTTTTGTTAGTTTTATTTCTATTATTCTCTTCGACTTGTTGTTGTGACTGTTTGACAATAGGCTGTAAGTCTATGATGGTAGATGTTGTCTCTTCGTTGCTTTTCTGTAGTTCTTCAAGTTGATTTTGAACGTTATTGATAACTCTGTTAAGTTTGTTCTCTTCTGATTTGAATTTGTCAATATCTTTATTAATATCTGTCATTGTTTCATTAACTCCTGCAATTTTGTCTTGGAATGTTTTAATTTCTTCATCTGCGTTTTGTTTTTCTTTTCGTAGGTTATTTACTTCGTTAGAAACTTCAAATATCGAAACATCTGTTCCGAATGAAAATGCTTCTCCACGATGCACTTGTTCCGAAAGTTGAGAAATTTGAGTTCTTAAGCTTTGTATCATTTTCTTTGCGTTTTGCTCAGATTCAAATGAAGAACTTACAATTTTCGTTGCTTCCTCGTATTTGTCTTTGAGGTCGTTAAGCGAGTCTTTATCTTTTGTAGCTGCATCTAAAATTGCCTTGATTTTTGTAGCGTTTGTAATGATATGAGCGTTCATCTCTTGCGTTTTTTCTAATAACGTGACATTTTTATGATAAATTTCGTGGAATAACTCGTAAGTTTTCCTAAAACCGAATAAATATTTTGCAATTTTAGGATCATCGGCTGAATTTGATTCGATATCTTTAACAATTGCTTCTACTTCTTCGCTGAGACTACCTTCTGTCTCGAAAGAAATATTAAATTTTTCATCTTTCTTCTTCATTTTCTTCTTTTGTACGTTATTTTATGCAATTTACAAAATTCATTGATTTTCAAAAAAGTCAATAAGAAAGCGGAATTAGATAATCAAGTACACAAAATCTTAAAATTTCAAAATAATATTTGACAAGTTCTTTGTCATCATGTTCTTAATGATTCGATAACTTTATAGTTCATAAATATCATTATAGAGCACTCATTTTAGCATCAGACATAAAGATGCATATACAGCACTCATTTTAGCATCAATAAATCGTAAACTTGAAGTCGTTAAACATCTTATCTCAGTTGGAGCTAATAAAGAAACAAAGTATAATCATGGATGGACTCCACTCATTTGGGCGTCATCTAAAGATTATCTTGAAGTTGTTAAACATCTTCTCTCAGTTGGAGCTAATAAGGAAGTAAAAGAATTGATGGATATACTGCACTCATTTGTGCAACACAAAATGATCATCTTGAAGTTGTTAAACAACTTATCTCAGCTGGAGCTAACAAAAAAGCAAAGGACAACAACGGAAAAACGGTAATTGATTTTTCGAAAGGAGCAGTAAGAGACTATTTATTATCAATTGCTTGAAATTAACCTCTTGATGCATCACCTCTCAACCATTTTTGCAAAGATCACAGCCAATATTTTTTTTTTGAATAAATTTTAATTTTTTAATATATAGCTAGGGCAAATTCTACATGTGTTCTTGTATTTTGTTAAAGCCCAATGGAGCAACTAAAGGCAATGCTTAAAATAATTTTATTATAAAATAAATCATGTTTGAAATAGCATTCAGGCAATTCATCAATTTATAATTCTATTTAAACACATTTGTTCATTATTTAAATTTTCAAAAATCCAATTTTTATTAGTAATAATTCTAATTTATGATCAAAATAATGAAAATATTTTTCATCAAGTGTCACTTTTACAAAATGGAAGGGGATGATCGAATCACAGTGAGCAAAATCTTGAAATTTATGCGTGCTGGGAATAAGGCAGACGAAGTTTTTAAAACTGTAGTCGGTAAAGAGCCACAAACCATCTTTTCAGAAGAAGTTCCTGAAGCTTATTTATGGAATTTCTTAATTCAGTTTGCTCGTGAACAAACAAGACAGAGAGTTGCTAAAGCACGCAAGCCAATTCAATCTATGGAAGATATTATCAAATTAATAGAAAATTCAAAACATATTATTGTCATTATAGGAGCTGGTGCTTCTATCGGTCCAGACTTCAGATCCCCCGGTGGTTTGTATGATTCAATTGCTAAGGAAGGTTGCCTTGAAGATCCATATCAAGTTTTTGACTTAGATTATTTCAAAAAAGATCCCACGATATTCTGGCGCTTTGCACATAAGATATTCCCCGACAAAAATCCTGCTCACTCCGATACACACTATTTCATTGCCGAGCTCGAGAATCACGGCAAATTACAAAGATTATATTCCCAAAACGTCGACACTTTGGAATGCGGCGTACCCGAATCGAAGTTAAGATGCGTTCATGGATCATGGCGCAACAGTTATTGTTTATCTTGCGGAAAGAAATTCGATATTGAAGATTTACGCGAAGCTGTCCAAAATGGAACAGTTCCTACATGCCCTTGTGGCGGCCAGATAAAACCTGGCATTGTTTTCTTCGGTCAAAAAACAAATATCGAAGATGAAGATATAACTGCTGATTCCGAGGAAGGAGACCTTCTCATTGTCATCGGAACATCATTAAAAGTCGCTCCGATCTCAATGCTTCCAGAATTTTTCTCGCAGATCCCTTCAATTTTGATAAATCGCGAACCAGTTACATGCAACTTTAGCGCGGAATTTCTTGGTGACTGCAGTGATGTTGTCAAGGCAATTCAGAAGGGTCTTGGATGGAAAGATTTCCCGGAACAGCAAATTCACTTTAATGAACCAAATAAATTCTTCTTCCCGGACAAGAATGGAAATATTTCTCATGTTTACGAAACAGGACCTGTCTCATTTGTGGTTACACCCTGTGAAGCAAATCCTAACGACTTATTGTAATTTTTTTATTTATATAGATTCATAAATACATATTTGTATTCACTTTCTACCATATATCATGTTTTTTAGTCCATTTGACTAAACTGCTCGTCAAAAAGCGCAGGTCCGATCATATTTTTGAGTCAACCCATACAATTAATTCTATGAGTTTCTCTCAAATTGGTGTCAAAATCAGACCTGCGCTATCAAAAAATTTGAATTCATGTATCGATAAGGCTATTTTTAATATTAGTAGAAATATTAATCAACATCCAAATTTAATTCTTTTTTAATTGTCAATGCCAATTTTGTCAAATTTGGATTTTTTCTATCACTCCTATAAAAAAAGAGAGGTGTGCAAGATTTATTAAAGAACAACATTATTTGGGAGATAAACTATGTACTTCTACTAACGAAAGTTTGTTGTTAGCAATAAACTCAAAAAGATCATTTTGAATTTCAACAATCCAAGTCTGATATGATAATATCTCTTTCACATACATTCAAAATGTTTGTTATGTTAGTACGAATTGTACATTTCCCATAGTTTTTCCCTTTGAATTTATAAAATATCAAGAGAGATAAAAATTATGTCATTTTGAAAGATCCCTCAAACCATATTAAATAAAACTCGCATTATGGAAGGATTAATGACTTTTCAATTTAAGATTAGAATTTCCTCATTTTTATTATCGTGTTCATGTTATTACATAAGCAGCTTGAAACAATGATATAAGTTTAAACAAATGAACATAGAAAAAGAATTCCTGAAAAAAAAATGCCAACAATTTTGCAATATGGATTCTCTTTTTCAGCCGTTCCCTTTTGTTGACAACATTAAATTTCCCAAGCAGTCATTTGCTGATGAAGTGGCGAAAACACGCAATCTACAACAAGATGTGATTATAGCTAAAATTAAGGAACAAGCAAAATCAATCGAAGTTTCATATCCATCTCTTGCACAGACATTTGAAAATCTGGTAATTAAAATTCGAGACGACTTTGATGCAAAATGTAAAGGTAGCAATAAGTTTGAAATGTTACCAGTAATTGCAAATGAAAAATATTACCCAGATTCCGCCGATACCAGCGATGTTAAATTAATTCGTCCAGATCAGCTATTTAAATTCCTTAAAGATTCTTTTACAGCTATAGATGTCAAAGATTATTCATATCTCCTCAAGTATGGCATATCTCCAAGTTCATATCCATTAGCAAAACTGATGATAATTTTAAAGCTGATTTCAAAACAAACTAAATTTGATATTGACGAAGAAGTTAAAAAAGAAATTATTTCGGAAGACAGAAGTCAAAACAATTTGGACCAAAAACCTCAAATCTTCACAAGGTTACGCAAAATACCCAATCATCCCATCGAAAACTGGATTAAAAGTCAAGAAATTACGAATCTGATTCAAAAATCTCCAAACCAAACCATTTACATTAATTCGTCTCCCGGATCCTACATTGTATTAGATAATTCACAAGGAAGATGCATTATCAATGTTGCCTCTCAAAAATACGCAATTAATAATAATGATTTTAAAGATTTGAGTGGTATCATTGATAACAGATACAAAATTACAAGTGCTGCCATTATAGATGGTTGTTTGACTTTTATTCTCCTTAATAATTATGAAGTCAGTGTTATTGTTTACAGAAACAGTGAAATTCCAACTGATCCAGGAATGGGCGAAATCATCGATTTGGATGTCAAAACAGCTTTTTCAGGAACATGCATTCATATTATTAACAATGAATTGCATATCTATACTGCATCCAATAGCATTACCATTTTCGATTTAAGAAACATGATAATCGTTGACGAAAAGCCTCAATATTACATCTATTCAACCGTTAACTTTTCTGAAAAAGAAATTTTTGGAATCAGTTTTCACGAAGATACAATACTTGTTGATATCCGGCCGAAAGGAAAATGCGAAGATTATTTCTTTCATTGATTTTGTTTTTAACATGTATGATAAGCAAAATAAGGAATTTTATGAACCAGTTCTTAAAGCACTTCTTTCAGTACTATCAGTAATACCAATGAGACCTTATCTTGTTAAATGTGTTATCACAAACTTGGATAAACTTTTCAAAACAGATATTATCTGGAAATACTTTATCAAGCAAGATTCCAATTTTACTGAGTTAATATTGAAATATTTGATCAATTATGGAGAAAGCACCGAAAGACAACAAATCGAAAAACCAACATCAATCTCATTAAACACAACAATTTTCGCTCCTGAAAATGTTTGTGGAGATATCGAAACTTATTTTGCAACTCCTTTCAGAAAGATTAAAGTAACACAGAAAGATTTTGTTAAAGGACAAGTAAATCAAAATGCTTTCTTTAACTACGAAGAATTGTTATCCGAATCAGCAGAGATCAATGGACAAAATGTGAGCATTGATATCATTGGAAACAATAAAAGTACTCAATATATTCTTGAAGGAATTGTCTCGAAAATCTGTTCCCAAGATTTTTCAAAAGCAGATCCAACATATGCTTTATTCCCATATTTATTCATCAAATGCGCTCAAAACTCAACAAAATCAATTCCTCTAACGGAAATGGAGCAAGCTCATGCTGATATATTGAGCCTTCCGCATTGCGATAAACCCAATGAAGAATACTCTAATTTTAGAACGAATTTGAGAGATGTTTATTCTGCAGCCGAAAGGGATTATCAAAATCCAAAAAGTATTTTCCATATCATCGCAAAGGCAACAACACAAAAAATGTTTAGAAAGAGGACATTTAATATTGACGTTGAAGTCCTTACAGTTAAAATAATGCTTTCAATCATTTGGTCATGCAATTTGTTAAAGGAATATACTGAATTCGAAACAGAACCAACTATAGCAAAGTTTGATACAATTTTCAAACCTTACTTACCAAACCACTATTAATCTTTTGAACACTACGGAATATAGTGGAGTGTTGAATTCAATAAACCGAAAATTCCATACTATAATTGAAAAAGCTTATCTTGATCCAACAGACGATCAACAAGCTAATAAATCAACAGACAATCAGCAACCAAAGCCTTCTCCACAGACTGCGAGATATGAAAAAATAATTGCTTTTTATTCTTTTGAATTTGATTATACAGAATTGGTTGCGATCGAAAAAATAAGTCATTAAGAGAAGAGTTGCCAAATGAAGTGAATTTGATAATCTTGAATTTCTTCAAAAAACTTCGCAAATTGAAAGCAGAATCATTTGCTATTCCTTTTGCGAGAAGTTTAGTTCAACATTTAGATTTCATTATCTACCCAGAAACAGGAAAAAATCACAAAATCATAAAAGCCTGTCAAAAATTCAATGATGTTGTGATCAATTGTCACTTGATTAGTAAAGAGGGTAACGATCAGACAATTGCTAATCTCATCAATAACATTTCACAAAGTTATGAAGAACACAACACAGAGCAAGCTGATATGAAATTGGCATTAGTGACTCTTAAAACAATGGAAATAGCAATTAATAATCCTGTAGAATGCAATGAATCGCTACCTATACCAGGAAAAGATGAAGAAAATTATCTATTTAAATTAGCTTATGCGAGAGCAACATTTACAGATTCGAACTGGCAGGTTTCGGAGAATATCTGCAAAATTAGAACCGAACACAAAGACAAAATTCTTGAAAAAATCGAAGCTAACGACGATGAAAATGTTAGCTTGGGTGCGATGATTGCATTGGGTGCTGAAATATTTGATTCAGAAGTTACAAGATACATCAAGATCAAAGGAAAGACAGAACTTGCAAATAATCATGACGTGGATGTTCAAAGGAATTCTCAAGCTTGTTTCCAAATTGATCCTCCAAAGTTTAATGTTACTGCCAAATTAACAGCGAAAATGATTGAGTTTATCGATAAAGTTGATCTTGATATCCAAGCAACACCTTCTCAAAAACCAGCTGACAATTCACAAAAACCATTGGATACTCCACAAAAAATTGCAGAAAAGGCAATCAAAAATTGCATTATTTTGTCATTTTTATCAAAATTATTTGATGCTGTATCTGACAAGAACAAATTTGCTGAAAAATTCCCGAAGATGAAGGAAATATGCAAGAAGTTCAAAGATACAGTAGTTCCAAATTACACAAACTCCAAGTACTCTTACTTCATCAGACAGCAGCTGAAAAGAGTTTGTGAAAAGAATGGTATTAAAGACAAATTTATTCCTTTGACACATTGCGGTGAATGCAAGGATTCTATGTTCAATGGCAGTCCTGATACATCATCATTCTTCGTCCATACGAAAATGATTGATGTCAATAATGCTATAGAAATTTCATTCACAGATATGAAGACTCAACTCAAATATATTGGTTTCATTTCTGAAAACTGGGATTGCACATTCCTCAGTTTGCTTGATAGGAATATCTACATGGATAAGAAGTTTGTCCCTTACACAGGCTCATTGTCAAATATAACTTTGTGGATGGACAATAACTACCTTTGTTTCGGAAATGTCAAAATCGACAGCGGTGAAACAAAGAAACGCTGGGCATTTGTTATCACAGTTTGCGATGATTCTCTTGTCGAATACAAGTTTGTACAACCAAGGAGCACTTCACTTAAAGCTAATGCACCTCCAACAAAGCAACATAGATTTGACCTCAATATGATTTTCCCCAAAGTTTGTCTCGGAATGCAAGTGAAAATCGAAAACCATTCTGATGTAAATATATCCAGATTGGAAGCTAATTACGGTTATACTATTACAGGCTGCAATTTCGAAAACAGATCAACAGAAACTTACATTGTTCCTGCAAATCAAATCACAACACAATACACCCCATTTGACACCGTTATGATTTGCGCAGAAATAGAAAACAGAATCGGAGATCCAACACAATTATTAAATGATTTGTTACAAACATGTAAGAACTACTCGATTTCATTGATCAAGACAATGCTTCCTTATTATCTTCCAGAAATTAATAGCGAAATGGCATTGAATATGATCACAAAATTGTCTGACACATCATTAAAGCAAGAACTGGACCAAATTAAAGCACTAATGAAAGGAAAAGAAAACGATATCAAGGCCAAATTAGAAAATACTGTAATGGAAGGCGAAAAAGATCCAAAATTCACTGCTGGCAGAGATATCAATCAACTTTACAATTCCACTTACGGTGCATCACAGATCGGTATCTTCCAAGCATGGAATCACGGTATTTTCTATGAAAAGACATTCGTACAAGGCCTTAAATTGTTCTTCAAGTATAAGAAAGTTTGCCTCGGTTTCATTCCAATGATTCTTAAAACATTCAATAAGAATCTTCCAAATGATTTGGAATCAGCAAAGATGATCCTTAACTTCTTCAACAATCCAACATACGAGGGCTACTTCAGCAACATGTCTGAAAAGGATTACACAGAATATTTCAACAACTTAGTTACTTTTGTTTTCGAACGCGATCCAAACAATTGTCGCTAAACAAGCACATTCATCATTGATCAACAAATGTGCACAGTCACTTATTGGCGACTTGTTCACTCTTGGTAAAAATGTATCTAACAAAGCGAAACGAATGCCACCATTGCTTCTTTTCTCCGACAAAGGTGCAACATTTTCAAAGTGCGTTGTCAAGAACAATAATTACTATCCTGTTGAAATTTTGTTGCCAAATGGCACAACCAAAATCATCACAAGTAATTCATATTCTTCTTGCGAAGCTAACAAAGGATACAGATACCATTTTGGCACTGATGGCAAACAAGTTTTGTCTGACTGGAAGAATTACATCGAAAAGGATTTCTCCGGAGTTTATAAACCACTTTTAGTCGATTACATGTTGAAGAATAAGATCTGTGACGCTAAAATCGGTGATTACCCATCAATTGTTTATTCTTTGCAAACATCGGTTTATCTACATTGACAGAAGTTAGTGATGATTACTTCGATTATTCCACACCAGAACTGAATCCTATTGACAATTACTTTAATGATGATGCCAACATTAAAGTTGGATGGTTAAACAATTTCAGAGATTGGGCTGCTGAAGGAACAATCGGATATTTGAAGATTGATATCACTAGGACACATTCTCACGGTGTTGACTATGATTCTCCAAACCTTATCAGAATCATTGATTACCTTGCTAGAGATGAAGCTCATTTCCCATCAAAAATCATCGCATTCAGAGCAAAAGAAAACAAACTTATGTATGTCGCTGAATACGAAGGAACAACTGGCCAAGATGTCGGTGGTATGTTCAGAGATTCATTCTTCCTTATGGTCAATGAATTAATGGATGTTAATATCCGATATTTCATCAAGCCACCAAGCACTCTTCATTGTGAAAAGAATCGCTTAGTTCCTGCATCGAACTTACCAATCAAAGTTGCAAGTACAATTGGTTCTCTCATTGCTAGTGCTATTGCAACACGAAATGCACACAAAGCTTGGAATCTTCCACGATTCATTTGGGACAGTTTTGTTACTAACTCAGACCTTTCTCTGCTTGTTGACTGTGATGACGAAAGTTATTTCAACAGTCTCAAAAACATTGTTAATGCTATGCGCAAAGGATTCTGGAAAGTCATTCCTCTTGACAAAGTTAAAAACTTCTCCGGCCGCTTCATTGAAGGATTAACATGCGGTGTCAAGAAAGAACTTGACTTTAATTCATTCATCGCCTACTTCAATCCACCATCAAGAAATTGCGTTGTTTGGCCAGTTTTCACCCAAGCAATTTCCAAATTCACTTCTCAAGAATTTTCCAAATTAATGGGATTCATAACTGGAAACGAAACTCCAAAGAATGCAAAAGACTTTTGCTTGAAGTTAGCTGATAAATCAACAAGCTATCAAGATGAAAATAGTTTCGCGCTTCCATTTGCTCACACATGTTTCAATTTAATTGAAATTATGCCATATAAAACACCAGAACTCCTAAGACAAAAATTGATAATTTGCTTCTCATTCCAAGCAGAATTTAATGATTAAATTATTATTTTATTTATTTTAATTCTAATTAACTTTTATATTGCTAAATATGAACACAAATAAATAATTTATTAATGTTTTATGTTGCTAAATATGAACACAAATAAATAATTTATTAATGTTTTATATTGCTAAATATGAACACAAATAAATAATTTATTAATGTTTTATATTGCTAAATATGAACACAAATAAATAATTTATTAATGTTTTATATTGCTAAATATGAACACAAATAAATAATTTATTAATGTTTTATGTTGCTAAATATGAACACAAATAAATAATTTATTAATGTTTTATGTTGCTAAATATGAACACAAATAAATAATTTATTAATGTTTTATATTGCTAAATATGAACACAAATAAATAATTTATTAATGTTTTATATTGCTAAATATGAACACAAATAAATAATTTATTAATGTTTTATGTTGCTAAATATGAACACAAATAAATAATTTATTAATGTTTTATGTTGCTAAATATGAACACAAATAAATAATTTATTAATGTTTTATATTGCTAAATATGAACACAAATAAATAATTTATTAATGTTTTATATTGCTAAATATGAACACAAATAAATAATTAATTATGGCATTTAAGGGCACACTTACTTTCTGACATTCTCCAGATCAAATTTCGAAATTAATTTAGATTTATAACTGGAAACTAAACCCCAGAGGTTTCAAAGGAATCAACAAGTTATTAAAATGAAAATAGTTTCTCGCTCCCAAATGCTAGCACATGGTTCAATATAATTGAAATTATGTCATTCAAAACACCAGAACTTCTCAGAGAAAGACTGAAAATTTTCATCAGAACAGTCCTTTTAAAAATTATTTTTATTATTTTAGATTTTTAATCAAATAGGTAATTTCTTACAATCAAAAAGTTTTCTATGCATAGTTTGCTATACGAACAATTTCATCACTTTGATATAAAAGTGACAAATTTGACTTTTACATTGATCTTTCCAGACAAACTTAGAGTTAAACAAATATCAGATTTGCTGATTCCACAGCAACTTCAGAAACTTCTGGATATTGAAGAAGCCATTTATTCTCTCAATTCCGAAAATTTTGATCAGAATGTTTCTAAAATAAAAGATTATATTGACATTGGATTCAAAAAATATTTGGTTGATATTGTTGCTCTCAAATCACAACAAAATGAAAGAATTAACAAAACAAATTCTTTTTTACAAAAAATTTCGGATTTATTCGAACTGAATGTCATCTGTCCAGAATGCAAATCTAAAATAACTATTCAAGAATTACAAGAAAAACTTTTCGAACCAAATTATCTTTTAATAATAATGATTTACTTGATGCAATCAATTCAAACGATCCAGGCTTAGTTAAATATGTAATTTTAAATAAACCTTCACTTTTAAATAAGACAAATATTGATTATAACATCAAATCCAATATAATTGCAAGGGGAAATTATGAAATGATTCATTTATTTTACAATGCAGGAGTAATTTTTAGTGATTGCTTTGATATTTCTATATCATTTCGTTTAAATAATATTGCAGATTGGATTTTAGAAAATTTTAATAATTTACAACAAAGCAGTGAAACAGATATAAGATTTAACATCAGAGCTTTCGTTTTTTACGCAGAAAATGGGTTGGTTCTACCATGCGATTTCCACAAATTCTTCAAATCACTCAAATTTCTACCAGGGCTACATTATTTTTATTCATTTTACTCTCCAGATTCAAAACAATTTTACCAAATAATTAAGTTTTGTTATAAAAACGATTATTACGACTTTTTAGAGTTTATTCTGAAGAAGGGAAATTTGCCTGTGCATTAGTTAAATTTATCGTAATTAATAAATACAATCAAAAAATTTATAATTTGTTGAAAAGTTATAATATTGTTCCTCCAAGAAACATTATGATTATAGATAATCAAACACCCGTAACATTGGCATATAAGAAAGGAAACATTGAATTGTTTAAAGAATTATTAAGTACAGGTGCTGATCTTAACTATATAAACGGAAAAACCAATACAATTTTATATTATGCATGCAAATATAAAGATTTAAATGCTGTTAAATCTGCTTTAAGCTATGGAGTCGATATCAGGGCAAAAAGCTATAAAAGTGCATTATATGTAGCGCTGCATTTGGGAAAGCTTGATATAGCAAATTACTTGGTTGATAATGGATTTGATTGCAGCATGGATCATTGCAGAGACTCTCATTCAAAGTTTCTACTTTTGGCAGCTATTAATTCTTTGGACTTCTCATTACTCAAAAAGATATACCATGCAGGAGGAAGCACAGAAATCAAACATATGTACATTAATAGTTTGAAGTTCATTCATGGAATACTGTTTAATTCACATAATCAGAATGATGATACTTTCAGTGCTATTAATTATGCAATTGAAATCATGCAATTCTTTGCTAGGCGTTAATGTTATAATAAATGATATTGCATTTTCTTCATTGATGGATCAAATATTTAATATTGAATTCAAGATATTTTCAGTTAAATATTCCAATAATTGGAATCATTGTTTAATGATGTTTCTCTTGTTACAAATACACATATATAAATTTATTTGAATTTAAAATGTAAAGAAATACATTAACTTTAGTTGATTTATGTATTAGTAGTATTTCCTAGTGTTTATCACATTAGACAAGATATAGCTTATACAAGGAAAATATGACAAATTCTAATTTTTATTAAATTATGATCAATACAAAAACCTTCAGAAAATAGTTTCGGACACATCCTTTAAAATACCATACTTCCACTATTTGTCAATGCTTCAATAAATGCTCGAATCTTGAAATCCACACTGAATTCATTATCATCGGGCTCAGTATTACATCTTGCCGTAAATAAATTAGTCACAATTTTTTTTAATCGAAATAAGACTAATAGAGAAAATTGGATATCTTATGTCTTATATATGTACCAATTTTTTTGATGAAATTTTAGTTAACGTTTTATGTACTGCATTATTCGATAAGACATAATTTTTTCATGTCTTGTTTGCCATTCAATAAATAAAACATGTTGTCAAAATTTGAGAGAAAATTCAATTGGAAATTAAATTTCAGAAAAATGAATGAATATCCTCACGGCTTTATAGCTACACGCGAAGCTATAAAGAGGATAGATGGTATCCGTTCATTCACAGATGTTGACAAATCTAAAGTTCAATACAATACATTCTCAAGTGGACAAGATATTGATATTTGTTTTGTTGTTGATGGAACAAAATCAATGAACAATGAAAGAGGTAAGGTTCACGAATTCGAAGAAAAAGCAAACGAAAGATCAATGATTACAGGTGCAAAGAGCATCTTCAAGAAACTAATGGAATACACTAAGAAGAAATATAGCGATCTAAATGTTAGATATTCTGCCAATTTCTTCAGAGATGCAGCCATGGCCGAACAATTATATAGGCATAAGAAGCAAGGTCATGGAACAGTTGACTACAATGTTGCAACACCATTTGATTTCAAGGAACATGGTGGAAGCATAAACCCAGTTGAATTCGACAAAGTCGAAACAAAGGAGGCGCAGGAGATGGTCCAGAAGATTGGGTTCAAGCTTTCGAAGGAATGTTCAAATTCCATTGGAAACCCCAAGCAAAGAAGATTATGATTATGATTACTGATGCTGGAGGTCATGGAGAGAAATTTAATTCTAAACCGGATAGAGATGATGAAGATAAAGAAATTGACCGCACTGAAGGTCCGAAAGTCGAAAGATTAATCAGAAGAATTGCAGAAGAGAAAATTGATGTTTGCTTCATCTACACTCATTGGAATGCTAAACAAGGAATGAAAGAGTTCAAGAGAATTTATGAAGAAGCAGGTGGTTCGAATTTCAAGTCAATTGAGGAAACATTTGCCAATGCAGGTCAAGAACTAAGACAAACAGTATCTGATTTGATAACAAGTATTGTTGATACTGCTGTTGCTTCATTTAATACATCAAAAGTGAAAGAAATTACTCTTGCAGCAGATGCAAAGTTACCAAAGAGAAAGAAGAGAGAACAAATTTCATTGGAAATCAATGATCAACCAAAGAGCATTCCGAATGAAAAATCAGGCAGAAAGAAAGAAAGAGTTGTTTCAGGAGTGGTCGAATATGAAGAAAAATCACAAGAAAGCACACCTGTTGAGGTTGTCAGCGAAACTCAAACTACTGAAGAAGGATTGAACAAGTTCAAAGATGAAATTAACTCTCACCGTAATGATATAAAAGCTATTGAACAAAAAGTCAAAGAACAAAAGATGACACGAATGATAAATATGGAATCAATTCCACCAGCACCTGCTAATATACAAACTGCAAATCAGTATTTTGTTCAATCAAACCAGCAGCAACAAGGAATGCAAGGAATACAAATGCCTCCTCAGCAACAACAACAGCAAGGAATGCAAATGCCTCCTCAGCAACAACAACAAGGAATGCAAATGCTTCCTCAGCAACAACAACAAGGAATTCAAATGCCTCCTCAGCAACAACAACAAGGAATTCAAATGCCTCCTCAGCAACAACAACAAGGAATGCAAATGCCTCCTCCTCAGCAGCAACAACAAGAAATGCAAATGCCTCCATTATAAAATGTAAACTTCTCAAAATTGAGAGACCTGCGCTTTTTGATTATCAGTTTAATATGATTTTTTGTCAGATTCTCTCAATTTTAAGATTTTTGAAAAAAAATTTTGAAAAGTCAAAAGTCAAGAAATTTTTAAAAATTATTTAAATGTCAAAAGTCAAGAAATTTTTCATTTTTATTTAAATGTTTGGTATAGAGTATCCAACTCAAAAGAAACAAGGCGTTAAGAGAATCGATCGTTGGAATATTAGTAATATGGATGATAGATTTGATCCTTATGTGGTTAGAGACGCGTGCGGTATTAATAGCAATTTTTATATAGGATCCGATGTTATATACGGCGCGAATTCTAGATCTTTATTGCGTCAATTCGATGCTAGAACAGTTGCGAAAAGATTTCCAGATGCATTTCTTTCAGAATATGTGTCGTAGGTACCACGTGTTCTTGTCCGGAAGAATCCAAGTTTTATCAACTCGATGAATAAATCAGATATCTGAAATACTGAATATCTCTAATCCGATTTTCTTTTTTTCGAATTTCAATTTTTCAAAAATCAATTTTTTGAAATCTTGTTTATAATTTTTAAACTATATTTATTTTGTTTTGTTTGTTATTAATCAACTCGTCGCCATATTCAATTTTTAGTTACTTTTTTTTAAAAAAAAGAACCTTAAAAGTGCAAAAAAGGGTCTGCACATTTTGAATGCAAAAGAATTTTTACTTCTACCCACAGCAGTAAAGTATGTCATGTAAAGTTTTACTTCTACCCACAGCAGTAAAGTATGACGTTTACCTCAAAAAGTGGTAAAATTGAGAGAATCTGACATGTAAAGTTTACTTCTACCCTCAGCAGTAAAAAATCTGACATGTATAGTTTACTTCTACCTACAGCAGTAAATAAATAGAGGATGTTTTATTGTCGTCTCAAAAAAGTGATAAAATTATCATTGTCGTCTAAAAAAGTGACGAAATTATCATTGTCGTCTCAAAAACGGATTTTAAAAGCATGTTTTTGATACCTAAATAAAGGAAGAACATCAATTCCATCTATGCATACAGTGTGCAAACACTCATGATATATGGAGCAGCTCTTTATCTGGCTAAAAATACTATTTAATTTAATGTTTTTTCGATAACATCAATTTTTCTTGTTAAATCATCAATTTTCATCGTATAAGTAATTTTAGATTCAGGAATAGGTTTCAAACTAATTTCTCCTTTTTATTTTAGTAATTCTAAAACCATTTATACGATACATTTTATTTAATTTACAAGTCGTCAATTCTTCAAATTGCTTTTTATTACTTTCATAAAATTTATTAAATTCATCTATTGTTTCAAATGTTTGAAAATCTTTAATTGGTTTTATTATATTTAATTTCTTTTCAGGTATTTTTATTTCTTCTTCAACAATTTCTTCTTTTTCATCTTGCTTTTTATCAGTTTCAATTTTTTCTAAAATCGGTTTCATTTTATCTAATTTAAATTGGATAATCTTCTAATTAAAGTTCAAATGGATTCAAATCTTTCAACACAGTGTGAAAACCAAATTGTTCTATAGTATAATTAAAATTATGACTTGTAATTATGAAATATGGATAAGTGACTTTTTTTTGCATAAGTATTTACATGTATAGCTTTAATTACTACTGCTGAATGTAAAAATATAGATCCTTATATTGGTCGTATCTGTTTTGATATTTTAGAAGATTTGATTATTAGTCTTAAGTCTCGAGTTTAAACAACAATTTGCATAGGAAATTTAAAAGTCTAACTTATTTTGAAAATAAATAAACAAATTTTATAAATAAAATTAAATATAAAATATATAATTACATAATTAAGTGTTACTAAATGTAACTCTTTGTGCACTACTCTCTATAAATGATGCATTCATATTACCGCTTTGTGTAATCTTCATGACAGTTTCGTGTTGCTTTGCAATTTGTTGATTTAATCTATCAATTTCAGAATCTTTTTGATCAATGACAGATTTAACTCTTGAAACTAAATTTCTTATGTATTCGAGTTTACCTGAAAGTTGTTGTGATGCTGTGAAACTTGGCAACCTTTCAGATGTAGAAACAGCTAAGTCAGAAAGATTTAATTTGATTGCATTAATGAGTTTTTCATCTTCTTCTGTTAATAATCTAAAGTTGTGCGTCATTTTGATATCAAAGATATCAACTGAAGAAACAGAAACATCAAGTCTATTTAGTTGAGCAAATGAAATTTGTGGCATTGATAAATTCATTGCTTTGAAAATTGCAGACATTTTCTCTAAAATTTGCATCAAAAATTGTTTTTGTGACAAATTAGATTTCGATTGATTTGCAATCAAAGAATGAACAGAAATAAATGATTCAGTTAACAAAGAAAGCAAAGAAGTCTTTTCATTGTATTTCTCAATAATTGATGAATATCTTGACTTCTGTTCTGCCAAATTTTGTTGTGCGTCATCTAGTTTTCGACTCATTTCATTCACTGATTTCTGTAATGATTCCAATTGGTTCTTTGGTACAAGTGTTCTTTGTGTTCTTGTTACTTCTATTTGTAGTTCTTCGATATTTGTCTTCAATGAAGTTATTTTTACAGAAAGATTTTTGTTTTCTTTAACTTTTTCTTCCAATTTCTTCTTGAGTGTTTCATTTGATTTTTCTAATTCTTTCCTTGTTGATTTTTCTTCATTGTACTGAGAGATATATGTATTAATATCTTTCTGGTTAGAATCAGCGATTGATTGCAATTGGGATGTTAAAGAATTGACTTTTGAAGTTAATTCTCTATTTATATTTCTCATCTTTTCAAGTTCAATGTTTAATGACTCTAATTTAGTTTGTTTCTCATTAATGTCTTGATTTAGTTTAGAACTATCACTTCTTATTCTTTCTTGGATATTAATCAACTCAGATTTAGTTTTTTCAAGTTCTTTTTCTTTGTCAGAAACTTCATTTGTTAATCTTTCAATTTCTTTTTGTTTCGAATTCAACAAAACTTGGTTTTCTTCAAATTTGTTGTTAAGAAGATCATAGGAAGCTTTGATTTGTCTTTGAGACTGATTAGACTGTGCCAAACTATCTTCTGTATCTTGTAAAACAGCTTCCAAATTTTGGATTTTCTTCTTCAACGAATTATTTTCAGTTTGCAAATTGTTCAATTCATCTTTCGATTGTTCGATCTGTTTTGCTTTGGTGCTGATGTCTTTCTTGAGACTTGATGTGGACTGGCTCAAGTTTATCTTGTGATCTTTTATGTCGTTCTTGAGTTTTGAAATTTCAGAAATTAAATCATTTTGTTTTTGTAACAAAGATTTTTCTGATTTTTCTTTTTCTTGGAGATCTGAACTTAATTTAGATATTTCTTGTTGCAACAAAACATTCTTTTCGTTCAATGTCTTGATTTCATTGATTAATTTGTCATTTTCATTCTCAAGATTTTGCAAATTAATCTTAAGAGATTCAATTTCTTGTTTCTTTGGTGATGAATTGACATCTCTTGTTAATCTCATGTCTGTTATGAGCCTTTCCAAGTTTCTTCTCTTGTTTTCTTCTGATTTCAACTTTTCTTCTATCAAAGAATAAGAATTCTGCATTGCTGACTCCATTTCACTTGTATGAAGTATCTTTGACTTGTATTCCGATGCTTCTGTTTGAATTTTTGTCAATTCTGTTTGAGTGAAATTTAATTCTCTTTGTAAACTCTCTTTTTGCTTTGATTCTCTATCAAGCTTTGTCTGCAATGTGCTGCTAAATGCTCTAGATTCATTAATTTGCTTAGTCATGCTCTGGATTTTGTTCTGTGACTCATTTAATTCTTTTGTCAAATTTTCAATTTTCATTTTCGAATCAAACAACTGATTCTCTAATAAATTGACGTGTTTCCTTAAGTCAGAGCTAGACTTAGTCATATCATTGATTGTTACAGCTGCTTTTGCGTTTTGTTTCTTCATGTTTTCGAATTTTGTTTCATAATTATTCAAAATTTCAGTTTTATTTTGAATTTCGAATGCAGTCTTCTGAATGATTGATTCTGTTTGGCTCTTGATGTTCTCTATTTCTTTATTAGCATTGTTAAGTTCATTATTTTTATCAAGTAACTGCAATTCTAGTTCATGAATTTTATTTTGATGATTTTGAATAATTTCACTTTTAGTTTGATCTGTTTTTGTCATTTCCGAAATCTTATTGTTCAAATCATTTATCTGCGTGTTGTTCTGTATCTGTGTGAGCTTTAGCTTCTGTTCAGATTCTTGCAAATTCGATATTTGTGCTGTCAAAAGAGAAACAGTTGATTTTTGATCCAGAATTTGTTTCTCCAAATTTGATTTATCATTTGAAATTGTATCTAATAACTGTTGGAGAGTTGATTTGGATTTTGTGATATCTTCTATTTCTAGTTTAGTTTTAGTTTGATAGATTTCTGATTCATGGATTGTTGATTCATAATCAGCAACTTTTTTATTCAATGAAGCAATTTGTTTTTCTTTTTCTTCAACTAAAGATTTCAACTGAGTAACTGTTTGAAGAGAAGAATCCTTTGATTGACTTAATAATTGATTATCATTTTCTTTCTTCTCGATTTCCTTCTTGAGCAAATCATTTTCTTTCTGTGCATTTGAAAGTTTTTCTTCTGTTGTTAATCTCAAGTTATTTTCATCTTTAACTTTCATTTCATAATCTTTGATTGTCAACTGGAATTGTGTTCTTTCTACATCAACTTTGGCTGATTCACGCTGATATTCATCAATCTTAGCTTTGTTTTCTTTGATTTCATTGTACAATGATTCAATCTTTGCCTTCATTTGGTTGTTTGATTTATAAATTGTTTCGTTTTCGACTTTCTGGGAAATCAAATGATTTTTCATGTCTTCAATCATTGCATTCTTTCTCTTGATATCGCTGTTCAATTCATCAACTTTGAGTTTATAAGAATCAGATTCTTTTTGCAGACTAATTGTTTTCTCATTTAATTCTTGGATTTTAACATTTTGTGATGTATTTTCATCAATTTTAGATTGTAATGTTTTAGAGATTTCTTCTGAATGTTGTTTCTCTAAATCTAATTCGTTTTGGATATCTTCTTTCTGTTGTTTAAGATCCTCAATTAACTTCTTTGTATAATTTAATTCATTCTTGAAATTAATTGTTTCGTTTTGAGAATTTTCTAAATCTTTTGTTAATTTCTCAATTGTTTCTGTTAATTGAGAAATTTTCTTCTTCAAAACTTCCATTTCGAACAATTTCTGGTCTTTCTCAGCAATTTCAGCATTTAGTTTAGAAATAGCATCATTAGTTTCGGTGATTTGAACTTTTTGTTTGCCCAAACGATTTGTTAGTTTTTGCAGTTCTTCAATTTGATTTTCTTTTTCAGATAATTCTTCATTCATACTTTCAATTGTAACTTTAACTTGACTCATTTGCTTCTTCATCTTTTCTATTTTAATTGACTTCTTCTGTATAAAAGCAGATGCTTTTTCTAAGGCTTGTTTCATTGAATCTCTGTCTCCATAAACAGTAGAAATTTCTGTTTCATAACTTTCTTTTTCTTGGATCAAATTTTCGATTTGATTTTCAAGAGATTTCAACTGGAGAGACAAATTATTCTTTTCCTGGTCATGTTGTTTGTTCATATCATTAATTAATTGATTATGCTCATTCTCCATTTGTACTTGGTTCTGTTTATGAAGAGTTATGATGTTTTTGAGATCTTTGACTTTTTTATCTGATTCTTCCAATTTTTCTTCAGCAATTTCAAGTTTGTCTTCAAGTTGAGAATACTTCTTTTGTATCTTACTTAGTAAATTCTTATGATTCCTTTCTTTATCAGATAATGCTTTCTCTAATTCAGAAATATTTGCTGTCTTTTCTTCAATTTCTTTCTTCATTTTTTGAGTTTCATTTTCAAATTTCTCTTTCTGCATTGTGATTTCTTTTTCATGAGATGATGTTAATAGTTTTGCATTCTCTTCTTGAAGATTTGAAAGTTCTTTCACTCTTGATTTGATCTCTTCTTCCAATTTCTTCTTTTCCAATTGAGAATTTGCAATAATCTCTTTCATATTTGTCAATTTTTCATTCAATGATTTAATTTCGCTTTCAAATTTAACAATTTTAACATTTAATGATGATTTTTCTGTGTTCAAATCATTGTTCAAAGCATTCTGTTTCTCTATATCCGCTTTCATTTTAGATATTTCATTATTAAGACTATATATTTGTTGCTGTTTTTGATCAACAATTTCTTTGTTCGATTTTGTTTGTTCATCAAATTTAACTTGTAATTCTGTTCTTTGTTTCTCTGAGATTTTAAGTGTGTTATTCAAATCATTTATTTGTTTTTGATTGTTTATATTATTTGTCTGCAATTCTGTGAGTTGCTTCTTCAATTGTTCTTGTTCTGTGATTCTTTTCTCCATTTCAATTCTCATTTGTTCTGTGTTTTGTTTAATTTTGATTTCATTTTCTGATGATTCTTGTAGTTTCTTCTTTAATTCATCAACTTTAGATTGTAAATCTTTGTTCGATGAATTTGATTCTGTTAATTTCCTTTCTAATCTTGAAATCTTTGCTTTGGCTTGACTAATAACTTCATTTGTTTGTTGTTTTTCTTCGAAAACATTGGATTCTTTTTCTTCAATTATATGTGATGCTTCATCTAATTTCTGTTTAAGAATTTCGTATCCTTGTCTGTGTTCTGCAATCTGCTGAGCCAAATCACTGTTCTTTATATCCAATTGGTTAAGAATATCATTTAAATAAGTAACTTCACTTCCAAGTTTGTTTTCAGTAACTTCATGTTCTGAAATAATTTCTCTTAATATGTCTAAAAGTTCATTTTGCGGCGATGACAATGTTGGTTTATACGTTGATGAGTTCTTGATGATTTGTACAATCTGCGACTTGATTTCATTGATTTGATCTACTTGAGATTTAACAAAATCATTTGTAAGATTCAATAATTTATTGTTATCTGTTTCTGAAACTAATTTTTGACTAAATGATGAAATTATATTTGAAAGATTCGATTTAAATGAAATGAATTCGTTGTTATTTTTATCAATAACTCCTTTAATTTCATTAATTGTTTTATCCTTATCTGAAAACGCTTTAACAATCAAATCCAAATCATTTAATAATTGAGAAACATTATCAGATACTCTTACGTGGTTTTCTGTTGGATTTACTGTTCTTGTGACTTCTATAATCTTCTGTTGTAGTTTAAGTAAGTTTTCTTTATTGGACTTATTTGTATTTTCGTAATCATTCATTTCTTTCTTCATTTTTTCGATTTCTTTATCTGAATTAATAAGTTTTTCTTTCAATTCTTGGATTGCATTACTATCTTTCCTTGATTTATCATTTGCATTCTCAATAATACTTTGTGATTGACCTAATATATCTATTTGCGAATTCAACTTATCTCTATAAGACTCAAGTGCATCATCTTTCTCTTCATTTGATTTCTTGAGTTCATCAACTTTCTTTTGTAATGATTCTTTATCCATTTGAAGTTGTCTGCATGCTGTCATCAAACTAGAGATTTGATCTTCCATTTCAAGCTTTCTTTGATGGAGTTTGTCAAGTGACTGCAATTTCTTGTTTGCTGCTTTCAAAGCACCATTCATTTCTCTGATATTTTCATTCAAATCTGATATTTGTTTCTTTAAAGAATTATTTTCTGATTGAACATCCAATAATTCATTTACACTTGATTTGTATTTCTGGATCTGTTTTTGTTTGTCTTTTAGTTTCTTCTTAATAAACTTCATTTGTTGAGCGTATTCAGAGTTCTGATTCGCCAATTCGTATTGATTAATCAATTGATATGCGGAATTCAAATCTTCATTTAATCCTTCAACACTTCTTTCTATTCCTTGCAATCTAATGATTTCTATTTGTTGTTTCTTGTTTTGATCAGTCAAACTAACATTAACTGATTGCAAAGAATCAATTTCATCCATTAAATCTTCTGTTTTATTTGCAAGATCATCAAGATTCTTTTGGGTTCTTTGTTTCTCGATATTTAATAAATTATCGAGTTCAGTTAATGCTTTAACTGTATCATCAACAGTTTCAATGTTATATCTAGATGTAATACCATAAACTTTAGAGTCAATTCTCTTTAATTGATTCGTTGCTGCTTCTTTCAATTTCATTGTTTCGTTGAATGTCTGCGACATCATATTGAATTCATCAGCCATTTTATTAAATGATGTTGAATGAACAGCATTTGGAGAAATCTCTTTTGCAAGTTTAAAGATCATCTGTTTAAGAGCTTTGTTTTGGTTATGTAACATTTCTTCTTTCTGTTGTTTGCTACTAGAAATTGTTGTTTCAAGTTTCTCATTGTATTTTCTAAGTTGATCAACTTCTTTTTCTTGTTCTTCGATTTTTCTTGTTAAATCTGTGTTATCAGATATCTTCTTGATCTCTTCTTGCAAAGCAGAAATAGTATGATTTGCACTTTCATTATCATTCTTAAGAGATTTGTTTTCTTTCTTAAGATTTTGATATTTTTGCTCATTTTGTTGAATTTCTTGTTTCAAATTAGAAATTTCACTTTGCAAATCATCAATTCTAGCTTGCATTTGTGTCTGTATATGCTTTGGATCTTCAGCATTTGCAATAGTTAGTGTCAAATCTTTATTCTTCTTCTGTTCTTTCTCAAGTTCTTTGATAAGTTTCTTCATTTGCTGATCTTTCGCTTTGTTTTTACTTTCTACTTCATCTTGTTTGTCTTTAATGAGCTTAATTTGGTTCATGAGCTCTTTAATCTGTTGATCTTTGTCATTATTAGATTGTTGTAATGGTAAAATAGTTTGATTCGTCACATTTTCCATCAAAGAAATTCTGAATTTTTCTTGATTTTCTTTGAAAGAATTTTCTTGTGACAAACATTTTTCTTTCCAATATTGGACTTGATTTTGTAACTCTGTAATACTTTTATGAAGCTTATCAATATCTTCGGAGTTTTCTTTCTGCATCTTATTTATCATTGTTGACAAATTAAACGAATCATCTTCATCAGTTTTTTCATTGATATTTTGTTTAAGTTCTGAGTTTTCCTTTTTAAGTTGAAGAATTTGTCTTTGCTGATCAGTAACAAGTTGCTTAACTTGATCTAATGTTAATTTCAATTCTTCTTTTTCGGAGTTCACAGCATTAAATCTCTCTTGTAATGTTTTAACTCTATCATCAACAATTGTTGATTTATTTCCACTTCTATAAACTGTTCGAGATTTCTCTTCAACTTGTTTCAAGTTTGACTGCAATTCATCAATGAACATTGTCTTCTGTTGTAATTCTGATGAAAGGGAATTTCGTTCTTTAGTTAATGCAGAATTTTCACTTTGTAATTTTATGATGTTTTCTGACATTTCTTTTAGATTGTTTTGTCTTTCTTCAAGAGATTGAGCGACATCACCGTATTTCTCATCTTTTTCTTGGATCTGCTTAACAAGATTTTGTATTTTAGATTCATTCTCATCATTGATCATTTGTAACTGCGAAATTCTTTCATTTAATTTTGTGTTTTCGCTTTTAACGTTTCTCAATTCATCCAAATCTTGTGCGTATTGCTGTGGATTCGCAACTCCATTGAAATGAAGTTCTTGAAGTTGCTGCTCTAGTTCGTTATTCTTGTTCCTTTCATTTGTAATGTCAACAACATATTGATTGAGTGTTTCTGTCTGTTGTTGAAGTTTTTGCTTTAAAATTAATATTTCTTGTTGAACTTGAGAATTTTGGTTTTGCATCTCTTCTGAATCAACTGCATTACGGGAAGCAGCTTCGAGTTTGGACTGTAATTGAGAGATTTCATCTTGTAAATCAGCATTTTTCTGTTCTAATTCAATGAATAAACTTCGACCAAATCTTTCTGATGCTTGACGACGTTCTTCAAGTAAAATCGACTTTCTGTTAAGAGTATCGAGTTGAGGTAATGAAAAAATGATAAAAAGACGAGAAGAATCATCTTGACAAATTTTTGTTCCTTCTAGATCTAATGAAGTAAGATTTGTAGATTTTTGCATGTTTAGTAAGTTATTGCGATCTTCAATTGGATTGTAACTCAATTTTAGAACTTGCAATTTCGCTAATGATTTGATTTGCGATGGTATAGTTGTAATTCCATTATGCGAAAGTACTAAATATTGAAGGTTTGTCATTTTGCATATATCTGAAATGTTTGAAATGCTGTTATAAGATAAATTTAATCTTGTTAGGTTCGGTAATGATAGAAAAGGCTTGATATTTTCAAATCCATGACCTATTAATGATATTTCTCTGATATTTGTATATCTTTTTAGTGGTTCGATTCGAAATATTCTTCCGGCTTTGGGCGAAAAATTGAAAATAACAGATGTCACAGAAGAGCAATCGACTTCTTTAGTGATGTTGTCGATTAACTCATCATTGAAAACAAGATTAGGGATGGGAAAATTACTTTCATTCATTAATTTCAAACGGTCACATTTTTTTCAATGCTAAATTTTCTAAAGGCATCAAGGATATAAAAGTAATGATGCTAGAGCCTTGGCATTCATATGAGATTATGTGCATATGTATGGATATTTATTTGTGAAGTATGCTGTCAATTGTATTAATAGGGATTTGGAGATAAAAATAGTTAAAAATTGAATGAAATACGAATAGGCTTCCTCAAACCTACACAGTTAGTGGCACAATTTTTTTTGGAAACTAGCAACTAGCACGTGTTTTTTTTAAATTTATAATATGATTTATAAGATTGTTTGGCAAATGGATTCAATGAGCATAGATATTTACATAACTTTAAAGTGATATTCACTAAGTTTGTACAAATTTTAGAACTTTAATATCAAAAAGAATAATATACCTATCAATGTGAACGAAAAGATCATTTACTTCTTAGAACTATCATCATTACTCTTCGTACAGCGTCTTATATACCGCTAATTTGTTGGATGAATTCGAACCTGATGTATCAAAAGAAATCAGGAGAATTACCACCAATATTCTCAATGGACTACATCATAATCATGCCATCGAAGTACTTAAAGTATATTCCAGCAAAATGAAGGTTGGTGATACTTAAGTTTACAATTATCGTTGGCCTTTCTTTGGAAATGTCTTCCGTCTTCTACATCGACTGCCAGGCTCCAGTTGCTGACAAGTTCTTCCAGCTCCAGGAGTTCGTTGAGTACCTCCAGTCCCACATGAAGGTCGACAACCTCCGCAAGAACCTTGCTAACAAGGTCACAATCGAAGCTGATGCTGGCGCTAACAAGATTGTTGTCAACGCTTCCGTCAAGTACTCCAAGCGTGCCTGCCGTTACTACGCTCGTAAGTTCCTCGCCAAGAAGGACATCCGTAGCCGCTTCCACGTTATCGCCTCCGGCAAGGATACATACGAACTCCGCCCATACCGTGTTTCCAACGAGTAAACTTATTAGGATCTCTTGGTAACATTTTTAATTTTTTTTTGATAGTATTTTTGATATTTTAATTTATACATTTAACCGGGAATATGAGGCTGCGAAGCACTGCACTCGAGTCAGTACCTCACAGTTTCATATTCCCTTTTTTTATTCCTACCAAAATTAGATTTAATGTGTTTGAAATTAACCCAAAATTTGAAAGCTATATAGTGAGAATGAAATGGTAATAGCTATGTAGGACCACTATATTGACATTGACATTTATTTCCAATTGGATATTGGAGAAACATTCTCCCATTTCTATGAAGAATATGAGCATTTGAGGTACTGATTCTAAACCACTGCTTCATGTATCAATATATCAACTTCTTCAGATAAATTATTTTTCCTAAAATCATATCATTTATTTTTAAAGACGTAACTATTCAAATTTTGTGAATAATTAAAATGAATGACGTAATAATAAATAAATTGATTGATTTCTGGACAGATCCTTGAAATATCACTCCAAATAAGTTCTACTAAAACATTAATTCAACATTTAATATTGGGTAAAAATATAAAAAAACAGTGCCATGATCCAGCCATATTTTCAATTTTTTTTTCAGGCATTTTTAAATGATTCTTAGTCTAGAAGATTCTGAGATTCTTGAAAATTTAGCATCACTATACTATGATATAGCCAATCTAACAGATTCTGGTCTCAATAATCTCTTAGAAAAAGCAAATTATGCCTTAAAATATATCACTCCAAGGCGTCTTACTCATGCTATCGAAGAGATTCTCCTTAATCACAAAAAGTTACTCATATTCATTAAGTTAATCCCATTATTAATGGAAAAATCCGCTTTTCAATTAAATCCTCTGCGATGCAATGCAAAAACAATTGCATATCTCGTTAAAACAAAAGTCATTCAGACAGATTGCCCATTTGCATACGCAAAATATGATTTAAATGACCTTGCAAGAGGAGTCCGTTTAGAAGGTCTTGATGCCATCTTCTACAATGACGACATTGATGCATTCCGCAAACTCTCACTTGTTTTCCAAGAAAAACCACTCGAAATTACCGACGAAAAAACAATGATCGATTTAGCAGCGGAAGCAGGCGCTGTCAAGTGCTTTAAGTTCCTTATTAACAACAAGTTCCCACGTGACAAGTGGATTGGCAAGAAAGTGGCCATGACTAACAAGTTAGAAATTTTAGAAATTTTTGATAGAGTGTTTAAGTTCGATGACGAACAAATGAAATACGCCTTACAAGTTAACAACGACGTATGCGTCAAATACATGAAAGAACGTTGCAATATTAATTATTCCTATTTTCATGCTTTTTATTTTAACAATTTCCACATAATGAAAGAGATATTAATGAATGCTTCAGGACCAGAAGAAAAGGATGCCAGCGGTTTCTCAGTGTTCCGTGGCTGTATTTGCTCAGATTTCGCTCATTTCTTCGGAGTTCTCAGTTTACGAGGCGTAAAGGTCCAAGCAAGCGCCGAAATCCTCGAAGACCTTGTTTCCTACGATGCCTATCAAATATTAAACAGCATGATCACTAAAAAACCTCAGTTAGCGAATGCGAAATTACAACAATCACAAACTCTCTTACATTTAGCCTGCCAAAGGGGTAGCTACGAAGTTGCCAAGATGCTTATATCCCGTGGATGCAGCATAGATGCTATAACTACTTCAGGAGACACAGCTTTGCATTTATGCATTGCAAATAGAACGGAATCTTCGAGCGATATAGCGAGTTTATTGATAGAAAAGGGTATCAGATGCGATATCAAGAACAAATATGGAATGACAGCCTTCCAATTATTAATTGATCTTGGATCTCCCCGAGTTGAGTTATACAAATGCTTCCTTAATAAAGGTCTCAACATAAATCTCCAAGATGGACGAGGAATGACCCATTTAATGTCAGCATCTGAGAAAGGATATTTAACTGTTGTTGAATACTTAATAAAACGCGGTGCAGACATAGAACTGCATGATGCTAACGACGGATCAACAGCTCTCCATTACGCAGCCCACAACGATCACGTAGATGTTATTGAATTACTTCTAAAGAACAAAGCGAACATAGAGACACAAACGTACTACAAGAATACACCGTTCTTCGAAGCCGTAGAGTTCGAAGCCTGCAACGCTATCAGATGTCTTAAAAAACACGGTGCAAAAATGTACGGACTCAACGCTGATGGAGTAACAGCATTGATGGTCGCTACTAGATATGCTTGTTGCAATTCCATTGAAGTTCTCCATGAAATCGGTTATGATTTCAATACAAAAGCTAAAAACAACATGACAGCTCTCGAACTAGCTATAGAAAGAGGAAATTCCAATGTTGTTAGACAGCTTGTTAAGTATGGATCGAAAATAGACATTGTAAGCCAAAGAGGATTTCCTCTTCTCCATTACGCGATCGAATTAAACTTTTTCGATGCATTGCAAAGTTTCGTTGAAGAAGGGAGATGCAACATCGATATTAAAGATCCGGATAATGGTGATACAGCACTTCATTTCTGTCTCAGAAAGAAGAACAACGTAATGTTCGAATACCTCTTGAAGAAAGGAGCAAATCCGAGCATTAAAAATGATAAAGGTATTTCTGTTTTGATGAAATGCGTCCAAGAAAACAATTCTTCGGCTTTGGACATAATCTGTAAATACAAATTCGATCCAAATGAAACAGATAAACAGGGTAAAACACCTTTGTTCTATTTCGTCAAAAATAAAAACGCAAAATACTGTGAATTGTTCTGCAAACGTGGCGCTGAGCCAACAATTGTTGATAAAGCAGGAGGAACGGCTATTCACGAGGCAATTAAATCAAACGCTTCGGAGTGTTTGAAGATATTGGATAAATACAAGAACCAAAAGGTAGAAACAAATAATAATACTAATAATAATGAACCAAAAATTTCTGTAACTCCAATTGATGATCAACAGAAAGTTTGTCTCAATCCAATTGAAGAAAAACCGAAAATTTGCTTGAATCCTATTGAAGAAAAACCAAAAGCTACAGCTCCTCCTGCTGAGGAAAAACCTAAGAATAATGAGCAGGTTTCTTTCAACCCTAATTTGTACATCGAACCTATTTCTGATGGAGATGACGAACCTCCAAAACCAAAGAATAACACTGCTGAAAAAGTGAAGTCAAACAAACCAAAAACTGTGGAGAAAAACGAAGCTGCTAAGAAGCAGAAAGAGGAGACAAAGAGCAAACCTAAAAAGAAACTATATACATATGGACAACGTTACTACCTAAAAGACAAGAAACTTCGTGATCCAAATCACATGAAAAATTAAAATAAAAATTATTTATAGTTTTTTTATATGAAAATGGCTGGTGGATATTATAGTACTTGTAAATTGGAAATGGTCATTTTCCTGTATTTAATATAATGCTAAGTATGATGTTTTGGGAAGATCTTTTGATTGTCTGTATTGATAAGAGTCTGAGTTTGCAGAGAGATAAACATAGAAATATCGTATTCATTTCAATATTTTGCAAAAGAGCATAAACCAACTATCGAAAACCTATGGTACACAAAAGTATCTAGGTGCCAACTTTCAAATGAATCATATATATTACATGAATATTTACAAATTAGTAAAAAATGGACTTCTCATGCTGATTAAAGTGAATAATATTCATCGCTTATGCAGTAGATTTATATTGTATAATCTAGATACTGTTTTATAAATCAAGAAGGGCGGGATTTATTTATAAAAGTGATAATATTTTTTTCATCTAAAAAATGAATTCATCTTCTAGGAGGATTAATCCAATATTTAAAGTTTTGGCTATATTGATACTGATATACGCACTTTATATTTTACCATGTTTCTTCCCATCAATCAGATCTCATTGTTGTTGCCATACAAAGAAACATCCAACACAACCGAAGCAAAATCCATCTAAAAATACACAAGAAAAACAAAATATTACTACACGATATAACGATGATTCAGGAACAGTTGAAAAACTCTATCAAACGGTCAAAAGTTTAGATTTACTTGAGTTAATTAAACAGAAAAATGCAATTGATGAAAAGCTCACGAAATTAACCAATGACCTTAGTAAAATACAAGTGCCAGAACAACAAAAGACTGAAGAAATTCAACGTAAATCTGAAGAAGAAATTATTAAGGAGATTCTCAAAGAAACGAAGTACGAATATGATAACGAGTTACCTCTCGTGCTTACTTCAATCTTTACACCAACCCATAAATATGGAAAATCTCAATTCAACCTTATCAAAGAAAACTCTGCCCATCGTTACAACCAAGGCATTGAACAAAAGGATGGAAGATGGTGTGTCAATGATGAACAAGCTAATTTCTCTTTCTGGACACCTTATCCACTTTGGGGCTTGTATTTCAGCGTTTCTTTCGACAAAGCTGGCCAAGAAGGTAATGCAAAGTCAATCTTCTTCGAATTACTATTAGATGACAAGATTGTCTTAAGAACAGAACCAATTCAAGTAAATGGAAATATTTTAGAGAAGGAACTTCATGAGCCAACAAGATTCAATAGACTAAGAGTCATTGCATCTAATGATAATGATTCTAAAGTATGCATCGGCAATGTTTCTGCTAAAACTGTTAAAAAACCAATTATTGACGCACAGAACTCTGATTTGTAAGCCATTTTATAATGTTTTCACTACTTTAGTTAATACTAATAAAAATTGTTCTTTTTAAAACTAAATTAAATCATTATTCTGAAAATTTAAAAAATTTTAATCGATTTAAGAGCATTTATTTCAACTATCAATGAACTAGAGATTTCGGATATGAATGCGAAGTTTTTACATGAAGAATAACATTTTTCAAGGAACTCAACAAATTAATTTAGAAAGAATATGTTTTTATTTAAGGCTGCACTTACGCCCATTTGACATTAATTTAAATTTTTGACAACTGGCGTGAAGCGTCATTGAATTTTAACCTTAAACATCTGAATTGAAGGCCGTGTCATAGGGGCGTAAGTGCACCCTTAATTGAATATTCATGTAATTAGTGCTTGTGCATTATACATGATAGAAGATAGTGCTATACTTTGAGATGAATGAAAAGTGCCAAAAATTCCTCAGAAGATCAAAAACATAACAATTAATGTAAAGCTCCTGTAGCGAAATGGATATCGCGTGTCCCTCCTAAGGATAAGACTGTGGGTTCGAGTCCCACCTGGGGCTATTTTTTTAAATTTTTATTATATTTTTCATTTCATTTCACTAGGTGTCGAATTTTCATGAAGAAGAGGGAAGACATGTATAAAACATTTCCTGCTATAGATTAATTCATCTAATGTATTCACATAAATAGTATACCATTCGAATAAAAGCTTTAATTTTCAAATTTGATTGAACAATCATTATTAAAGCAGAGTTCATGCAGATTGAAATCATTAAATTTGAAAATATGAAAGTATGTCATAGCATTCAATGAATAGATTGATTTTAACTGAAATTTAACATCGAGCATTGAAAAATCCTGACAAACTTACAATTTTAGGCATGCGATAGCTGAAATCCAAGCTAACTATGGATCAAATAACTAAATCAGATACTAATTAAATAAATCATACAAAGTTGTGTATGAGAGGATTGCGCTTAAATTAAGAGAAATAGAGTTATAGTTCAATAATTCAGATGCCCGAAGTAATGATAATTTTGTGAGATCTGAAAGAATCTTGGAACGGAAACAACAGAGTCAATTCCTGGCCTTTCATCAAAATTCATAAAAAAAAGAAAGAAAGAAAAAAATAGCCCCAGGTGGGACTCGAACCCACAGTCTTATCCTTAGGAGGGACACGCGATATCCATTTCGCTACAGGAGCTTTACATTAATTGTTATGTTTTTGATCTTCTGAGGAATTTTTGGCACTTTTCATTCATCTCAAAGTATAACACTATCTTCTATCATGTATAATGCACAAGCACTAATCACATGAATATTCACTTAAACAAAAACATATTCTTTCTAAATTAATTTTTTGTGTTCCGAGAAATATGCTATTCTTCATATATAAAACTTCGCAAACAAATACATACTAAGTTAATATTTATTAAACAAACAATTAAAGAAATAGATTTCCTCGAATAGATATCAACATTTCAAAAACAGAAGGAAGTTTTGAGAAATCTTCAGCTGTTTTGAAGCAAGATAGATAAAATTCGACGATATCAGCTATTTCCCCAAATGGCTGCAAAACATTTGTTAAAACTTGCTGCAAACTTTCAAAATTTGCTTTGCAAGCGGCAGCCATCATTGAATAATAAGAAATAGGGAGTACAAATCCTTTGTTTGGATCAATTCCTGGTGAAATCAAGAAAGAATGAAGATTTTCAAGCAAAGAAAATGGATCAAAGAATTCAATTGGATGGGAAATGACGTTCTGTATGAATGAACAAATAGAATTAAAAACAGAATTAATAGTGTCGTGCTTTGTCACAAAATTTTGAACAAATTCAATGAAAATCTGTGCGATATCTTGATGCAAGTACTTGATGAACTTCGAACCGCAATCTATGTATCTTGAAATCGCTTCTTTTGCATCATTTTGGTCAATTATCGCTGGATTGCAAGATTCATACTCAGGAAGCAACGAATTGATAAGAGAATTCGTCATTTGGCTGAATGTTTCATTAATAAAATCTTCTGACAGCACAATTTGTTTCAGTTTCAAAAGATTGTCAATATCTTTCACAGATACCTCATAAAACTGCATAAGAGCAGTTGCGCAGCCCTTAAGAGTGCATAATACAAGCTCTCGGTTAGATAAAACTTGATAAAGTTCAAATCCAATATCTCCAATTTTTGGAAGATAAGATAATATATTTCCGATGACCCTATCGTTTTCTCCAGACACTTCTACGCATTTCATGAGGAAAGCTGCAATCTGAGAAGAGATATCTGGTCGATCAATCGGATTATTTCTCGAAGAAAGGAAAGAAATCGCAGAAAGTATTGATTCAATCCTTATATTTTCATTTTCTATCTGAAAAACAGCTGACAATGCAGGCAAACAACTGCATAAGATGTCTGGTTGGTTTGCCATCATGTTTTCCTTAGATTCGATGATGTGGACAGCGATACTACATAAATAATGGTCCAGTGTCCTCAACAGACCAAAGATCATCTTATGTTCTGCGTCATCTGCAACAATTTGATGTCCACACTTGTTTGTGAAGGCCAAGAGTAGATTAGATGTGGCATAGAAGGCATCACATTTGGTTTCTGATATGTTAATCAATATTGTTGCACAAGATATAAATAATTTTGAAATTTGTTCTGAAGAATAAAAAGTTGGAATGGTAAGTACAGTTGCAAAGTACGTAGTAAACAATAATTGCTGTGTTTCATCTATTGCTGAACCCCATGTTTCTGGATTTAGCATATTATTGTAAGAATTTATAAAATCATTGTATCTAGTGTACATATTAACGACTTTGTACTTCAAAGTTGTTGCTCTATAGATCCGTAGCACTTGAAAACACAAAGAATCAATGCAAATGTCTTCAAGAGGAGATGAAAAATTAGTATTTAAGAATTCATCGAAAGTTTCAGCAGTTGCCATCAAATTTGCAACAAAACATTGCTCAATTAGGTTTAAAATGGCCCAAACATGCTTCGGAGGCGTAATATAACTTATCATATGGTTAATTTCGTTCAAACACGCGATGGCAGCAGATGCAACTGGTCTTATATACGATTCTGGGTCTTTTAGTATTATGGAATGAAGGGAACTCGCAATGTTGTAAATTATTATTTCATCATTACACTGAAAATAAGGAATGATAAGAGATTCAGTGATAGAACCAAGAAATTCCATGTCTTTTTGATTCAAAAGTACTAAATTATATATAAGATATGATGCTTGGATTATTGACTCAGTTTTTGTTAGTTGTGGTAGTAAATTGAAGATTTGAAAGTCTTCTGTGTATAATTTCTGCTTTGTTTCTAAAGGAATTGATGATTTTAATACATATCTAAGAGATTCTAAAATATAAGGCTGTAAATCTTGATCTAATAGATTATCTGTTAACACATTGATATAGTCATTGCTAGAAATCCATTCGTTCCTGAAAATTACTGTAAAAAATCCAAGAGTTGCGAATGATAATGGAATTTTTAAAGTTAAGCCGTGAGTGATTAGATTAAACATAGCAGTTGTAATATCGTATGAATTTAGAGTATTAATGAATTGCGTATAAGTAGATAATCGAAAAAAATGAACATTATAAATTAAATTGCAGAGACAATATATAAAATTAATGGCAATTTCGATATGATCAGTATCAAAGAAAGTCTCTTCAAACAAATTTGGCCATATTTCCGGGAAAGTATTCATTGCATAAATTACTTGAACTTTTCCAATTAGTTTTTGAATATCGAATGAGTATGATTTGAAGTTTTGAACACACGTGCTATAGATAAATGATCTTATTTGTTCGAGAATTTCGACATTTTCAAGTAATTCGTTCCATCTACTTGTTAAATTGACGCAAATATTATCGAGGATGAATTGTTTAGATTCGTCTTTTGTTAATGAGTGAAATAACTCAATTGATTGATCAATTGCTAAATATGAAACGCAAATTTCTTGAAGACTTTGTAAAATTTCATTTCGGCGCTGTGTATCTAATATACTTGGTATATTGCTTGAAAATGATAGTATTAAATCAATTGATTCTATAGTTTCTGCATCCATTCAATCGTTCAAAAAATTTTATGACAATTTTTTTTGTGCATTTTACACAGTCTGTATTACTATATATTAACATCCTGCTAAAACCAGTAAAATGCGGTCAATCCACATCACCACATCAATCAATCTCAAGAAATTAATAATAATTATGCTCATTATACATGATAACCTGTTACATAATTGGTATTATATGCTAGATATGCGATAGTGAATAAATATAGCATTATAATTCAAAGCAAAAGTAATAATTTATCAAATATTTTTAAATTTTTTATTCAAAGATAACAAAAAAATGGGATAATGCAAATAGTGGAAATGAATAAAAAACAAATTTGTTAATAGATTTGCAAAATGATGTAATATTTCCAAAAACTTCAATTCCAACAAATGATAATTCAGAAGTTCCACAAGAAACTTTACCAACACCTGTAATTCTCAAATATTTCAAAATCCTTTCTTCTGGAAAAACGTAATCTCTAATCGTTTCAGTTACGCAGTTACAATCGGAACCACTTTGATTACAAAACGGAATATTAGTATCCATAACTTTTTTATAATTTATTCCATCCAGAGATGAATCAATGACACTGGCATTGAGATATCTCAAATGGAAACCATCTTTTATCTTAATTTTTTCAACATTCACGTAAAACTTAGGAAAATATAACGTGAACGATTGTGGTTCATTTCCCGGTGAAGCAAATTTATCTGCTGAATTCCAATTTAAAGCATATGAACATGTAAATTGGGATTGAAGGTTGGAAGCATTGCATGAAATGTCACCATTCTCAAATCCCCCGTTCTGCATAAGCATGGAAACAATTTGAATTCTTTCAATTTCTCATAATTAAAAATGTCACTTTTTATTTCAAATCTATTTTGTTTGAGATGACTAAATTTATGTTGAAATAGAACAAATATTCATCCTTTTGAAATAGAAAATATGACAAATCCGACTATGAGAGGTGTTCGTAGTACATTCATGTAACATTTGTTGCAATAATTCAATACAATAATTTTAATTTGCAGAAAATAAAGGTAAACCTATATAATATTTAATGGGCGTATTTTGTGTCTTGGGGATGGCCATCAAAATGCCACCTGAAAAATTATTTTCATATTTTTGGCCTATAATGCAAGAAATAACTAGATACAATGAGAATAATGCGTTGTATTAAAATAATTTAAGTTCTTTGTCGAGGTTATTTGATTGAAAAAAATATTATCGAAGTATTTGCTAACCAAAATAAAGTGCAACCACCTAGCGGTGATCCACCTATATGTTTTATCATATTACAAATCTATTTATAATGTCAAGTCAGATATAACTGTTATCAAAGTTATGAAGATATTTAACTTGGTAAATCTTGAGATTACTGACCTGGCATTATATCATTACTACTTCCTTGGCTAAACGAGTCTTGAAATCAATCTTCAAAATTTTAGTGTCCAAATTATTATCAAGTTATGTCATCGTTAATATTCCTCGATTTTATTGAATTAGTTAATTACATGATATACTTGATAATTTGAACATTTATTTCAAGTTTTATTTTTTACCATCTCTAACCCCATTCAAAAAAACCATTGAATAATGTTTTTTTCTCTCAAAAAATGTAAAGTTCACAAAGTTAAAGGCTAGTATTCAATTATCGATTGCAGAATTGAGAGACTTTTTCCATAAACAAGTCACAAAATGTCATTATTCATTCTTGAGTCATCACTCTCGTAATGTCTAACATCAATCAAGCCATGCAGTTTAAGCAACAAGAACCAAAGCAAAAGTTTATAGCAAAGCGTCCATTCACTCCACAAGAGGATCAAATCCTTATTAAATTCTTCATGGCAAACGGACCACACAATTGGTCAAGTCTTGCGAACGTTTTACAGAGTAGAACACCAAAACAATGCCGTGAGAGATGGCATAACCATTTAGATCCAAAAATTAATAAAGGACCATGGACACATCAAGAAGACATCATTCTCGCTCAAAAGCACTCCGAGTTGGGAAACAAATGGGCCGATATTGCCAAGTTTTTACCAGGAAGAACAGATACATTAGTGAAGAATAGATGGAATACATCAGTTAAGGCTAGAGTTAATGAACTTCTTTATAACAAGCCAATGTGCAAAGTACAAACTAATGACGATTCTTTCAATAATTGGCTTACTTCCTTAACTTTACCAAAGAAGTTCGATATTTCCTTCTTAAGCATACCACCGTTGATGCAAAAGACATCTGTTCAAGTATTTTGAATTATTTTATGTTTGCATTTTTTTTTATTTGTTTATTTCATGTAAAATTATATATATTAATCTATTTATATTTTAGAAAGGACCATTCCAAGACGTATACTACTAAAAACAATGATTAATAGACCCTTCAATTTACACAAAAATTTAATGAAATTTACAGATCGAATTCTTTGTGAATAAATAAATTATCCATAGGAAGTAAAACTGAACTTCCGGGAATAAGCCTCACAATTGAAAGAAATTAATTTCAAATCAAATATGAATTTGAACAGCATTAAATAATAAATGTCTACGAATTGCATATTTCAAGCTGATCAATATCAAAGGTACATTCACTATTTTTGACAAAATTTTAAATTTTCATGGGGTTGTAAATCTTATAATAACTAGATGAATAAGGAATAAATCCCAGTATGATGTGCATCATTATATTAAACACTATATGTAAGCCTTGTAATTCTATTAACACTTATGAAGATCTATAGTATTTGAGCAGATAAATTTGATAATTTCCAAAACTCTTATATTTCAAAATTAAAGTGTGCGAATGCATTTAAATGAGAGCAAAAAGAGAATGATGCTGTTAAAACTAGGTGTTAATTTCCAATTATTTCGCATCACAAGAACTACCCAGTAAATTCGGCTATCTTTCTTTGCAATTATTTTCTATTTTACATATATTATAATGGTTAGGGTTTGAAGAAAAGTTACTAGAGAATTATTGATTTTTGAAATAATGCAGAATTTTACTTGAAGAAATCATTAATTTATGAGCTCCAAATTGCTAACCATGACGAAGAATCATTAAATTTGCTACAATTAAATACATTTATTGCCGAATTAAGATTATTGAAATTAAAAGTTTGAAATATTGCCTTTTTGAATAAAAATTTAAATTTGATTATATAATCATGATAATATATTATTGAAATTAAAAGAAAATATTTTAAACCATTCAAATATTTTGAATGTCTTATCAATTTAAAATATTAAAAGATAGCTTGATTTTATCATCATTAGTTGTTATCAAAGTTTTCTTCTTTTGATGAACAACAGTAAATGATTTGTTAATACATTGTCTTCCTTTTTCGCAGCAAAATCAAAAGTTATGATGATAATCTTGTACTCAATTTTGAAACTCTCTGATTTACAAGTAAGCATTCCTTTGGAAAAGCAGTCCTATTCTGTTTTCAAGATATTTTAAAGCCCCTATTTCATACAATGTGCAGATCTATTCGAAATTGCAAGAACTCTCAAGAAAAAATGCAGCAGCAAAGAAGATTCCAAAGTTTCTAGCATCAAAAATTTACAACCTTAATACAACAGTTAAAGAGAAGCTCGATAAGAAAATATTTAACCATAACGCTGGAAACTATTCGATATCTACTATTGGATATAATAAAAAGTTAATTGTAACATATTTTACATGCTATTTGCTGACTCTGTTCCATTATATTACCATATATATCTTTTTGAAATCTAAAAAAATTTTACGATTTTAACCATGTGTTGTTGAAATCATATATCAATCTTAGCTAAAGTATAGTTTATGAGTCTGTCACCAACTAATGTATGAATTTTCAAAAATGTCAAATATGTTCATTTTTTCTGTATATTCAGCCATAATTTCATGTATTTATACTATTCAACTATTATTTAATATTTTTATCGATTTAATTATATGATAAGATGCTTAGTTCTCCCGGAAAACGATTTTTAATCACAATTTTAACTTTCCAAAAAAATTCGAAAATAAAAATTCCTCACAATTTTCTAAATTTTCTAACTAGCCAAATCTCTAGCCAAATTTTTTTGGCCCGTATAAATATTGTTAGGCACTATATAGGGATGCTATTTATCCTATTTTCATCCCATTTTACTGTTATCGCCTAGTGAATGTACCTTTTCAATATCATGCAATTATGATTAATTTTTAAATTTTTGTCAAAAAAATCGACTTTACAAAAAACGTCAAAAATAAAATTTATGTCACTTTTTCCATGAGGGGCAAATCTCATCAAATGCTCGTTCACATTGATGGGAAACGCCCCTATTGCGTTATGGTTGAAACGCAAGTTGTAAATAGTCAACTAATTAATATAGCAACAACTGCACTTCAAAGATATAATTCAATTCACTGCACAACATATGATATTTCACAAATTTCAGTTTTCCTCATTGATGAAAATGACACCGTTGAAATTCCTGTTGATAAATTTGATCAAAATCCAGAAAATTTTGAAATGGTTTTAAGACTTCCGGATTTTGAACCATTACAACATAAAATTAGCATTGATCCTGATGATGAACTCAAATACATAGAAACTGCGAATGAATTAAAAGAAAAAGGTGATTATTTGTCTGCAATAACAATGTCTACTTATTCTCCAGGAAATTATTCAAAATTATCAACAGAATACAAAACCCTCATATATTCAAATCTGAAAAGCTGCGAAACAAGAAATTTTAGACTTTTGGCGCCTCCAAAACTTCAATTTACTCAATTGCTTAGAAAATGCGAAGAAAACTACGATAATCTAATGCTCTTTAGAATGTACTGTCAAGAATTAGCCAAAGACAGTCCTTTATTAGTTATCAAAATAATTTTTAATTATCCAGAGACTTTGAAGCTTCTTCCTGAGTTTACACAGAAAATTGAAGATTTCGAATATGCCCTAAACGAAATCAAGCAAATCAGCGTAACTCCTGCTTGTCTAAAATATATTTCAGATATTTACTTCAATTATGGCATGATTGAGTATTCATCGCAAATCTACAGATCAATCGATATAATTACAAACAGTTCTGATGAAGAATTCAGAGCTTATTGTTGGAAATTATTTTTATTACACGATATGCCAAAATTACATCAAGCACTTGTCAGCTTTTTCCGTATTAATAGGAATATTAGCATAGGCGTGCTCAATTTCGATCGTGTTTACCAACTTTTGTGTGATTTGTATACAGGAACATCAACTTTTGATTCTTCGATGAATATTCATTACCAAACAGTTCCATACGAATCACGGCCTCATTTGTGCCATATCTGCTATATTGCGGGACTTTGTCTGTTTTATTGCGGAATGTACGACCATTTTTTCTTGATTTTCCAATGCGATACCGGAATCACTTTTTCTGAGCTGAATAGACTAAAACCGTCGGCTAGAGAATGGAAAATCGGAAAATCCATTTTAATTAACCAAGGATGGGGTTGTGAGAAGCTTCCAAAGGACAGAATGAATTGTGTATTAGCTGAGTATCAAGCATTCAAGGATAATTTTGCTTCTTATCCGATTGTTCGCCCTCATGATACTTATTTGCTTTCCCACGTCTCGTTTTATGAGATTGCGGCACCGGAACCATGTTTTGGAAAGAGGTGCTTCTGGAATTTAGTAGAAACGGCCAGCCAATACAATACTTTAACGATAATGAACGGAAGATATGATTATAAAACGATTTTGCCGCATTTGATACAAAATAGAGTATTCTCGTCTGTTAGAGCAGCATTGGATGTTATTGCTAATAGCGTTTCTACTGTTTTTGCGCAAATTCACGAAAAATATCCAAATCTTAAACTTGTTTTTGTTGAATTAGCTGGATACATCGATGAAGCACAAATAACAGATCAACTAAATTGCTGTATTCGAGCTGTTTTGCCTGAGTACGTCCAATTTCTTGAACAATCAGCAGATTATGAAAACGCTGGTGATCCGTCAATGTATTATGGAAAGTGCTTCATGAATACATTTGTTTGAATTGTTTTTGTTTTGTTTATAAATAGATTTTTTAAAAAATAATATATTTTTTTCAAATTATTTCAATATTCAAACTCCAAAAACACAACTTTAGCTTTCCATTTTTATTTGGAGGTCTTTTAATGGTATTTATGGAGCATGCTTCATAGTCATTATTTAAATTTTTGAATCGAACTCAGATTATAACAATATTATCAAAATAAATATAGTATTATAAGAAAACATTCATAAGACTTATAATTTCTTTTAATCTTCAATAGCAGCATTAAAAACTATTTAAAATTTTGAGTAGCAACTTTTTTTTTCTGTAATGCATGAAAATTCGGTTCAATTCATTTTTGACACTTTACATATCGGATGTATTATCTAAGAATTATATTATAAAATAATAATTTTGTGTTTTATAAGTTTATTTGTATAAATTGATTCAAAAAAAAAATGGAAAGACAAGAAGTGGATCTGCCAAATGAAAATCAGAACTGATTGCACCCAAGTTTTTGAACTTTATATATATTTATATAAAATCTTCAGTTTTGCAAACTGAAATGTAGAATTGTTGTTTGTTGAAATCTCTAAATGATATTTCTTTTTAATTTTGTATATTCACGATTTTAATTCTAATTTCATTTTTGATCACTGCATATGCTAGAGTTTACTAAACCTATACTTATCCCTATTAAGCATCGTTTTAAAGTTTCTTCTTAAGTGACTATGACAATACGGGCAGAAATGAAGCGAGCAGTAACTCTAGGATAAAAGAAATAGAATATTCATGCTTTTTGTGTGACTTCATTTCCATTATTATATTAAAAAGGAAAATTAGCAGACAATTATTACAAAAGAACATTTATGTTAAAATAAATTATTTATAAATCATATGTACTGAATCTAGATAATTAAATATAAATTTTTTCAATCAGGCAATTTGAGAATAAATTTGAAAGCAAACTTAAATTGTAAATCATTGAAAAAGCAAAGTTATTATTTTGTATAAAAATAAAATTGATAGTTGCGAACAGCCTGTGTAGCTCAACCGGATAGAGCATAAGACTCTTAATCTTGGGGCTGCGGGTTCGAGTCCCGCACTGGCTCTTTTTTCTTTTGTCATCTTTTTTTCTGAAGGTTCTCAATTTTTGTGAGCGAAAATCTATCTTGGAAGATTCTTTATATATATACGGATATTTCATTTAAGTTTTCAATGTCTTTTTTAATGTTATAACTAATTCAGATGGCTGAACAAATAAAACAAAATATTCTTCCTTGAATTAAAGTAGATTTGAAAAATATCGCAATCAAGTTATTATAGTGTTAAAACAGAGCTAATAATTTTATTTGAATTATAAAATATATATGTCCAAATACAAATTTTCTTAATTTTCATAGCCACCCATAATAGCCTTACCAATTGGGTGCTCAGTAACGAGGAGGCGTAATTCGTTAGCAGCCTTCTTGCATTCTTCGCTTGTATCTTTGCTGATAATATTTGAAATCACTTCTGGCATGTTTGGATCTGTTGCAATCATCTGCTTACCATCCTTTGGAACTGCAAGAAGACATAGCAAAGATAGAGCTGAGAGGCGAACGCTTTCATCTTCAGAAGTTAAATATGGCTGAATTGCAGGTAAAATTTCAGCATTTAGCAATGCAATTTTACCACGATGGCTTGGATCCATTGCGATATTGGATGCAAGGATAAATGCTGATTCTCTTAATTTGATATTGGAAAATGATCTAACGAGAGCAAGTAAGAAGTCGCTGTTATCAATCAATGGTACACGGATATTTTGCTTGTTAGTCAAACGAGAAAGTAACCTGAATCCTTCAAGAAGGAAATCTGTATCGCAGTCACGAGAAGCAACTGCAGCAACAAGTTGAGAAGGAACTGATCCTGATTGGAATGGAACTTCAGGACCAACATATTCGGCTACTGAACGTAAAAGTCTTGCTGCTTCTGTTCTAATTGGCTTTTCAATATCTGGATGGACAAGTTCAACGATACGTGGGACATCTTCTAATAATTTAACAGCAAGATCTTTCGTATTAATAAGACTGTTGAACACGACAAGTGCATTTAATAAAAGGCCGTTTGGGTTTTGCATTAAAAATGGCCTTAAAATATCAAAAATTCCAAGCATATCTGCTTCATGCTGTCTTCCTGGGATAACTTCTGTAAGTAACTGAAGAGCTTTGATTTTACTTGATTTTGGTGCTTGTGGATTTGAAAGAATTTCAAGCATATGGCTAATTTCGCGGTGTCTGAGTCCAAGCGTTGGCTCAAATGGATCCCATTGCTTTTGTTCTGGTGCTGTTCCTGCCTGTTCCATTTTTGAAATAACGTACATTTTCAATTTCCAAATTTAAATAAAAGCATATATTCAGGTACAGTATTGCGTTTTTAATTTAAATATTTTCTTAAAAAATGTCGAGATGCTGTAAATGAACAAGATTTTTGCTCAATCTCTTTCTGCAAGTCCAATGTTGGATTGAGAATGTTCATCGTCTCTACACTTTAGTTTCTTGCTCACATTTTCAATATCATACCAGAAGGAGTTGACATGGAACTTTCCTATGTCAACGAAGCAATCAAAGATACAGTATCTGCAAATACATTGACACAAGACTAAATCGAAAAAGAGAACTTTATTTAGGAACATTCCGCCGGTAAAAATCCTTCCACAAGGTCAACCAATAAGAATTCAAAAAGGATGATGACACAAACGGCCACATGAACTTTGATGCATCATTCGCAAACTTAAGTGCATCAATATATATCAAATCAAGAACACTGTATTAATAATATGATATATTTACTAATACTTGTTGTTGTGCAATTTGTAGTCAAAAAGAAAGAGTGAATGTATATATTTATTTGAACATTTTTAACATTATCAAAAAAACTAAACAAAAACTATTAATTACTTGGAAGATCTGGTACAGCTTCGCGGATCTCAGATTTGAATGTTTCCAGCATCGGAGGTAAGTAAGAAGGAATGCCGATATCATCATAAACGGCACCTTCTATTTCGCATTTTCCGAATCTTTCAACAAACTGCTTAAGGTATGGACATGTTTTGATTGTAGAATAAATCTGAGTGCGCTTTGTATCAACCTGCTTCGGGCTCTTATTCTGTAAGAGATCAGAAATTTCTTGAACAGGGACTCCATCAACTCTTTTCTCAAGTAGGAATCGTAATTCTCCCATGGACCATGTCTTTGTTCTTCTCGTCTTCTTCAACAAAACGCAAACGTAATACAGCAAAAATGCAATATATCCGCCTTTAAACTGAGGAAGTCTACGTGAAATAAGTGTCCAATTACCATTTTCTTGGTAATAAACTTTGATTGCTTCGATTATATCAATCATTTCTGTTAATTGCGATAATTGCTTAACTTCATCGCTATATGTCCTTTCCTTAAGAATATCTTCCATAATAACTTGTGGAATTTGAAGATCAGAGCGTTTTCCTGATTTCATTTCGTATAATAAATTCTTAAAGTGTGCAGCGATGGCTTTAGGACTTCTGTTAGGAAATGACTTCTTGATGTACTCCCATCTGTTTGCATTACGAAGTTTTGCTTCGGCGTAGAGGTTAACTAAAAGCTGATCTTCATGGAATGGCCAATTTGTTCTGGAATGTTTCTCATCGGATACAAGATTTGTTGAATCTGTAAGAATATCGCCTATTTCTTGTTGTTCGAGGCTTTCTTCTTCTTCATTTGGAGATGAAGATTTATTTGCATCTTGTGGATCAGAAACAAGTTTCTGGACGAGCTTAACTATCTCTTTCTTGAATTGAGGCATAATTGACTTATTTTGTAAAGCTTCTTGAATAATTTTTTCATCTTCAACATTCTTTGGTTTTTTATAGATTTGGATCATTAATTCTGGGAGATATGATGGAATTCCATCTTCTGTGTAGCCAGGTGGGAATTGGGAACAATCAGGGTATTGTTCTGCAAATTGAGGAATAATCCATGATTTTTTGAGGGTTCGTCTTAAAGCTTTGCGATGATCTTCACTTCTGCTGTTTTTATGGTAAGTTATGGCATCAATTTCACGAAAACTATGACCAATGGCTGCCATTTCGATTACAAATCTATTTTCCTCCATTGACCAACTGTTCTGTGAGGAAATTCTTTCAGTAACTGTGCGTACCATCCAATAAAGCACAAATTCCAAGTAGCCAACGCTGAATTGTGGAAAATGTGCTTTGGCGGCGTAAACATTGCAGTCGTTTTCTAAGTAGATTCGTGTTAAAGCTCCAACATCAAGAGTTACATCCTGCGGAAGTGATGCATTTAATCGTTGAATGTATTCATGTAGGGATACATCAGGGGTTAATCTTTCGATGTTATACTGGGCCTTTTTCAATGCTTCTTCTTTCACAGTGCGGGGGTCAATTTGTAATTGCATATGAGCAGAGTTCTTTTGAGACCCACCTTGCTTGGATTTCTTAGCCAATTTAGTTGACAAAAGGCTGAATGCTTTTGAAAGATCGTAATTTGTTTCATGCAATGCCATGACTGAGTTTTGTTGAGTAAAACCTAATTCTCTAAGTACTTGAACATGGCGTTCCAAGTTTTCTGGGATATTTTCTTCCTGCTGCTCAACTCGTGGGGCTGTTTCTGGGAACTTGCAGATAAGAATGTAATTTTCATCATCTTTTCTCTCATAAACTGTTTCGCTATCTTCTAATAAAATTTCGTTATCATAAATCATTATATGAGAGGGAGGAATCATTGTGATTTTTGAAATCGTCTGCTTGATGCTTCCAATCAATATTTCCTTATCCACGTCGATTGAAATTATTTCATCAATTGGCGCTTCAAGTTTCAACTTCATTTTTTGGCGCCAAAGTGTCACTTTTAAATTCAATTTTTTCGACTTAAAATATCCAATATTTTTCAAAGGGCATAGCTGATAGAAATATTCATAAGTAAATAATGGCAAAAATTTCTAGCCCAATTTTCACTTTTACATTTTGATATGGACTTTCTACATCCTGTGACCTTATAAGGCCTCAATTCTTAAAAATGGCTGGAAATTAGTGGAAACACTACTATAAAACTTATGGAATTGCCGGAATTTATTGCCAAAATTATATTTCTTCAATTTATGTGAAATAGAAATTAATTTTATCAGCGTGCCTGTTGTGTATATTAAATTCTGGATTACTATAGGAGTGTGAAAGACTTAAGAAATTTTAATTTAATCTCTTATATATATATGGAAGGATTTTTATCACTAATATGGTACAATACACAGATAGCATTTAGTTTGATGGAATGATCTTTCATGTTTATCATGCGATATAGTTTTTAAGATTTATAAATATTTATTTTGAAAAAAAAAAGATAATCAGTATTCTTTTGATTGTATTAATTGGCTCCAATAGACATTAGATATTCTTTTACATTGCGATCTTTTGCATAAGAGAGCGCGGTTTTTCCATCTTTATCGACTGCATTCTTATCAGCTCCAAGAGAGATAATATATTTAACAAGTTCAAGTTCCGAAGACATTGATGCATACATCAGCGGTGTTCTTCCTATATCATCCTTGTCATTTATATTGCATCCGAGTGAGACAATGTATTTAAAAGTGTCGAGGTTGGCCATTCTTGATCCTTCAATGATTAGAGTTCTTCCATCATTAGTCTTTGCTACTTTATTAGCCCCAACTGAGATCAAATACTTAATGACTTCATGATGGCAAAAAGCTGTGGCACTAAGTAATGGAGTAAATCCCTTATCATCTGCTGCTTCTATGTCAGCTCCATTTGAGATAAGATACTTAACGATTTTAAGTTTACCATCTTGTGATGCAAGATTGAGCGGAGTATCCCCATTTTTATCCTTTGCTTCTTGATTGGTTCCTTTTGAGATTAACATTTTAACTAATTCAAGTTTGTCATCGTTTATTGCATAATGGAGTGATGTCTTTCCATAATTATCAGCTGCATCTAAATTAGCACCGGCCGAGATAAGATACTGCAGATATTGAACAACATCAGCACGATTATACGATACTGCAGCAGCTGGTGGTGTATATCCATCCTGATCCTTTGCTTCTAAATTAGCTCCGATTGAGACAAGGTATTTGACAGTATCAAGCATACCTCTAAATGCAGTAATAAGTGGAGTTTCTTTGCGGGAATCAGTTGATTCTTTGTTGCATCCGCGCTCAATGAGAGATTTCACACCTGCGATGTCTCCGACAATAGCCTTTAAATGAAGTTGTTGTTCCATTTCATTTTGGAAAGTGCTTGCGTACTGTGAGTATTTAGGAATATATGGTTGTTGAGCATATTGGTTGGGGTTTGTTAACTGTGAGGAATTGTGATCAGGTAGATATGGCATTTTGGTAGCTTGATATGGCTGATAAGTTTGCTAATAAGTTGGCTTTTTATTTTTAAGAGAATCAAGTTCTGATTGAAGTTTTTGGATTTTTTCCTTTGATTCAGATATATCTTTCTCTGTTTGTTTAAATATATCAATGGCTCTATTTAATACTTTCATCTTCATGTATTTTTGGATTAATTTAAGTATTGAAATTGCTTCTTCAAAGTTATTAACTGATACCTTAGCATTTCGAGCACAGTTATATAACTTACTAGCTTTTATTGAATGTTTTGATTGCTTAAGAAGAGTAGTGAAGTCTTCTAAAGTTAAATTGGCGATTTCGAGTATTTTTCGTATGTCTTCCGCTTCGAAAGTATCGAATAGTTTATTGTCTTCAAAGTAGTCTTTGATATGAGCTGCAGCATATTCAAAATCTTGAACAAGCTCTGAACTCATCAAAAATAATTTATGATATCAGATTGTGAGCTTTACAAAATCTGCAAGGCAAATTTTGCTCCGCTCACAATCTGAATTATGAAGTTCATATTATGAGCCTAATTGAAAACCGTTTCACTTCATTCAATTTTTCTCATAAATGATTCTGATATTCAAAAGTTAATAAAAAAATTTCAGAACTTTGAACGTTTTTGAAAATTTAAAATTTATTATATCCGAATCTATTATCTTAAATGATATAATTAAAACACACTATGGTTTTAAATTCCCCTTTAATTCAAATGTGTCAAATTATAATGAATTCAAGCAGAGATCGTATTCGATTATTATTAAACCTCATTCATGTAAAAATTGAGAAGAAAATTTGACATTTCTTTATTTTTCTTCCTTTCGTATTATTCTTACTATTTTTTGTTGTTATATGATACATGTATTATTTCAATATTTATTTTACCAAATTTCCAATAGACCCGACCCAATTTTTTTTGACAAAAATTTGTTATTAAATTATTTTTTTTAATCACTTCTATACATTTAGCATCCAAAAATAAATAACAAATAAACGATAGTCTCGATTTTTCATTCAATTAAATGAATGCTGTATATTTTGAAATGCTCAGAAAAATTGAGAGGCTAAAAGAAGTTTATCGTTTTTCGCTTCAATCGCGAATACTTATTTTGCTACTATTCCGATTGCTCTTTTTCAAATTTTGCTAATATTTTTATATGATACTTTGACATCCTATTATTTCAAATTATAGAAAAATCTTGAAAAATTGGCGATTTTCCGATTTTGGAAGAGGCCCAATCAAAAGTTGTTATTAGATGATATTTTTTCAATCATCAAAATCTAATATTTCCTAAATTTCGTAATTATTTAATTAAAAGAAAAGCCATTATTTTAAAATTTCGATGCTTGGATATGCATTCTTATATGTTTGTGGATAATTTTAAAATAAAAATACAATTTAAAACTTAAAAAAATTCAATTTTTCAAAATATCTTTTTAAAAGTATAGTATGATAACTATATCCATTTTGTTTAAAATGCACTATGTTTTTAGTTGAATATATTTCATAATTTTTCTATTTTTAAATATTATGTCAGAGTAAAATGAACAGATATCAGTATTGATATAAACCGTTATTCATAACATATTATTCAAAATAGAATTTATCATTACAATGACAATTTTAACAACAGCTTACATAATAGCCGAATATAGACTTTTAACAACTATTTTTTAATTGTCATAAATTTTAATATTTAATCTGAAAATCGAATTTAAGGTTAGATAATTAGTGAATTTGGCAATCATCTTGTAGGAATTCAAACGCCTCTAGCTTAATTTTTTTTTAATTTCTATCTTTAGTAAAATATCAATTCGTTGAAGATTATTAAACGATGATAGACCTTGTTAGGTCGTGTAGTCGTCCCATAAGTTCCAATTTTATTGGGAAAACAGTTTCCTAGAAAATTAGGGTATTTTCCTCAATATTTTTCAACATTCCTAGTGAAATACTTAAGAATGTAGACGTACCAACCCTGATATCACTTTGGTAATTCTTAATTTATTTTTTTGCAAATCCAAGAATTATCATCCATTGATATTCATTGCTGCTAATATGATTTTGTTTTGGATCAGAATGCCGAAAAAGTGCCATATGGATAATTAAGTCTATTAATTGACAATGAATTGGTTGATAAATACAAAAACAATTGACTCCAATTCATTAAAAATCATGAAATTTCATATTATTAATGCAAGAGATAATCATAATTGATTAAAAATTGTTGTTAACCTTCTACTCTATATAGCTTATAGCAATGAGCAACAAAGACAGTGAAATGTAATATTTTACTCAGACCCTTAGATAATATTAAATATATTTTTATCTAATCTTCTTGTAGGTCATTAAGACCAGCTGATGATGACTCAAGATGAGATCTTCTATGAACAAGAATAATTACAATTATTGTAACAACAATGATTATTCCGAGTGCAATAAATCCAATGATGAAATATTTCTGATGTTTCTTGAAGAAACTTGGATCATCTTCTTGATTTTCTGGATCATCTGTACTTCTTGTATCTTTAAAATCAGGGTAAATATCTGGGCCTTTACCCTGATCTTTTTCATCCAAATGAATAACTCCATCAATAAATGGATTCTTCTTGAATTTCATCTCTGTCAGCCTAATAGTCCTGCAAAATATCTCCGGATTAACACATTTGACAGAGACATTTGTTCCATCACTTTTAGTGAAGTTTAATGGTTCATCTTTATCACTTCTACATGTTAATTGTTCAGCCGATCCATTGGGTAGTTTGACGTGAAATGTTACAGAATTATATCCATCACAAGAGTAAAGATAACATTCATGTGCCCCTGGTATAGCAACTAAATCAGGCGGACACATAACAACTGGTCTAACCATCATTATGTAATCAAAAATATCACTACCACCATAATATTCATATTCAGCTGGATTGTAAAAATTCTTTGCCCTACAAAATCTTTTATCCATTTGGGCCTCATCATCACATTTTGCCTCTCCCACAGGATGTAAAACAGCAAGACCGGCACCTTTATAATTGAATAACGTTGAGTCATCATTATTAAATAATCCTATTGAATAATGACTCGGTAATACTGATTGTGGTGGTCCGTCAGCGAAATCTTTAATTGGTTTCCCGTCAATTGATTCCGGATTTCCCCAAACAAGTGGTGATGCCATTGTATAATTGACTTTGTAGTTTCCTGTATCTAGTAAAACAGCCAATGTCGCATCTGTCACTCTCTGAAATGAATCCGATAAAACAGGAATATCATTTTCGCGTTCTCTAAGTCCTAGATTTATAGATACCATTATATCATCGACAAATAATCTTCCTTCTAAATGCTGCAGCGTGATAAAATCACTGTCCCCTCCTGTCTCCAAATGAATACCAGATTTGCACTTTTCCCCATTATCTCCGACAAATTCATCAACACCATAATGATTCTTTGCAAAAATATGTGCATAAGGTGTTGTTAAAACAACGAAATCAACACCATGCTTTGTATAATGGCAAATTGATTCATTTGCAGGATATGGATCATAATTTCCAATTGGATGGAATTTTTCTATTAAACGCCCGCCAAATCCTAAAATATGAATAAATTCATGAACATAACTCATGAATGCATATTTAGGAATAGTATTTTGTCCTTCAAGAATATCTGGAATAGACTTTGTATCAATTAAAAGTAAACCTTGAAGTGGTCTTTGTGTAAATTCATCAAATACAATAGCAGCTCCCATTGCAGGACTAATTGAATCTCTCCCAAGTGATATGGCTATAACTGTAACATAAAGATCTGTATTTTTGGCAACTTGTTTTTCAGGATAGTGAAAATATTGATCTTGACTTTTGATTTCGAATTCTTCCATTGTAGGTTCAACATAAATAAGTTTGTTGAAATACGATTTTACATTTTCCAATGTTTCTTTGAGAATATCAATTTTGTTCTTTGTCAAAATATCGTAAGCTGTGCAATATACAGATTCATCATTTAATTTTATGACTTGATCGCTTTTAGTACATTTCAACTTAGTATCCAATTCTCCATCAACAAATCTATAGTCAAATGTTATTCTTATGTTCTGGAAACTCGTATCACTGAGTGCTTTTCTTGCTCTAGATGTTTTAATGTTTATTGGCTTGAGGTGTTTCATTAATTCATCATGTTTACAATGATGATGAAAATGAGCTTGAAGTAATAAGGAGACAATCATCGCTCGAGTGATAACTCAAAAAAATTAAGTTACCAAACGAGTTGGCTTTTCAAAGATTAATTACAGTTCAATTCAAAAGTCAAAACAAAAGGAACCAGAAATAATATACTAAATGTAATTTCAGTTTATTTTATAACAAGCACGTTGAAATCGAAATGATCGCGATCCAAATTATTATATACATGCAATAAATCAATATGGGAAAAGCTAGTAAATTGAATTACTCTCAAATTAAGGCTTCTCTCCGATGTGAACTGATCCTCTCAATTTTTCCTCGATCTTAATGTACCAAGCTCCTTATGCAGTCAGTTTCATGGGACATTACTTATATGATAACATTATATGATCTTCAGAGATTATATATCGCAGGCAATTTCATAAAAATATTTAAATTCCAAAGAATTTGAAATTATTCCGCATTTTCCGTCTAGATTGCCTTTTTCTCAACTTTCGATAAAATGATTCTACTATCCATATGTTCATCAATCGCCTTACTCTCATCTTTCAAGTTCACTAATTTTGGGTCGAAAAAGTACATATTTATCCAAAATTTTTCGATTTTGTACGAGGTCTCCGAAGGGTGGTGAAGTGACTTTTTTCAAATTTTGTTATAATAATCATAGTCTATAGTTATTGAATAAGCATGTTCCATTTTTCTTTTTTTAATTTTTTTAGGAAAATAAAATCATTGATATCAATCCTTTATCATAATTGCAAAAAAGCAATTGTAAATGTTTTGAATAACATAGTCATATAGACTTCAATGGTCATTCAAGAGATTTTCGTTTTATAATCTTCATAATTTAGATTATTGATGGACAACTCGATATCTTGGATTCATTTCAGCATTTCCAATGGAAAATATATTTTCTTGAAGGATATCACTTATCATTTATGTAATATTATCAAATAAAAAATTATTCTATTATGATTTAATAAAATGTTTAACATTGGTTTGTAGCATTATAGTTAATGATAATGTTTTGTTTTTTAGCTCACATTTTTTTAATCAAAATTATTTAGCATTAATAGACATCTGGATTACAAAATAAACTAGGAAATATGTTTAACATACTGATTGTTTGCATAGAATACTGTCCAAACACAATGTTTGTGATAAAATTTTAGATTATTCAACTCAAGATTGATCAAAAACAGCATTTCCGGACTTCATACTATGAAGTAATAATGCCCTACATATGAGCATTTAAAAGAACTCAAGTTGTATTTTTATGAAATTTTTCATGTTCGAAGTGGCGAAATCGCCTCGAAGTAAAGAAATATGATATGAAAGACGATACAGACTGTTTGGTCGGAGAGAAGCCTTAAATGACATTTTTCTTCCAAAATTATTTGGAATAATTTTGCATTTATTTAAATGTTCATGTAATGCCAATTTAAATATTGGATTATATGATTTAAAAAAGTGAGCATTTATATACATTCAATTACAAACAACTTTTTCATAGCGCAATATTTGTGTTTAATGCCAAGAAGTAACAAGAGTCACTAAAATATATAATACTCAAGTTGGCATCAACGCTTTAAACATGAGTTAAAGGGTATTTTTTCACAGACATTTTAATTTATTGAATATTCACGATAAAAAGTTGTTTCGAATAGTTTAGATATCAAGATTAAGAAAATAGATTTTGATTTCAATTTGTTTTAATACCAACTACATGCAAATCTTAAAATGATTATTCAATTATCAAATCATAGAACAAATCCAATGTAATCTTAATTATTGGAATCTGTTGATGAAATACATCATCTCCTAAATTCTTTTTTAAATACATATTAATTCAATAATAATAAAATAGAAGCTGATTTGCATACAGCACTCCTTCGTATACTTGTAACCAGACCAATACAAGCCAAATATGATTTAATGGACTTTTTTTGGTAAAACTTCTCTTCATTGAGCATCAAGATTGTATTACTGTAATATGTAATATACTATTATTTACTATATTTTCTTTTATTCTATGTCCAAAGGGATAAAGTTCTATCATATTTCTCGATCAATTTTCGAATTCAAAGTAAATGTAATGAATTTTGATCTTCTGATTATTAAAATATGTTTTACGTATCATTATTATTAATTTAATAAATGTTAATTTAATAAAACATATTTTCTTTCAAATTTTCTCCAAAAAAACGAGTTTTTATATAAATTTTGTTTCAAAATGACGGAAGGGGAGCACCTTTCTTGGCTTCGAGGCCCGCTTCCGCCATTATCAGATGCAGTTCTAGAAAGCCATTTAGTTAATCCGTCTCATATTGTACAAAAAGTGCATGATTCGACACCATTTCGCTCACCACCTTCAGAAAAAGAAGAAAAATCACAAAGAAATAAAAAGCCGAAAGCACTTCCAAAGTATGATCCCGTACCACCTCGTTCTAGAACTCAGCTTGAACCGATTTATTCAACAAATCCACAAGTTCCTTTTTCATACAAACCTCCTCCAATTGAATCAATGATTGGTGGACAACCAAAAGTTGTTACACAATTCGTAAAACCACCAGCTTTTGGAAATGATGGGAAAATAATGTTAAGACAAGAGATTCAACAGATATCAAGTCAATTAGATGAAGAGATACAAAAGTTTATGCCGATCAATCCTGCAAATGATAAAGAAAAACTCGAAATTACATATAAATTATTACAAATCCACAATATCGCAATGAATCAACTCATTTTATTAGATAAAACAACATGCAGTGAAAGAGCAATACTTTTACGTAGACTTCAAACGTTTTACAAAGAGATTATTGAAGATATTCCTTCATATTTTACTGCCTATGAACAAGAAATTGCAAATTTGCGTGTACAACTCGAAGAACTTTCCAAAGATCGCGATAAATGCAAAACAGAGTCAGAAAATCTTACAATAGACATAGATTCAATAAAAACTAAAATTGAAACATTACAAAAGCAAAATGAAGATCTAATCAAAATGTCCAACGATAAAGATGTCGAAATACAAGTCAGAGATGATAAAATTACCATGTTAACCGTTTCATTGCAAGGATCTCAAATCCAAGCGAAAGAAAATGCTTCCAAAGCCGAAAGTTTCGAGCGTATGTACCACAAATCCGTTGAAGAATCCAAGCAGCAGCTCGAAGTCATTGAGAAATTCTCACAACAAATCAAAGCCGTAGAAGATGGAAATTCCGGAGTTGTTTGGGACCTCAGAAAAGCGGAAGTCCGAATTAAAGAGCTAGAACAGCAGAACCAAGCCTTGAACAGATCAGTCTACAATCTCCAGAACGTTCCTAAAGACGACAAATGCGTAGACACAAGTGATTTGCCGCCACCTCCAAAATCAAAGAAGAAAAAGAAACCGCAAAATGTCGCAACGGATTCTGTTGGCCAAATCGTTCAACAAGCGGCAAATATCGCTCCAAGTGTGTCAATTGGCGGTTTTGCCCCTTTACGTGGCAGAATTCCGTCAAATGTGTCACTTTTGCAGTTAAGTTCTGGTGGCAATTCCACCAATCCGTTTATATCTGAACAGCCATCAATGGTTCGCCGTGCATCGAACAAAGACAAAGAGACACAAACTGATAAAATAGAAACATCAGAAATTGAAGTTCAAACTGATCCAGTTAATATCATTATGTTACCAGAAGAAAAAGAAGAGAAACAAGAAGAAGAAGAAAAACATGAAGGACCTGCAACAGAAATGATTGTTGAAAACATACAAAACGAAACAATTTTGGATATTTGGAAAGTTGATTTTAACCGAGTAAATGGTTATGATATAACTAAAGAAGAATTAGATAAAATCCCTGATTTGTTCCCAACATTAGTTCCTGTATTTGGACAGCCGTTCAAGAGCCCAGAAACAAGAGAATTGGATAGACTAAACATAGGAAAACTTGAAGGAGTTAAGAGACAAGATAGACCTTTAGTTTGGGCTTTCCAATTAATTCATAACTTTTTAACAGATACTTTTGTCAGATCTGTTGAAGCAATGCAATTACAATATGGAGAAGCAATATTTGTTGAATGGCTTTCAAGACAATTCCGGCTTCCTCACATTGTCAATCAGATTTGTGCTGATGTTTCTTTGTTGTTATTTACAACAAGAAATGTTGAACCATTCATGAAATTCTTCTCAAATATGATGGAAAATTTCTTTACATATCCACAGATTTGTTTTATTTCTTTGTTGTATTCTTTCACTGTTAACTTGACATATCCTAATCTCCTGAAGATGATACAGGACTATAATCTGGCTGAAGAACACACAAACATTTGTATCCACATGAGAACTGCTTTTACTGTTTTAAGTCGTTGTTTATCTCCTGGTTTGGCTTCAACTTTTATCAGACAAAAAGTTATGCCTGAACAACCGATGTGGAAATTGTTTGATTTCATGACACAGAGTGCAACATTCTTCTTGGATAAGCACCAACACATTTACCAGTCAACTGTTTCTATCCTTCAATTGTGTGGTCATTCTTCTGACTCTTCTTTGATAACTTATGATGTTTTTAATAAATTCATGTGTTTGATGGATTCAGTTCAAGATCATTCGAAATGGTGGAATAACTTGATGCAGCAGAACCATACAAGTGGTGTAGATATGCTTGGACTGATATCTATTTGTGCAGAAAGAAAGAGGCCTTTGATAGAACTCTTTAGATTAGATAACATGAAACCTTCAATGGATAAATTTAAAGGTTTATCGACAGCTTTGTATGAATACTATATGTCGTTTATAGAGAGATTCGCTGTTACTATACCGAAAATATTAGACAAAAGCCCTGCCCAGCTTTTGGAGAAATTGGAAAGAGTTATTCCGAAAATTAGAAATGATTTGTTGACAATTAACTTTGCTTCGTTCTCCTGGCACTACAGAGTGTTCTTAAATATAACAGATACAACGATGCTTAACGTTGTTCACCAGATTCCATTCAGATTGGATTCTGATGATAAAACTTATAAGGAAATTAATGATTACTTCACGATGTGCGAGCGCGTTTCTTTTGCTTTGTTCGAATAAATATATTTATGTGTTTTGTTTCTTTCATTATCAAACTTAATATCTTTTTTTATTTAAACCTCATACTATAATTATTTAAATAATCAACAGCTGATACATAATTTAATTAAACTGTCACTTTTATTCATCTAAGATAATACAAAAATATAAAATGGAAATTCTTTAATTTAACTTGTTTGAATTAAGGATTTCTATTAATTTTTTGTTATTGAACTTGACTGCTATATCAAGTGGAGTCATTCCATCTTTATCTTTAGCATTGACATCTGCACCGTTTGAAATAAGGATTTCTGCAATTTCGTTGAAATTAAAATAGACTGCATTATGAAGAGGGGTCCATCCTACTTCGTCTTTAGCATTGATTTCAGCGCCGTTTGCAATAAAGAATTCTGTTAATTCTTTGTTATTACGTTGGGTTGCAATATGAAGTGGAGACAACCCATTTTTAGTTTTAGCCGTGATATCTGCACCCATTGAAATAAGGGTTCCTGCCATTTCTTTGAAATTGCGAGAGTGCATAATGTAGAGGGGTCCATCCTTCTTCGTCTTTAGCATTGATATCTGCACCTCTTGAAATAAGGATTTCTGCAGTTTCTTTGGAATTACTTCTGAATGCTGTATGAAGAGGAGTCTCTCCGTTTTGAGCTTTAGCATTGATATCTGCACCTTTCGAAATAAGAAACTCTGCTGTTTCTTTGAAATTATTCATTGCAGCTACATGAAGAGCGGTAAAATCATATTTAGTTTTAGCATTGATATTTGCTCCATTTGAAATAAAATATTCTAAAAGTGATGAAAGTTTGAAATATGGAGAATAGGCGAAACAAGTATTGATGTCATTTGTTTGATCTAAATAAACTAAAAATGCTTGAAGATTATGGTAGTCCGCGCACGTAATTAAATTAATTTCAATGTTGTATTCATTCATCAAAAAAGTGACAAAATCAATATTGTGTGATATAATCGCATATTCCATACACCAGTAATCTGGTTTTTTGGCTTTCATGCATTCATGCATAATATCTTGATTTCCACCCAAAAACGAATATTTAAGACAATTTGAAGTTATTCTTGATTGAAATTTTGTTCTTAAGAACTTAAAACAATCAACAGCTCCATAATAACAGCATAACTCAAGTAAGGAATTTTGGCCATTTGGATATAATTCGCTATATAGTTGTAGATTACTGTCAAATTCATCACTTTCTGTAGAGCTTATAAACGCCATTTTGTCATCATCCATAATATATCTGTGAATTGTATTTTTGTCGTGAATATCAGATGATAAATGAACATTATTATATTCTTTAAAAGAAAGTTCATCGTCTCTACCCAAAACTATATTGTATTCTTTATAGAAAAGGTAATTAAAAACACTTTTGATTTCTCTGACTTGCTTTAGATGGTATTCGTCAACAATATGTTTTGCAATTGCTAAATATGACTTCATGTAGCGGTTGTTATAAATTGAAATTTCAAATATCACAGTGGTAAGTTTATCAGGCGGAAATTGATAAGAGTCAATCAGGATTGTGATATTTTTGTAAATTTCGTTTAATTTTTCTTCTCCATTTGTTTTCAGCCTGTACAAAGCATTGAAGACATCAATATATCCCGAAAAAATCTCCATCAGTTTACTATAATGAGTTTGATTCAGTTAACTGAAATTTTTTGATTTCGCAACTTCAAATATCATGTTAATTTGATAGTTTTATTTTGCGATCTAATGGAAAAGTAAATTTTTCTAAGGAAATAAAAATACGTTAATTTCAAAATACTTAATATGTCAATTGCTTATGTTGATATTGGCAACCACACAACAAAGATATATTGCGATCAGAAAGAAATCTCTGAAAGAACCATTGTTTGCATTCATAGTGACGTAATTGAATGTGGAAATATGGCCGTTAGAGTTACCTCTCCTTACGAAGATACCACATTTAGAGATATCATATCGCACTTAGCAACTCTCGAAAAATACAAAGTCTCGCAAAATAACGAATATGATCCAAGATTAATATTTGCTCATTTCTTAAAGTTTATTATGACATCAACCAAGGCAACAGAACTTGTTCTTATCAAACATAATTGGTGGACAAATGATTTTGAAAACACCGTCAAACAAAGTGCAGAATTTGCTGAAATCAAAAGCCTCAAATTTGTAGAAGCATACCAAGCATTATCCGGGTATGCACATGCATACTTACCTAATGATAAACACGAAAAATATGTTATTTTTGATTTCGGAGCAAGTGTCACAGAAGGATACGTTTTTGAAAAGAAAGACAATCAGATTTCTCTTGCTAAGTATGGATCATGCAATATTGGTGGAGATAAGCTCACAACCACACTTGCGAACTATGCATTAAGTAAGATCTTCGAAAAAGATGATGAAAAAGTTAAAGAATACAAAGGAAAGATTCCTGACGATAAAAGATTGCAGTCAATTATTTACGAAGCTGCAGATAAATGCAAACAAAGCATAATTCCAAATTTGCAAGTCAAATTTGAGGCTATCGCTATAACAGATGCTCCATTCGACTGCATCCTTGAATCCAATGACTTCATTAATAAATGCCAAAAGTATGTCGATCAGCTCAGCACATTTATTAAAGATTTTGTTAAAGAATACATTGAAGATCTTAACAATTATGACAAAGACAAAATTGAATTAGAATGGATTGGTAGCAACTCGTTCTCTCAAATTGCCAAAAACATATTTACACCACAGTATGAACTATTCAAGCCAAACTTTTCATACTCAATTGGCGCTCAAACATTTTTAACAGAAAAAATTGATTTAGCAATACCAGAAAATATCAATCCAACTAAGCAAAGCTTCCCAGAAGATGATGATGCCAATAATGTCATCAAACAGAAAAAAGTCTCACTCAAAATCATATCAAACGAAGAAAATCTTGACCAAATCCGCGATAAATATAAAGAGCTTGAACATAAATACCAAGAGCAGCTCATTGAAGACAATTCTCTAAATGACCTTGCTATGGTTGAGGATTACATAAATAATGATTTCAAAGAACTTGAGGACAAATATAATGAAATTCAAAACGACGGTTATTTAGAAAAATTAGATAAAATGTTACCATTAATTCGCAATTATATTCTCAAATCTAATGGCATCGATTATGAAGAAAATATCTCTAATAAAAGAAATTATCTGCATGAAGAAGAAACTATTAAAAAATATCAAGACCTTCTTAAAAAAATTACTGATTTTATGGAATCAAGTGAATATAGATCAATTAAAAGGAAAACTTCATTTTTAAATGAAGATCATTTCACTGGAAGTATTAAAAACATCCTTGACCAGTATAGACTCAAAAAGATCGAAAGTTATCTTCATAATTCTAAATATGACGACGCTAAACAATTAGCAGAAAAAATTTATTCCAGGGATTATTATCAGAAATATATACTTCCTAAGATAGAAAAAATGGAGAATGAAAAGAGTACAAAAACTGGTGAAGATGCTGAAAATCAACAAGGAGAGAATGCAAAAACTGGTGAAAATGCTGAAAATCAACAAGAAGAGAATGCAAAAAGTGATGAAAAAGTAGAGGAATCAGCAGCTACTCCTGCTCTTGCAAATTAAGTTGGTAGTTGTTATTCATTTTGTAACATTATATTTTTGGTTTGATATTTTTAAAAAATATTTTTTATTATTATTCTAATTATTTACTAAAAAAAAAAAAAAAAAAAAAAAAGGTAGTGGGGCCTCCAGGCACTTCGTGCCCTCTAGCCCCTGAAGATGTTTAGTATACAATGAAGTATAAAATGAGGTTTTTTTGGGTGAAGGGGGCTTCCCAGGCACTTCGTGCCTTCTAGCCCTAAAAATTTTTGAAAGTCGTTGTCGTTGACTTTTCGGTAGAGGACTCAAAATAGTATAACTATGTCCGGACAAGTAAGGGTCTATCGTCGCTACAGAAAAGTTACGGGCGTTCCAAAGAAATATACTTTGAGAAGCCTTTTCTGTCACTTTTCAGGTAAAAACATTTTTATTATTGTATATAAAATGAATTTTACAAAACCACCGTTACCCTTCTTTGGAAATAAGAGTAGATGTAAAGATATTCTATTGAGAGAACTTAAGAAACTACCGAATGGTCTAACATTTGTAGATTTGTTCGGTGGAAGTTTCTATATATCCCATTTGTGCCATACAATATTCCCAGACTCAAAGATTATATGCAATGACTTCGACAACTATATGAACCGTCTCAAACATATACCAGACACAAACAAAATATTGAGTGAGTTGAAAGAAAAGATACCTATAGGTAAGATGGAAAGTATACCATTAGATAAGAAAAATATTGTAAGAGAGGTTTTGAAAAAAGCAGAATATATTGACTGGGATAGTATATCTTCTAGACTTTTATATAGTGGTTCTATAAGAGTTCATGACATTGAAACACTTATGTCAAACGTTTTATATCTTAACTATACAAAGGTTTTCAAAGAGAACATAGAAAAATATACTGAGGGTATAGAGTTTGTGAGATGTCGTTGGACAGAGTTGTATGAAAAATATAAAGACAAGGAAAATGTTTTCTTTATAGTAGACCCACCGTTCTATAACACATACGATTTTCAATACCAAGTAGACTGGACTTTGAGAGACTCTTTAGAAACTTTAGACGTTTTACATAACCATCCATGCTTTTACTTTACATCCGATAAAAGTGGTTTGGAAACCGTTATGAGATGGTTAGAGGACGTACATGACTATGAGTATAGATATGATAGGATAGAATATGAGAGAGGTCCTATAAACCGGAAAAAGTGTCACAACAAAGAAATTTTATTGGTAAGTAAATGTGGTTTGAAATAGGACTACTTGTTTTAGGTTTTTTCCATTGTGTCATTTACTTATTTGACGTGGCAGAAAGATATAGAGAATATGAAGATGAACCAATGCCAGCAAATGTTCAGCATATGTACTCGTAAGAGATATTTTTATCTAATATTAAATGGACGCACAGAACTTAGCAAATGCACAGCAACCCGGACAACCAAACCCAGAGAATATTCCAAATGAAGTTAGAATACAAACTGCAATGGCAAACTATGGTCAAGTGCCAACAGATGTACAAATGCAAACTGCCATGTCAAATGACGCTGCGTTAGGTTTGCCACCATGGTATGCAAATATGAGATGGAAAGAGTTTTATACAAACCCTGAAGTGGGATATAAACAACTCTATGCAGATGACGCGAACACAGGAGTTGACCCAGAATATGTTTTCTACCAGAGGAGAAATAGAATGTATGAGCTCCAGTTAAAGAATGCTATGGAACTCAACAGGAAACGCAAGAGACTAGGCGGACATTAGATTTTTACATATAGTAAAATGGGTTTCTTCAGTAGTATTGGAAACTTCTTTCGAAATGTTGGAAGAGGTATATGGAATGGAATAAAAACCGTAGGAAGAGGAATTTGGAACGGAGTCAAAAATATTGGTAAAAGAGTAGGTCAGTTCGTTGGTATTATACCTAAAGACCCTGAACCAGAAGAACAAGCTCCTGTTATACAACAGCCTGAACCTGCACCACAGTCTAGTTGGCAACCAAATCCAACACCTCAACAGTATTAAAAAATCATTTTTACCGTTCGATAGTAGTTGTATATGAAACTAAGTTCTAAGTAAAACGCGTGGTATAATGGAATTATTCTCTTTCTTCCATCTGTAGTAAACCATACTTGAAAGTCTGAAATACTTCCACTCGGCGGTTCATATAGCTTTGTAGGTTTTTCGTAAAAGTCATTTGCCAAGCATAAAAAAGAGTTTTGTGCACCAGAAAATGAATGCATGAACTATAATAGCATCTTGGTCGAAAACATTTTCATATGTTCCATTAGGGTTTTCGACTTCATAAAAGTTCGGGTGTACTGGATATTCTGCAGGCTGATTTAACATCCTCAAAAATCTATACCATGCCAAGTTGTTATATTTTGTAGAAATATAAACGTCTTCTCCAAGGTCTTCTATTCTATTGATTTTAACAGTTGCATTTTTCCTGTCATATAAAATATCGAGATGGTACTCTCCTTCGTCAATGTTGTACTGTTTTGCATATTCGAGATAGATATTGTTTATTTTTCTTGAAAAGCTTGAAGAGTTGTTTCTAAGTTTACAAGCAAACTAACTTGTAAAAGTTTTCCCTGTACAAATTTCTCATACGCACGTTTTCTTTGTTATAGTATCGAACTTCAAAACCGACCGTAAATGGGAAACCATGTATGGCTTCTGAAATGAACTTCATTCTACGAAGCCAACAGCTTTTGTGACAGATGGGTCTCTTAACCATCTCAATGGGTAGTCAAAACGATAGCCTTCATGCTTTACGGTCTCTGTCTCAAACTTTTGACCGACATTAGTAAAAGTTCATCTAATGGTTTAGTTGTAGCAACTCTTGAATTTTCTTTTTCTATTGAAAGCATTTTTTATCTAGAATAAAAATGTCAAATGAAACAGCGTCTATGAGAGAAATACAACACAACCGACAACTCATTATACAAGCTCTAAATAAGAACACAACAAACTTTTCAAACTATTCTAAGATATCTGAGTCATTGAAAGAAGGAAACTTAAAACTGACAATGAACCCAATGACAGATGAGTTTCTATTTCAAGACAATAGGAACCATACTGTCTGTATAAATCCAACAAAAGGAACTTTAAACGAGAAACCTATAGATGAACTTCTTTTGAAAGCAGATTTGACAACAAAGCTGACAAAGAGTATGTCATTGAAAAAGTTCAAGAAGAACATGACAGAGCAGATGCAAACATATGCAACAAAAGAACATACTCATCCTGAACTAGCAGACAAAACATATGTTGACAATAAAATGTCAAGTGAAGTGACAAGAGCTGAAAACGAATATTCTAAAAAGACTCATACGCATACCATTGCAAATATTACAAACTTACAAGAAACCTTAAACAGGAAAAGTGACGTTGGACATACACATACCATTGCAAATATTACAAACTTACAAGAAACCTTAAACAGGAAAAGTGACGTTGGACATACACATACCATTGCAAATATTACAAACTTACAAGAAACCTTAAACAGGAAAAGTGACGTTGGACATACACATACCATTGCAAATATTACAAACTTACAAGAAACCTTAAACAGGAAAAGTGACGTTGGACATACACATACCATTGCAAATATTACAAACTTACAAGAAACCTTAAACAGGAAAAGTGACGTTGGACATACACATAACTTCTTCTCAACTGTTGTATAGAAAGTATTTTAGGAACGATTGAGAAAACTGGTGGGGGTGGATTATATTTTAAACCTCCTAACTTTCCAGAAGGTTTAACATCGGATAAAGACATTAGATGTAGAAATGTCTATGTCATGGAGGATTGAAAAAAAGTTAAATTCACTGCTCAAGATTTATATGATAAAAAAGCTGACAAAACAGAGCTTCAAACATTAAAGATTGAAATACTTCAAACACTATATCCTATAGGTTCTATTTATACGTCAATGAACTCTACCAGACCAGAAGTAGTACTTGGTTTTGGAACTTGGACTCAAATAGTCGACAGGTTTTTGTATTGTGCAAACTCTTCAAAGGAAACAGGTGGAAGTAAAACGATTTCAGGTGCAAATTTACCTGCACACAGTCACTACATAAATTTAAGTACATCTGAAGCAGGTTTGCATAGGCATAAATATTGGGGTTGGTCAACAATGACAAAAGGTAAAGGATATGATGTTAAAGACGACGTTCAGTTTGCTATAAATGGTTCCTGGGATGACACTTGGAGAGAAGGAGACCATACACATCGCGTTTCAGGTATACGCCAAAACAACGGGACAAAGTAAAGACTACATGCCACCTTACATGACAGTTTACGCATGGTATAGAAATGCTTAGTCGTCATTTTCAACTTCTTTAGCATATTCGTCAGGAGTTGTCTTATATTTGTTAGGAACTGTCTTTGAAAGTATACCACCTTGAACTTTGACAAGTTTGAAACGAGGTCTGACAATAGTAGTTTTATCTTCTGCTTGCAGTCTGTACATTTTGCCATGTTTGCCTAAAACTTCATAATATTCTCTTGTATACTTTCTTCTATTTTTACGAACACGAATGTGAGTACCTGTCGGGTTCTTGTTGTTGTTCATAGTCAATAGTATTTTCATATGGGTCGCGTTAGGTATTTCTATTTTTACTTTGTCACCTTTCTGAAGTTTGAAGCCCGGCATTCTTTCTTGTCTATCTCTTTTGACTAAATTGTTAAATATATAGTCTTTCTCTAAGTCGGGGTTGTTTTCATTTCTTCGGGGAGTGGTTTCCCAAACCTTTTTGTTTACGGCTATTGTAAATATTTAAAACTTGTCTCATCTTTGCCATGGAGAAGTGTCTATATTTGTCGTCATATGACATTTCATCTACGCTCACCCACCTGTGGTTGGTTTAAGTCTCTTAAGATTTTTATACAACTGTCAATGACACCAAGAGCAGAATGGTTTTGTCGACAATGAAATATTGGTTTACATTTTTTGAACGCAGATAGTTTTTAATATCGTCTGATTTGAAAGAACTTTCATAGTCAGATG